CTAACCCTAACCCTAACCCTAACCCTAACCCTAACCCTAACCCTAACCCTAACCCTAACCCTAACCCTAACCCTAACCCTAACCCTAACCCTAACCCTAACCCTAACCCTAACCCTAACCCTAACCCACAAGATTACAGCGGTAAATGAACTACAGTTCCACTATACTACAATGTGTGTATTAAGGGTTGACATACAACTCCTCCGACGAGCTTTGGTGAGACTGTATGTAAAGTGTAGTAACATTTTAATGGACACTACAAGTTTTCTACTATAATTTTATATGTAACTTCACCAGATTTTGTTAAGAGTGGAGGGTGAGGTATTTGTAGCTTGTTCAAATACGTGAGTGAGGTCCCTCCCTACTCTTTCCCCTATAGTCCAGTGGCTTTGCAGCGTGCCGATCGCAATCCCAAAGTTTGCGGCTAATCCTCGGGCGGGCTGGGCCACGCATTCCATTATGCAAGTCGAGAGTTGAGGCTTGCATCGAGACAAAACCGTAGCCAGTTATTTTCGATCGCGGCCCTCCTAAAAGGCTGTTTCCTCTCCCTCCCTCCCTCAGCTCTTCCAGTCCCTGGTTGACTTGTGCCCCCTCCGGGTAATCAATCATGCCGTTCTCAGCTCCCCTCCGGCGCAAATGTCCACCGGCTAGCACACCATCAACCTCCGGTGTCTTTTTCTCCAGCCTTCCTCATCAGCTGCCATGCAAGTGTCGACCCCATGTTGACAGCCACTGGATTCAGCCATCCTGCGTAACCACACTGAATCATCCTGGAGCAAACGACTTATGTCGGGCACGCAGAGGGAAGATGGGATTTGCCAGGACGAGGCGGGTATTTCGCCTGTGCAGAGCAAACAATTGGCAAAGTTCCGTCGTTTTACTTTCCGAGCCCCTTATTGATGCGCGAGGCTGCATTTTGTGAGGTACATTTAAGAAGCCCTACTGCACTTTAATTCTGGACCCAACACAGTATGGCCCATTCCACGCCACAGAACCTCGTCCGAACCCTTTTCGACGGGTCTTCATTTTGTGACGCAATTCTTGACCCTCAGACTAAGGTGATGCGGTCTCTGTGTTTGGCTGCGAACAACGCGAACAACGATGGACGGCACTCTACAGTCTCTTTTTGCGCGCTTCCAGAACAACGACACTTGGGCTGGGAAGTGTGTTGACAAGATCTATCAAGCCGCCCAGAATGGAGCTCAAGAATATGTTCTTACGGGCCTAGTGGGGCAGGACGGAGTCCCAGTAGCGGTTCAGAACTCGACTTCCTGGGAAATGGAGGACATATGGGGGATCAGCATCGGTCTCTGTTACACTTTTTGCAGTAGACGGGCGTTTCCTATGGTGAGCAAAGTTGTTTTTATTAAACCCTCCTCATCAGTGCCAAAAAGAACCTGACAACAGGCCACCCTTGGGAAACAACGACCGGTCACGAGCCTGGAGATCAAGAATCCTAACCAAAGCATAGGTATTTAACTACCAGGTGTTCCTCAGCCGCACAACCAACTACCTCCTACCCTGGCTCGCACTCACAGCCCAGCTGCCATACGAAGCAGGCGACATCGTCCCCAACATCATGAGCTTCTTCATGTCCCTCGGCAGCCCCATGCTCCTCACTTTCTCGCTAATGATGACCATCCTCAATTCGCGGTGGCTGAACCGCAAGTGTAAGAACTTCGAGTGCCTCTATTCCGACGGCCCCTTCGCTACTAGGCTGAGGAGCGTCCGGATCTTCGTCGAGGCATCTCAACAAGTGCCAATACGCATGTCCTGTCAAGGTGGCTGGCTTCCCAGCCTAATTCTGCTAGAGACCAACGCGAGATGGTGGAGTCGGCTCAGCACCCATATCCTCGCCACTCGGCGTGAAGTTACGCTGTCCTTGGTAGCGCAGATACTCGTTGCGGTTGTCGCGTGGGTGCTTACCATAGTTGGTTCCTTTGGGTCATCCCTTGGCGACCATGCTGAGGCCTTGGTGCTCGCTTCAAGTTCACTGTGGACATGGCTTGTAAGTAAAACTTGATCCCTATTGACTCCCCTATACATCACCCGGCTGAGTATAAACTCGCACCCCTTTTTCTATATAGGGGCCCTTCTTTCGATATCCCTTGCTTGTCCAAAATGCTCTCCCAATTAGATTAATTCTAACAATGATCAAGGTCCCTGTAATATGCGGATGGATCACTATCGGCACACAGAACAAGTCCGACAGCATCGAGAGCGCCTTACGAGCAGACAGGGTCGGCTGTGCCCCGAACAGATCCGGCGGTTTAACAATGGAAGGTATCCAGACAGGCTTCCGTGTAGCTATCCGGGACCCAACCGACTCGCGAAATCTCCTAGGCTTCAGTGTCTACGGCGACGAGATCCAGCCGGGGCCTGTGTTCAATTATGCCCGCATCTTCACATGGCGCCATACTGCGCGGCGCCTGTTCAGCTATTTCGAAACCGCGGCCGAGAGATTCAGCGATCAGAAGGACCTCGATCTCGCTAAGAGGATATCACCCCCGTTGACCATCCAGGACCTTGACGACGACATCCCCCGTATGTCGAGGTACTGCGGCATTCCGCAGGGTGGTGAGCTCACAGAGTACCCCCAGTCGGCGGAACTCGACGCCGAGTTCTGGCTGCATGTCATGGGCGCCATCATGGTCGCCGCTTTTGTGCAGTGGGGCATCGCAGGGCCTGCAATTGTAATTGCCTACCTTACCGACGTCAAGGGGCTGGGTTGCCGATCGGGCAGCTACGTCTTGTACGCCGTCTTGAGTACAACCTCATTTATCTGTTTCTTCACTTCTATCCTGTTCTCTCGTGCGGCTATGCTGCACGCTCAGGCCCAGGGACCCCCGGCAATAAACGGTCTGTTCCGTGGGCTGAGCATTTGTGCGCTAGTGATGAGGCTTCTCGGTCGCATCTTCGCTGTATGTGGAGCTATCTGGATTATACTTAGTTCAATATGGGAGCTTGTGGGCTTCTTTGACAACTGCTGGTGCGAGGGGACTGTCTTGGCCTTAGGAGACAAAGCATGGGTAGCCTTGTTTAAAAAGGCCATTGACCTGAAGGAGAATGCTACAGGCCCGTGGGCAGGGGGGGTGTTTATGAGTTCTTTCGTCATGGGGTTTACATATTGTATCTTTTGGCTGTTTTGCTATAACCCAAGGTAATTTTGACACACCCGAAGGTTGCCTTTTTCTGTTTTGTGTTGCTAGATAGTATAAGCGCAGGCATGTGAGCCCCTGTATATTCCTGAAGATCCAAACCGCTACCATTGATGGGCTTCTGTAGCACTTCTCGCTGCCCGCTAGAGTATGTACCTTTGGATACCGAGGTATTGGGAGGCTGTTGGCTGGTTGCGCAGCCTTTTGCTCGCACGGTCGCCCAGGCGCATCAGGCTCTAGTGTTGGGCATCATTTGTCCGCCACAGGTCCATCTGGGTACGACCTGAAGGGTCTTCCATCAAGGATTATTGTGAACAAATTTTGAACCGTAATTATTATTTACCCAATCTTAGGTATTTTCTTTTGAACTCCGTTGCCCCCCTTTACATCGGCTCAAACCGCCGAATTAGACTCGGCGAGGTCATGGACGGGCTCAACACCCCCAATCGTGGCGTTTTGCTAACCATACGGCGGATCTCCGCGTCGTCGTCTTCCTGCTCGTCCAACTCTGGGCTTGGCAACTTGACGGCTTGGCTGAGGCTCTGAGCAAGCTAGCTGTGAAGGTTATTTGTCGCTCACGTCGCACACTCACACTGTGATTAGGCCAATTAATTGTTAGGATGAGGACCGGCCTCCTCACACGGAGTGACCCTAACCGTTAGTAAATAAGCGTTTAATCCTGTCGCTGAGCCGGGGGAAAAATTGATCTACGGAGAAGGCATGTAATGTTGTTTTGGCCGGCGAATAGCCTCGCCCGAGCGTTGGCAGGGTGACGTCTCCCGAGACGGTGTCGCCTACCCATAACCCTCTAACGAATGGCCAAGGATGACCTTGCTACAGGTTCGCCTGGAGGAGGTTAATTATTCTTGTTATTTTCAGAGGTAGATATTATCTTATCCCCTAAATGTGATCTCTGACTACATTATGGCCTGGCTTTGCAAAAAATCACAAACCACTAGTTACGAGATTAGACAGATAATTAAAACGGGACCTGGCTCCAAAGCAATTCATTTTCTGCCAAACTAACAAGCTCTCAAACAAGGAATCCTCTCGCCCATTAGTTATTATACTTTAGTTCCGCGTCTGATGGAGACGAATTGCATTTCCAATCTAACATTTTGCGGTCGCCCAGCACAAGTTTCATGCGACCATTTAACGTTTCACAATTAGTGGGCGTTGTAAAGACCGCTGGGTAACGATGCAGTACGGAGATGGACGCACAGCCTCGGCGTATTGCCGTGGCTATCTGCCGGGTAAGAATTCGAGAGACTCAATCGTAGAAGGACGAAACGGTGACGTCTGCCACGACAGCTTAATGTATCTGTAGCTCTCCTGTCGGCCTTAACATTCCTCGCAAACATCTCCAAAGAAGGCAATTGCCAGTCTACAGGGAGAATCCAGCCCCGAAGCCATTCTGGAAGGCTGTCAAGTTGAACGAGGAGGGAGCTCAAGAGTGAGTCTTTCTTTGACTGTTCGAGGGCGAAAATAGGGGATGGGGGTCGGTAGATCGCACCACAAGGTTACATCTGGGGAAGAATTGCCGAATTAACCATATAACCGGGGGCGATGCATTGTTACTTGGCAACAGCATCTTGACGCGCTCCAACCGGGAAATCCCACCAAGGGGACACGCGCCGTTGCTGAAAGGCAGCATTCGTAAGCGCCCCAACCGGGGAATCCGACCTTGGCTGGGCATACGAATCACGATCACGACATGCCCTGATATTATTGTTCAAGCAAGCCAGGCTCGCTCTGGTCAAAAGAAGCGGCAGATCAAGTCCCTAGATAATTAACTAAAAGTGAAAGAAGAGAAAAAAGAAGAGCAAAAAAAAGGAAAGAGGAGAAAAAAAGAGTAAAGAAAAAAATAGGAAAGAAGAGGAAAAAAGAATAAGAAAAGTGAAAAAGGACGAAACAGAGTAAATCACTTAGTTATAATCTATTACGATTTGATCGAATGTTACTGGATTAGACCTAAAGGCTGTTCTGTTTGAGTCTGCCGCCTTTTTTGGCCATAGCGAGCCAAGGTAGCAACCACGGCAGAATCCCGGGCTGCACCCCGGGATCGTCATATTGTGGACCAGGAACATGCGCGTCAAGATCGACGTTCCGGCGTCATAAATATATTGACTCCAGGCTCTCGGGCCCCAAGCGACCCCTCGTAACGACTTGCCATTGCCGCTCCACTAAGGGTATCGAAGGCAACTCAACGGCAGTGAGGATCGGATCTTCGTGCCTGCCGGTGGGAAACCAGGTTTTGACTCTTGAGGCAGGATGGGCATAAAAAGGGATGGCTGTCCACCAAGCCACCAGACAAGAGTTGGAAATCGAGTCCACAACCGCACTCGCAAAACCCATCACAGGTCTCCAGATCTTTAACGCAAACATGAAGACCTCCGCATCCTTGTCCACGCTGGCCGTCGCTGCGCTGGCTTCTGCCAGCCCGGTAACAGTCGAACAACGCCAGAACAACGTCGGAACCGGCCCCTTCGCCCCAGCGGTAGGTTTAAATGTTTTAAGACTACTGTGGTAATGTGCAACTGGCGCTTAAGCACGACTAACATGGCTTCACGGACAGGCCTACTACACCTCTGCTGCGCTTGATGGCCACACCTTCTACGCACCCAAGACCATCCCCGAAGGCGCCAAGCTCCCCGTCGTGCTCTGGGGTAACGGCGGGTGCTCGGCCGACGCGACAGGGCAGGCGCCTTTCCTGACAGAGCTAGCTTCGCACGGTGTCCTCGTCATCGCCAGCGGCACCCCGGGCAACGGCGGCAGCACGACGGCCGAGATCATGACGCAGTCGATCGACTTCATCACCACCAACGCGGGCCAGGGCGACTGGGCCGCCATTGATGCGTCACGTATCACAGCGGCCGGATGGAGCTGCGGCGGTATCGAGGCATACGCGCAAATTTGGGACGATCGCGTCCAGAGCATCGGCATCTGGAGCTCGGGGCTCCTGACTAACTACACAGCTGCGCAGGACTTCCGCAAGCCCGTCTTCTACTTCTTGGGGGGACAAAGCGACATCGCGTACCAGAACGGCGAGCGCGACTACGCGGCCATCCCCTCAGGTATCCCCAAGTGGAAGGGCAACCTCAACGTCGGCCACGGTGGCACCTACACAGACCCCAACGGCGGCAAGTTTGGCGTCATTGGCGGCCACTGGGTCGAATGGGCCCTGCGGGGGAACACTTCGGCTTCAGAGTACCTGACGGGAAGCGGCGCGACGAGCGACGGCTGGTCGGTCGTGTCGGCGGATCTGGACCAGTTCACCGTCACGCCCATTGACAGTGCTTAGAGAAGTGGTGGGCAATGGGAGGTTGCGCTCTGAATACCTCGATTCGATCGATAGAAAGACAACTACTGAACATCTTCCCGTGATGAAAAGCCGAGCGTGTCTCTGGACGTGTTTGTTGACCTCGTGGGCTTCCACCAAGCCGGCTAATGGCGAACACAGCCGTCTCGCCTGTGACGTTCCAAACCTTCAATTGGGGAAAACGCGGGGAACTGGGGAAGCAAACTTAACGCGTTGGGAGATCCGAAAGCGGTTTCTCCGAAAACAGTGGGGGCTAAGGCTAATTTGTTTCCCTCATTGGTGCGCATGGTCGGCTGTTTACACTACCCCTGGCTCGTCATTCCGGCCTGGGTGAGGTGAGTTGATCCGTTCAGGAACCAGGCACGAGCTGGGGGCAGAGCTGGCTTCGCGAGATTGTCCCTTTGTGGTCGTTGGGCAACAATTCCATGACTGTTTATTTGTTCGCAAAGAATCACAGGAGGTGCCCTCGTCAAAATTCCAAGTCCTGCTTCACCATACGTAGTGGAATGACACCCATCAAGACGCTGGGTAAAATGCGGGGCTTTGTTTGCCTTTCAACCTTTTTTGGTTGACAGGCTTCAAGACTCGCGGGACCCCGGTCTCGAAGCTGTGTGCCCGCACTCAAACAAGGATTGTCCTGCACATGGAGGCCCCACCACAATCATTCTCCCGTCCCAAGGACCCGGTTGCCAAGAGCCCATTGGGTTGTGGACGCGAGAGTCGCGGTACATTGGCGAGCGGTGTTGACTTTGTGAGCGTCGGTTATCGGTTATAAGATGACAAGGCCCGCCGCGGCTCTTTTTGGGCCCCGGGCAGCGTTGCTTGCACGATCCTGAGCACACCAAAGCCTGCCAACTCGAAGCCAACACGTCTCCGAAGATGGCGCCCCTTTCGCTCCGTGCCCTCCTTGGGTTCGTGGGAGCCGCGGCCGCGGTGACCGTGTCCGTAGCCAACTCCGGCGGTAGTCCCACATCGCCGTACATGTACGGTATCATGTTCGAAGATATCAACCAGAGCGGCGATGGTGGTTTGTAAGTCCTGCCCAGTAGATGAGATGCCCAGACGCTGGGACTAATCGCTCCAGATACGCCGAGCTCATCTCCAACCGAGCCTTTCAGAACCAATCGCTCAAGTCTTGGAGCGCCGTAGGCGACAGCACCGTCACGCTCGACACCACCACGCCGCTCTCGTGGGCTCTTCCCCGCTCGGCCAAGGTCAAGAGCGGGAAGGGCAAGACCGCCGGGCTGAAGAACTCGGGCTACTGGGGCATAGACGTGAAGAAGGCCGACACGTACACCGGTAGCTTCTACTCGTATGGCGCATACAAGGGCAACTTCAAAGCCTCGCTGGTGTCCGATATCACCAACCAGACCCTGGCCTCCACCAAGATCAAGTCTAAGTCGGTCGCCGATTCCTGGACTCAGCACACGTTCGAGCTGCACCCGGCCAAGAACGCAGCCAACAGCAACAACAGCTTTGTCTTGGAGTTCACTCCCTGCAAGGAGACGGAGCTCAAGTTCAACCTGATCAGCCTGTTCCCCCCGACATACAAGAACAGGTGAGCTTGCTACGGGTCCCTGTGACGTACATCCGCCCGCTCACTCTGGTATCTAGGCCCAATGGCATGCGACGCGATCTCATGGAGAAGCTCGCCGAGCTGAAGCCCAGCTTCCTCCGGATTCCAGGCGGCAACAACCTGTAAGTCACAACCTCCATACGCCGGCCCTGTGTTCCAAGCAGAAGCCGCAGTCCGCAGCCGTAAATGTCTAACAAAGGTGGCAGTGAGGGCAACTTTGCTGGCAATCATTGGTCTTGGGACTCTACAATCGGGTATGTCCTGCTCATTCCTATCCATTTTCTTTTCTCATTCCTATCGCTGTTTCTTTGCTCATTTCTGACCCCTTTTCCTTGACGGTTTCTATTCCTGCCTTTCTCTTGGGCAAGTGCCTCCATCGTTACTTCCCTTACCCCCCCACTCACCGGGGCAAGTGTCCTCATCGCTACTTCCTTACTGGGGAAAGTTCCCTGACGCTATGGTGCTTTGGTTGCCCCTTCCCTAGACGATGGAGGGGACAGAAAAAAATGGAGGGGATGTGATAAAGAAACGGAGGGGATGGGGAGAGCTTAGTAGCTTCAACACCATCGTCCCTATCCATCCCGCTATCTAAGTAGACAAGTTCCCGCCTTTCTCAATATCACCGCGCGCCTATGCAATCATCATGAGCCTGCCAAGCCCTCACTATAGTGGTGATGACGCCCTGGAGAGCGTGATCGATGATGCGACACACGAGCTTCTCACGATGGATTTACCGAACATCTTTATCAACCCAGAGCTCCGTACCTTCTTCAAGGAGCGGGACACGTACGACAACGTGGCCGCTGCCTCCCAACTCTCCTTTCCGGCGAATCTCAAGGAGACGCTGTTGGCCGCCGAGCCGCCACCGGCTGAGTTTTTCGGCTCGCTCAGCCAGCCGACCAAGGATGAGAAGGTGTGGGCCGTATATGTCCTCCTTTTATGGAATGAAAAGAGTGCCTCGCACGCACTCTACATTGGCTCTGGGACAGCTGCAGCTGGCGGGGCTCATACCCGGATAAATTCATATGTCACTGGCAGCGTTTCCCCCCCCCCCCGGCTCGTTCACTATGCGCAGCGAGAAGGCTACCAGTTTCAATCAATTGGTATGCTGTGTTCGGCCCCTCTACCCCCAGCGGGGTTAGTGCCTGCTGTCCGGGCACGATTTTTAGGTTTCGAGACCTATTTCGCTCTCAAATTCCACGCAACGCGACTCACTACGATGGACGACAAGTTTCAGCACATCGTGCTGTGGCCGCGCTCTTCGGTCACTTGGCGTGCGCTCTGCACCCATCTTCCAACTTGCGAGGCCGTCAAAGGCAGTCTCTCCCTGACTCCAGAGGAGCTGGAGATTATTGCGGCCCTACGCCGAAAACGAGTAGCTGAGAAGGCGTCCGAGAGGGCCCAACGATACCGAGCGGCCAAGCACGCTGAGGACCCGGAGGCGTTTAAGCTGAGGGAGCGTACTAAGAGGGAGGGGTGGAGAGAGAAGAACCGGGACCGCCGCAACGAGACTGCCGCCAGGTTAGAGGCGAAGGTCATCGAGCAAAAGCGCTTCTTTTGTGCTGTGTGCGACATAGCTCTCCGCTCCCAGCGTGCCCTCAACGACCACCTCCTCTGCAAATCCCATGCCGACCGTGTAGCTGGTATCCCCAAGCCAGTGGTTACCCTTGACCGGAAGGAGGCAAGGATGCTAGCGATCGCTAGCAAGTTCCGTTGCGAGGCTTGCGACAAGTCCTTCTCGCACGACGTCTTCTTGAGACGGCACCTCCTCACTAAATACCATGCTGACCGTGAGGCTGGTATCCCCAAGCCGGAGAGGGTCCCCAGCCCGAAGGAGGCAATGGCGATCGCTAGCAACAAGTTCCATTGCGAGGCCTGCGACAAGTCCTTCTTGTATGACTCCTACTTGACACGGCACCTCCGCAGCAAATCCCACATAAACCGTGTGGCTGGTATCCAGAAGCCCGCGGATACCACGAGCGCCGCTTACCAGAAGGAGGCAAGGATGCGAGTGATCGCTAGCAACAAGTTCCGTTGCGAGGCCTGCGAGCAGTCCTTCTCGCGTGATATCGACTTGAGACGGCACAACGACACGGCTCGGCATGCGACGAACGTGGAGCAGCTGAAGTCAGCGCTCTAACATACACTAACGTTTCTTTTTGTCCTGCATTACCACATTACTATCACGACATTGCTAGACACTAGCATCACGACATTTGCTAACGGATTTCATGCAAAAGCCCATTGGAGCAGCGTCCCGGCCGCATGGGCGTATGGGAGTACGATAACACGGACGGCCTCGGCTTGGTGGAGTACATGCACTGGGCCGAAGATCTTGACGTCGAGGTGGTGCTAGCGGTTCCCGCCGGACTGTACCTAAACGGCGACGTTGTTCCCGAGTCGGAGCTGGGCCCATTTGTGGAGGACGCGCTCAACGAACTTGAGTTTCTCAAGGGCGATATCTCCACTCCTTACGGCGCCTTGCGCGCCAAGCTAGGCCACCCCAAGCCGTGGGACATTAAGTTTGTCGAGGTCGGCAATGAAGACAACCTGTGGGGCGGCATCGACTCATACAAGAGCTACCGGCTTAAAATCTTCTACGACGCCATCAAAGCCAAGTACCCAGACATCTTCATCTTCTCGTCCACCGACGAGTTTACCTACAAGGAGTCAGGCCGCGACTACCACAAGTATACCCGTCCGGACTACTCCGTCTCCCAATTCACCCTGTTTGACAACTGGACTACTACTCACCCCGTTATTATTGGAGAGTAAGTGAATCGCTGTTTCCCCTCGCATCATTGATTCGGCAAGCTGACCCCCTTTCAAGGTATGCCACGATCCAAAACAACACTGGGAAGCTCGAAGACACAAACTGGGACAACCCCAAGAACGCATGGTCCAACTGGATCGGCTCTGTCGCCGAAGCCGTATTTCTGCTGGGCGCCGAGCGCAACGCTGACAAGATCTGGGGTACTTGCTTCGCGCCGCTGTTGCAAAACCTGAACAACTATCAGTGGGCGGTAAGCACATCCCTCTGTGACGACAGCATGTCCGAACAAACTCGAGGCTGGTGACCAAATACTAAACACTTTTTCTCTCCAATGATAGCCCGACCTGATTTCCTTCAGCGCCAACCCCGCGGACACGACCCTCTCGGTCTCGTACCCAATCATCAAGCTCTTCTCCAGCGCCCGCATCACTCACACCCTACCCACCACGTCCAAGGAAAAGCCTAACTTCGGCCCACTGTACTACGCTGCCGGCCGCGGTGCCGACTCGTCCTACATCCTCAAGGCCGCCGTGTACAACAGCACCAACTCCGAAGACGTCCCCGTGAATGTCCACTTTGATGGGCTCAAGCATGGGGCCAAGGCTACACTCACCGTGCTGACGGCCCCAGACGGCGGGTGGGCCAAGAACACGCCGGGTCATGGGGATGCGGTCAAGGAAACCGTCAAGCATCTGACTGTTGGGAAGGGGGGACACGTGGAGTTCAGTCTGCCGGACTTGTCGGTCGCTGTTTTGATCGCGGGGAATAAATGATCGAGACTCGGTATCTGGTGGTTTAATTTTCGTGCGGTCGTTGTGTTGTGAAGTTTATATCCTGATAACTAATGCCGATATAATTATCGTTTGTGGCCAAGGTTGCGGGTGGCGAGGCTCGATACTGAGTGAACTCCCAACTAGCACCTGCTCTCTATTATACAACGCTAACTTGCCATTCATTCGTTCGCACATGTTTTATTGCTATCTTCGGGTATCCGGCTTGGTTTTAGATGCGTTATGCATGATGGATCATTAACGAGGACCTAAAGTCACTGTAGTATTCTACCATGAAAGAGAAAGTGAGTTCACTGGACCGTGATATCCTGTAATTCCTAAAACTCCTTCCCTATGCCAAGGCTAGAGGCAAGACACCTAAGCTCCCTCCTGCTGTTATACAGGAATCTGACCAAGTCTTCGGCGGACACAAGGAATAGCCCCGAGTCCGCCGAGTCGTGCTGACCATAGGCAAACCGGGGCGCCGTCCTTGATTTGTTCAACGGGCTAGCGTTGAGTTCCTGTTGATCCAGCACCGACAGGTCTTTGCATGTTGCTGAGATGCCGGTGATGTTTAAGGATTGGTTCCAGTGGCTAACTAAGGCATCGGTCTGTTTTCGTCTAACCAACATTCCGGGCACTGGGCAGAGTATGCCGATTTCCACCACGATACCCGCGACATGAAAATATCATCATCCGCACCAGGCCTTGGATTTCCTTTCCAGTAGGATGCTCTCCTCGGTCGGTACCGAAGGCAATCGCAGCAGAGAGCGACTGTCGTGCCCGGCCGGCCTCGCGTGTTCAGCGGTCTGATGCGCTTCAGCAGACCCTGCATTCGGGGGCAGTAGGCCCGGGACCTATGCGCTGGTGCAGAAGGGATCGAAAGAGAGAGGGGTATTGAGACTTGGAGAAGCCACCTGCAGGTAAGGGCAAGACAGGGCCGATCTTCGGGGTCGACCTCAGAGAATATCATAAATAGGAGCTCAACCGGGAGGTGAAGAAGAGGGGCAGATAAGCTTGGCGGGGGCCCAATCAACTTAAAACGTCCAATCACCGTCAGTCTCCCACACATCCGGGATAAAAGCACGCTGACTTGGCCGAGGAAAAGCTGACGTACCTGTTCTGGAATGATAAAGGTCGTCAAAGGACACCCTCTGGCCATAATGTGCTAGGTTTGCGCGGAGTACCGGATTTCCGCATTTTAAAGCCCTGTCGTTTTCTCTGGGATGAGCGAAGGAACGTTCGAAGAAAGTCACCAAATTAACCTTGGCAAGCTTAGGCATCCAAAAACAGCAAGAATGTGCGATATGTGGTCCGTGCATAACCATGGTGGGTCCCTAGATCGGCAGAGCTGAACACCAAAACAACGCTGCTGTGCCAAAGTTTGCAGGTTCCAAAAACCAGAACCCGCAATGCCTGTTGTCAGTTTCAGCTTGTTCCAATCTCGGTCTTGACCTCCTACCCTCATCAGCGCATGAGCTACGCCACCCTTCAACTCATTCGCGTCGGCATTCCCCGTGTCTCCCCGTTTATTCGGCCCGAGTTGTCTCGCCACCGAGCCTCATCCTTGATTCTCACGACCAAACCCACTGTTTTCGTCCTGCACCGCAGCTGTGCTCCATTTGAAGCTGGGGATATGACTGGAGAACCCGGGGGAGAGTGGGGAGGTTGTGAGACTCCATATGGGGTCGTAGTGGGGAGACTCACGGCACTGCATGTCTTTGCACCAAACTTTTCAAATCATGCAGGAGTTTTATTTACCCAAATGCGGCCATGATGCCGGCCCTACATGCTGAGCATTGGTGCCGCATCACGGCATCTCCACCCAGTCTTTGTCGCTCAAAATGCCTTGCTACCATATCTTGCATATGTCCCGGTTTCCCATGCGTTCCTTCGGTCTCGCCTCATCCCGCCGCCCAGTTTCAGTCTTGCTTGGTCGCAACTCATTCAACTTTACGCCATGATATCCAAAGTCGACGAGGCTCAGGTTGAGCACTCCATCGAAAAAGATGGCTTGGCCCCTGGCCAACCCAGTGACGCCGAAGTGGACGCATTCATCGACCGTATGGAAGCGGAGCTCGCCGCCCAGGGAGGGTTGCGAAAAGGTCTTTTAGATCTCGAGTTCAAAAATCCAAAATACTTCACCTGGATCATCGTGCTGTTCGCATCAATGGGCGGCCTTTTGTCTGGTTTAGACCAGTCGACCATCTCGGGAGCCAACCTGTTTCTCCCTGTCGACTTGGGCCTAGATGAACGACAGAACAGTCTAGTCAACGCGGCAATGCCACTCGGTGCCGTCGGCGGTGCGCTTATTTTGTCGCCGAGCAATGAGATATTTGGACGCCGGTGGTCCATCATAATCTCTTGCATTCTTTACACGATTGGCGCCGCCCTCGAAGCGGGAGCCGTTAACTATGGTTCGTTTTGCCCGTGTCATGGAGCTTCGAGTGAAATCGAGTTATCTAATCCAGAATAGGCATCATTATCGGCGGGCGCGTCCTTCTTGGAATGGGGGTCGGTCTTGAAGGTGGGACAGTGCCCGTCTACGTTGCCGAGACCGCTGCACGCAAGGTCCGTGGCAACTTGGTCTCGCTTTACCAGTTCAACATTGCATTGGGCGAGGTGCTCGGTTATGCGGTGTCGGCCATGTTCCTTCGAGTTCCTGGGAATTGGCGGTACATTCTAGGCTCCTCGCTTGTGTTCTCCACCATCATGCTCATTGGCATGTTGTTCTTGCCCGAGTCCCCACGTTATTTGATGCATAAGGGCCGAGTGCTCGACGCATACTGCGTGTGGAAGCGCATCCGCGGTATCAGCGATCCGGAGGCCCGCCGCGAGTTCTTCGTCATGCAAGCGTCGGTGCTTGAGGAAGCCCGTGTCGTCGCGGAGAGTGCCGTTAACAAGCGCCTACCCTGGCTCGACTTCTTTACGGTCCCTCGTGCACGCCGCGCCCTTATTTACGCCAACATCATGATCCTCCTCGGCCAGCTCACGGGCATCAACGCGATCATGTACTACATGTCGGTCCTCATGCACCAAATCGGCTTCGACGACGAGAACGCCAACTACATGTCGCTTGTTGGGGGTGGGTCGCTACTACTTGGAACCATTCCGGCCATCTTTTTGATGGAACGGTACGGCCGGCGGTTCTGGGCCAACGCGATGCTCCCCGGGTTCCTCGTCGGTCTCGCCATCATCGGGGGGAGCTATCAGATCCCTATCACGACGAACCCGAAGGGTTCCGAAGCTTGTTATCTCGTCGGGCTCATCGTGTACATGTCCTTCTTCGGTTGTTACGCCTGTCTCACCTGGGTTGTCCCGTCCGAGGTCTACCCTACATACCTGAGGTCCTACGGTATGACTACATCAGCCGCGCTGCTTTTCTTGGCCTCGTTCATCGTGACCTACAACTTCTCGGGCATGCAAGAAGCAATGACGCCCACAGGACTAGCTCTTGGCTTCTACGGTGGTATTGCTGTGGTAGGCTGGGTCTACCAGCTCTTATTCATGCCCGAGACGAAGGATAAGACCTTGGAGGAGATCGACTTACTTTTCCAGCGCCCGACGTCGGACATCGTAGCGGAAAACGTGAGAAACATGCGCGAATCTGTTAGGGGACTGTTCAAGGGACGGCAATCCAAGGCTTCTGGGGCTCCGAATGTGGCAAACTCAGTGTCGGAGAAAGAGAAGGCGTTGGCGGAAGGAGTTTAAGCCCGCCCGGTATTTTAGACTACCTATGTACTTGCTCATCAGCGAGCGCGTCCTCCACCTTGATTTTAGGAAGGTCCTAGGAGGCTCGTTTCCAGTTAAGCCTTTGCCGTGTCTGTTCTAATTGCGCATCCGATAGGACGCGTGATGTCAAATTGTCAATATTAACACCTGATCCCTTGAAGCCCCGAGATGGCACCGCGACCCGCGATGTGCACCTAGTGATGACGACGCGGTTTTTCAGGGCAATGAAGTTATGGCCTCGGCCCGGCTGGACTGTCGAGAAATCTTGAGGCGGACGCTCTCATCGCCATCCACCCTGTGGGTGTTCAAGAACGCGGAGGGATGGCGTTGAGTCAACCTTTTCGGGCCACGAACGGCATCCGTAAGACAGTAACTAGCCACAGTGAGCGAACCGTTGAAAATTCGGCCCTTTTTCTCCGCATGCATCACAAGCTCCCAGCGTCCATTCTCGGTCCGACGGGAACCCTAACATCGAAACACGGCCCGACAGGCGTCCGGTTCCTGGTTAGCCCCATGTGCCAAGCCCATCCCCGTGGTGCCCCGGATGCTCTCATTCGTGGATCGTCACAACCTGGGGAAAAACTGCCGCGCTACGCCTTGGCAAAATCGACGCGCAAACTCCCTTCCCCACACATCGGCAGCGTCATCCCAGGAGGCCCTCCCTCGGGAGCGGCAGCTGTTAACGCCCGAACGAGATGCCAAATTTACGGGATGGATGCCACGCTTCGCGGGTTACATTTACAGCTGCCAGGGGGGCGGCATCAACTCCGACAGCCTCCGACGGCCATGGCGACGGGGAGACTGGAGTATTTAACGACGAGCTCATCCCCGCAAGGGATGTGTTGAGACGAGCCTCAGCATCAGCATCCCTCAACACTCTCACCACTCTCATCAGCATCAACATCCTCCCAAAATGAAGACTTCACACGGAGCTGCGCTCTTTGCCCTCGCCGAGCTGGTTTACGGCCATGGCTACCTGACAATCCCGTCTAGCCGGACTCGACTCGGCGCAGAGGTACGTTCACCCTCAAATTCTGCGATAGATGGCTCCCCACCGACCGTGACTCTGTTCTAGGCCGGGGTCGACACTTGTCCCGAGTGCACCATCTTGGAACCTGTACAGTCCTGGCCCGACCTGGACTCTGCCCCTGTCGGCCGGAGCGGCCCTTGCGGTTACAACGCCCGCGTCAGCGTCGACTACAACCAACCGACCGACAAATGGGGCGCTTCAGTCGTCGAAACCTATGCTCCCGGTCAGGTCGTTGACGTACAGTGGTGCGTTGACCACAATGGTGACCACGGCGGAATGTTCACCTACCGGCTCTGCCAGAACCAGACCCTCGTCGACAAGTTTCTGGATCCCACCTACCTCCCTACCGACGATGAGAAACAAGCCGCCGAAGACTGCTTCGAAGCCGGAACGCTGCCGTGCACCGACGTGTCAGGCCAAGATTGCGGATACAGCCCGGATTGCTCCGAAGGCGCGGCATGCTGGCGCAATGACTGGTTCACCTGCAACGCATTCCAGGCCGACAGCCGGCGCGGCTGCGAGGGTGTCGACAACTCAGAGCTTGGGGCTTGTTTCACAACCATCTCAGGCGGCTACACTGTCACCAAAAAGATCAAGATTCCCGACTACGAATCCGCGCACACCCTCTTGTCGTTCAAGTGGAACTCTTTCCAAACTGGCCAGATCTACCTCTCGTGCGCGGATATCGCGATCGCAAAGTAGGGGCTGCTACCAACGAGGCGTCGAGCTCGCCAGACGCTACCACTCATTGCCGGACTGTGCGAGTTCTTTCCGGCTGTTGGGAATCAAGGGGGATCGGGGCCAACATTAGCGCATCTCTAATATGGCCATTCATTTTCTCCACCCTGCCTCCTATTTAAGGTTTGAAGCTAGGAAGACTTGTTATTTTACCCTTCATGCCATGTAACAATATTCAAGTCAGGATAGTCGAATTGAGAATTGAAGCGAGATTCATCGAGTCTTGTCTTGGCTTTCCGACTGGGTTCTAAACTGGATCCGGCTTCGGTCCATCTGCGCGAGACCGTAGTTCGCAGAGGGAACAATAAATAATCCAGTCACCCTATAACCGTCTTAGAAGTAAGCTTACAAAGTGATATGCCCTATGTCATCAAAACAAGCAAAGCGTGCCCCCGTTTTCTTGAGCACCCAGGAGAAACAAACTTTTCCACGCCTCATTGAAGTTGAGGAAATGGAACGCCGCTTCACTCCAACGGCCCTCTGATATCTTCGTACCCGTTATGATTCGAAACCGTACAAAGCTTCAACTACCTCTAGGTAGGAAATCAGCGACGTCGCCCGGCTGCGTCACTCATTGTTAGGGGGTCGGTCGCCGCTACACTCAGCTTCCCAACCAGTCTAGGTGGGGCCGAAGCTGCCTAACTGTTCAGCTCATCGCACACCAAACCTGGAACTACCAAACTTCACTGAACACGCTTCAAGCCGATACGGCCTGTCCACCTGGAAAGCGCTCAGCTATTCCTCGCAGGTCAAGTTCTTTGAGACCTTCTTATTCCCCACTCCTCACCGACTTGAGACTTGAGCCACCTCCCGCTATGCCGCCCTGGTCCAATTTTCAGTTTTGGAGCCCACCCGAGGATCCGGAGCGGCCGGTGTTGCCATACGTGTCCGCCTTAACCGTTACCATCACTGAGCACGTCCCTCCGGAACCGTTCGGCCTGCCATCGGTGTATCCCCTCATCGAGCCGCCCTACAATATATCTGACGAACACCTCAAATCCTTGACGCAGGGCAAAGACACCATAATTAGACAACCTACTGGGCCGTATGCGGGTTCTCGCCGCCATACAGCAGGCGGTTCCAAACGGGATGCGGCTTCGGCTCATCCGCTCAAGACCGTGGTTCGTAAACAAAACGGTAAAATAATCCGGTCAATCAATTAACGGGGACATGGATAGCTGCGGATAGCGACATGTTGTGACGCGGCGAAAAGGTCCTGCTAGTGCCTGCCAAGACTCTTAGGATAGTTTCCCGATCGGAGGGGCGGCTCAAGACATTCCGCAGTGGAAAGAGTAATAACACTTGAGATTCCATAAGAATTCAACTTTTTCACAGACTTTCAGCATCCAAAACCTTCTCTGTCCCAACTTTGTGGTCTCTGAACATCCATCACAATGCGCATCCCCACTTCAAATCTCCTGGTGGCTCACCTCCTCGCCGCCACGGCTGGCGCTCGCTGCACCGGGCAAGGCCGGGACAAGTTTGTCTCGGTCGAGGGCGATAAATTCAAGCTCGCCGGCAAACCTTTTCATTTTGCAGGGAGCAACGCCTACTATTTCCCGTTCAACGGGGTATGTTCCTCGCTTACGATGAGTTGTTTTTTCTCCAGTTGGACTGACCTGGTGATAGAATCAGCAAGACATCGAAAACGGGTTGACGGCTGCCAAGAATGCAGGTCTTTCCGTGTTCCGGACTTGGGGTTTCAACGACAAAAACAAGACGTACATCCCCGATGGCCTTCCTCAGTACGGAGGGGAAGGTGCTGGCCCATCGGATGTCGTCTTCCAGTGGTGGCATCCCAATGGCACTTCCACCATTGACCTGAGCGGATTTGACAAAGTTGTCAAGGCTGCCGAAAAGACTGGCATCAAGCTTCTCGTCACGCTGACCAACAACTGGGCTGATTACGGAGGCATGGACGTGTACACCGTGAACCTCGGCGGCAAATACCACGACGATGTATGTCCTGCCGCACCTCATCAATTACCCCTCTGGGAAGCTAACCCCCCGGGACAGTTCTACAGGGTGCCAAAGATCAAGGACGCATTCAAACGATACGTCAAAGCACTGGTTACCCGGTACAAGGATTCACCCGCCGTGTTCGCATGGGAACTTAGCAACGAGCCCCGGTGCGGAGCCGACGCAGTCCGCAACCTCCCGGCCAGCGACAACTGCTCACCCGAGGTGCTGTCCGCCTGGATTGCCGAGATCAGCGCATATATCAAGTCTCTAGACAACAACCATCTCGTTACTTGGGGAGGTGAGGGCGGCTTCAACCGCGACTCGGATGACTCGTTTTATAACGGCTCGGATGGCGGCGACTTTGACCACGAGTTAACCATTGACACCATCGACTTTGGCGTTTTCCATTCCTACCCAGACTGGTGGAGCAAAACGGTGGAATGGACGGACCAGTGGGTTCGTGACCATGCCAGCGCCGGGCGAAAAGCTGGTAAGCCCGTTGTCCACGAGGAGTACGGTTGGTTGACGCCGGAAAAAAGGCTGGAGTACACCGGCAAGATCGACAATCGGACGCGGGTTGAGGTGCTGAGCAAATGGCAAAAGACAACGGTGGAGGAAAAGCTTGCCGGGAGCATGTACTGGCAGTACGGATACTCGGAGTATTCGTATGGCCGGAACAATGACGATGGGTTTACCATTTACATTGAGGATGAGGAGGCGCAGACTCTTGTCTATGGCCATGCGGAAGAGATGAATGGCTTGAACGTCGAGTAAATGCACGAGCTAATCTAGAAAATCTTCCTAAAAACCCCTCTTTGTCTCACTTTGCCGCTTTGAGGCATGGACGCCCAGCCCTCGCCGAGCAGGTTGCCGAGATGACATGGAGCACCGTCTACAAATCAGACTTGGGTTCTTGAAGCCAAGTCGGACCAAGCCGGTTCCTCTCTGCTCGGCCCTGCGCGTGCGTCTCTGGCACGAGCGGGGCGGTCAACAGCACGTATGTCGTATAAATACTCCCCCTTAAATGAAGTCTGTCTTGTTTTGTTCTTTTCGTCTCTCTATTTCTCGACCAACGATGAAATCATACGTCCTCCTCCTTGCAATTGCTGCCGCTGCTTTCGGCCAATACACCGGCCCATGCACTACCTCAGCGTGCGGCGCCGGGGGCAATCCATGTCCAAGGGGTTACCTCTGCGTCCCATACCCCAACTTCGATCCCGCCCAGAGGAAGGGTTGCGCCTGCAGTTATGGATGAGTCGTTCATATCTACATGAAGCTCGGCCCGATAGCCGCAATCAAACGTACGACTTACAGGCCCCAAGAAAAACGGTCGAGACTAACTGGAGCAAAGTTTTCCCAGCAATTATCGAAACACGTCGTCGATGTAACAAGGCGGATTTGGAGGCGTCGGAAGGAACATGGGATATGAAATGCAACTGTTCGGTGCCACTTTTGCGAGAAGCAAGGAAGTAAAGATTACCTAGCTTACTGTGTACTCTATCACTTTCGATGAAATGTAAACTCGACCGTTGACCTTGACGAGTCGGGTGTCACCATACATCCGCTTTCACCTCTGCGTCGTTGTTGTGTCCATCCTACTGACCTAGAAAATCTGTTGCCGACACAATACCATCAACAGAAGTGGCCTCCTCTTTCCCAAAACATTGGGTGTTGCCTTCGCCACAAGCCAACCGAATATCCACGACCCCTATAACGTACGCCGATCTAGACGACTAGGTCAGCAACGCCAAAGGACGTGAACAACTTGAAACACGCACTTAACAAGCTGGTCCTGGCACGTGAGTGTTTGGTTAAGCGTAAAAGCCGCTATGTTCAAGTTTATTTGCAGCCAAATGTGGAACGAGTCGTCTTCGGGCGTCCCGTCCAGTTCGCATATGTAATTTGCGCGCAGCGTGCAGTTGAGATCCTCAGTTGTATTCGTCAATGTGTTGAGAACCGACCAAGAGGCCGTGCCAGGACGTTCCGGTTGATCATGAGTCACGTTTACATGTGTCACCTCCCACAGGCCCTGGATGGGTGTCTTGTCGGAACAATCGGATAGCTGTTGTCGAGGGACGACGGATTGGCCGAAAGAAAATAAGCTCGCTGAGACGATTGGAAGAAAGGCCGAAAACCGACGGATCAGGGCCATAGCTTTGACACTTGGAAAAGTAAATAGGAATGTACGGGAGGAGACCGAGTAACGGCGACAGCATGTGGGCGAGACTAAATAACATTAACCGCACATGGATCACGACCAAAGCCGTATCTTGGGCGGACATATATCCAAGTTCGCCCATCGTTCACTCTATAATTAATTACCCGTCGCCTTTGGTTCGACCAGCCTGCAATTAACCATCTCACCCATTTCCGGATGCGTTCCCCGTCGCTCACGGGAGACGTCTGTTTAACCAAGTCTCCAGGGACGCAATATTTAGCCGATACCACGGTCCATTGAGTTTGTGACCTTCGGCATTCGTAAACATGGGATCTTTACAACGCATCAATCCATTCAAGCTTTTGCTGTGGTCGTACGATGAAGTAAGAGGTAAGACTATTCCCCAAGTTCGGCCCCTGACCAGACAAGCGATGCATTCAACATTCCACATTAAAGAGTTTCCACCCCTCGCCCTACCCGTATCAACATCAAGTCACACAGTACGGGTATTATAGAATAATGTTTAGCTACTTCTCCCATAAGGTGCCGAGGTTCCCCTTTTTGCGGGAGTAGCCTGACACCGAATTACGTACAAGTCTACATCTCAAAGGTATGCAAATGGTACAGTACGTATGGCAAATACCATACGACCAAATGTCCGCAAGATGTATCAACGGAACTGGATGCACTAGGTAATAGCATATCCATAGCCCCTAGAAAATCTCTTATCACCTTTCATCTTCCTCGCCTTCGTTATCTTGATCAACGAGCTTGCTTCCTTCTGGGGGAAATTGGGAGAGAAGTAAAACACTCCCGGCCAGAAATGCAATACCCTGCATTTGATTAGCAAATGGCCGCCGAGCGAATCAGTTAGAAAACTCACCGCGTTGACAAAGAAAGTCAAATGAGACTTTCCGATCTCCGAAAGACCAGCAAAGACAAATCCAAAAAGCCCCTGAGTCGCCAACCTCGCAATATTTTCGACAAGCGTCAGAGCGTTCAAGGCATCAGCTCTGTTAGATGGCGAACACATCTCTGTCATGACACCCTTAGCTGCGGGAGCCGTACCAGAGGCAAATGGGAGTAAACAGGCGGCTACGACACGTTAGCCAACCTCGTTAGCGTTAATCTTATGTGAAAATCCTCACCCAAATAAATGTGCCAGCTTTTAGTAGCAAATGCTGCACACATGGTCAAAACCCCATCAACAACCAAGCTGATCCTCAAGAAGAAGAGGTCAAAAGCGGTGCCCTCATCCTCTTTCACTTCTCTCGCCGCGATAGGCTCTTCCTCAGCCAAACTTGCCATGGGCGCCTCCAATTCCTCCGGATTTGTTGCCAAGCAAGGCGAAGGTGGTGACTCATTGGTGACGGCCACACTCCTTTTCTCACGGGCCAGGTACCATTTCCGGCCACTGTTGATGATGCGGGGGAAAATCAAGATGAGGAACGTGGCACGCATAAAGGCAAATCCGGACATGAGCCACCCATTGTCGCCCTGTTGGAACTCAAACTTCGCCGTGGCATACATTTGGATCAACAACGGTGCATAGCCAGTGGCCAACTACCGCAGGGGTTAGCGATCGTACCGCTTTGTGGCGAGGAAATAGGGAAAATGGTAGAAGGCCAAAGGGATTGGGCTGTGGAATTTGGAATCGACGTACCACACCGAGAAATACCCCCGCGCAGAGAAATATGACTCCGTAATGTTTCCTCGTGAGTCCAGTGCGAAGTAGAACCCTTTGAGGAGCGAGGATGCGTAGCGGGGACAAGAACCCAGAAACAGTTTTCGAACTCGGCTTCGTGGCTCCCGACAGGGCGTCTGCGGCTATGTACGGTATGGCAAGGCGAACATAAAGGGTGGAAATGAGAAAAAAGTAAAACGCGACCTCGAAGGGGCGACGAATACCCCATTCGTCACCAATCATGCCGCCAGCTGTCGAGAATAGATTAGAGTGGCTCTTGACAAACGGAAGTAGGAACCCGTACTTAGATAGCCAATGCCCTGCCCAAGCATGATACAACCTTGCAACATACCAAACACGGCCGTTCGGCGTAACGGCTCGACCACCTCACCAGCAATAATGTTGGCCACGAGGCTAAGAATATGTTAAAACTCTCTCTCCGATCGATATCGGCACTGGCGGACGACACTCACATGTATCCCACTGGGCCTCCGATAATGGTGATGAGCTGTGTGCACTGGAAAATAACGATTCCCGCTTGGCCACCTGCTAACACGCCTAGGATTTGAGTAGAAACACGTATTGCAGGAACCAGTGTCTGAATCATGAGGGCGGCACGCGGGCCGAACCGCTTGGTCATCCAGCCCGCGAGGAACAAGTTGATGGTGCCACAAAATGTGGTGCTCATACCCAAGATTGAGAATTGTGTCGCCGTCCCTGCGGCAATTTCGTTTCGGCTACATCGATCGCCAGGGCCGTCAAAGGGTGGGTGCGTTTGGTAAAACACATCACATTCCATCAAGTGAAAAGCGTAAAAGATTCTGCGGTTTGGAATTTGAGATGAGCAAATCAAAATCCGAGGCGGTCACTAGGTACCCAGACTCACGGAACTTGTGTGAAGCTAAACGAAAGCGTAATAAGAAAACCAGCGAGTAAAATCCGTTTTTCGACGTGCACTAAAAGAAGAGAGTGCAAAGAGGCGGCGACACGCTGGCTCCATGATTTCGTTCCCCCGTTACCCGGCGGTGTGTCTTTGAAACTGGGCGGGCTTTCCGAAGATGCCGGTTGCTCCGCGCCCAACAATGGGGTACGTTCGCTGGGTGTTGAAGTCATCACCGTGCTGTCGCCCGCCGGTCTCCTCCAAATCCTCACAGTTTGAAATGGGAAGTTCTCGCAGAGGGCGGGAAATTTGCTTATCGGCGAATCGGGGGGAGTATGGCAGGGTATGGGTCGGACGGGTCCGGGCCTGTCCCGGCTGAAAGCAGCCGAACACCGAGAGCGGAGCACCCATTCTCCGCCCTCGGATTCCCGGGCCAGTCAGGGCCGGTGGGTTTTCGGCTTGGTTCGCGCATGCTGCAAAAATTACAAAACAACACGGAAACGTAAAGTACAATTGTCACCTGCGGACATGACCGTAATTTGCTTAAAAAATAAAAAAAACGTGTTACACATTAGGTATTAACATGACTGATCGCTAGCCTATGACGTTAAGCCAGATCCCTCTTCGTAACCTTCACATTCATATCGCTCTGGATGAAGACAGCCGCATTGAACGACGTCCAAGGATTGGTGGGATCGAGCAAGGCAATGTCGAAACGACGGAGGAGCTACAGCAGTCAGCATTTCCCAGTTCACCAGAACAGAATACGAAACTCAGTGGACTCTTACCTCAACATATGTCTTGTTCAACTCAATCTGTGCCACAGTCTTGCCCAGACACTCCCAGCGGCTGCCAGAAGCAAACTCCATCATAACAGTCTGATCCATGGTCCTATACCTGTCTACATCAATGTTGAGCCATCTCTCAGGGCGGAACACATCGGCATCCTCGCCAAAAGTCTCCTTGTTCCGGAGAAAGGTAAACGGAGCCCAAGCAATGTTGGTGCCAGCCGGAATATGGACACCACAGACAACCTGGTCCTGATCGGAAACCTTGGGCAGCGCGGCGGTCGCGGGGGGCCACAAGCGCAAGCCCTCGCGGATGACAGCCTGCAAGTAAGGCAGCTCTCTGGCTTCGGCGTCGGTGATGGGAGACGAAATGCGCCCCTCTTGAATACCGGTGTCAATTTCGGCCTGGAGACGGCGGTAGACCAGGGGGTTTGTGATGATGAAAAGTAGAGTGGAACGGATGGCAGTTGCTGAAGTATCAGAACCGGCAATAATCTGAACAACAGTCTCGCCCTCGGCTTCCTCCCGAGTCAAGCCGTGGGCGACGAAGGAGCCGAGCATGTCCCTCTTGATGACCGGCTTTTCACCGTACCGCTCGGCCACGGCTTGGTGGGCGGTTTTGATCACGGTGCCAATACCGACAACCTTGTCAATGTCAGGCATGAACGCCTTGAGCCGTGGGGACTGGATAACCCGGAGGAGCCACGGGAGGAAGCCAATGGTAAGCATGATCGGGAGGGTGCTTTCCGTGGTTGCAATGTAGCTATGGAGGTCTTTATCGGCCTCGAGATAGCCGAGTTCCTTGCCGAATGCGAGGGCGGAGATGACATCGAGAGTGAAATATTGGACCTTGCGCGCCAGATCGACGGGTTTGAATTCACCTTCGCTCGAGAGATACTTATTTTCAAGTAACGACACCAACCCTGCGACCTGCCGGTCGATGAGCTGATGAAGGTTGTCGACATCTTTGCCGCCGTAGCCTGGCATGAGCTTTGCCCTCAGGGCCTCATGGATTTGGTCGTCGGTTGTAGAGAAGGCGTTGTCCTTGTAAGGGTCAAACCGAAAACTCCGGTACCAAAATGGTCGCTTGAAGGCCGACCGGACACCCCAGATGCGCCGCAGTTCTGCAGCATCGCCGCACACAACCCAGTTGGGTGCGATTCTTGCAATGGGACCTGCGCAATGTTTGTTAGTTAGATCTGTACTTTTGGAGAATTGCTGTGATTTCAGCTGCGCTATAGCGAAACGCACCGTATTTCTTATTTGCATCCTGCAGGATAAAGCAGAAACGGCCGCTCAACTGCGCGCGAATCACCCAGAGATCCGTCCACGCGGTCCAAAACGGACCTGGTATGTGTCTCGAACGCAAAAATCCCTGGACACGCGTGATAATCAAATAAGAAATAGCTAGGCCGAGCCCGATGAGGGCGACCGATGGGAGCTCATGCGGCAACATGGTGAAGCCCGGGAGTCGTTCAACACTGATGCGCTGCGGGAAGACGATGAATTGGGATTGTTGGTGTAACCGAGGCTGGGGTGTTGCTGCAGCACATACCGTGCGGGAGGATGGGAGAACAGAGAGGGGAGTTTGCGCCACCAGCGCTGGGATTCCAGCATTCTTGCGCTACTGTGTGGGCAAATGTCTGCTGGGACGAAACGGGCATGGGCTCGTCGACTAGTCGACCCGGAACGGTGTCCCGGGCTTGCGATTTGCAAGAGTGCGACCAATGGTGTTGCTTCGCCTGGGGTGAAATCCCAGCCCGCGCACTGGCCGACTGTTCGCCACGTCATAGGCTATCCCAGCTCGAGTTCATCGCTGGCATAACGTTTTTTTTTTGATGTGATGGCCCAAAAGGCTCCAATAACTAACGCCAGGGGACCCCCACGAGACCGACCGAATTGGGAATTAGAAGCTCGGGTTGCCCCAGCACAGACCAGGGACGGAGCTTTGCGGGCATGGCGCCATGGATGTGAGCCCTGATCAGTGAGTGCAACAGTGCAAAATCCGGTGTCCCGTCGCCCCGCTTCGGCTTCCCGCTCAGGTTGACGGGGAAGAGACGGGGTCCCCAAGACAAGAAGAAGAGCAACAGGGCAGGACGCTGCCCTAACGTTCATGTACTGTGTACGGATACGAGTACCTTTGTACCTTACAAAAAGCCGGCCTGCCGCGCCGACCGCGACAACCTCTTCGGTTGGGCTTCCCTCGAAATTTCCGCAACGGACCGTAACGCCATTCCGCAATCGCGTCGACGGCGACAAACTAGCACCGCCCAGACTACCTACGCAGCACACGCCCACAAGCCACGACTCGCTAGAACGCCCAGGACCAGCGCAGGAACAGCGCGACACAGCGCGATTCAGCGCGACACAATGTCTGACCCGGCTCCCGCAGAAACTCCCGCAGAGGCGCCCGTAGACGCACCCTCACCCACACAAGCGCCCACAACAGCGCCCACAACAGCTCCCACAGAGGCCGAACCTCAACCCCATCGAGATGAAGTCGAGCTGGTGCGTTCCAAATTCCAGCTGCGCTCCCGCCCCGTCGAACAAAAATTGCACGATGCACCGGTGGTGTTAGGATGCTGGTTCAGAGATTACAGGGCGTCGTGCCAAGGGTTTTACTAACCATTAAATAGGGGCCAGGGGAGGATCACGACGACGACGACTATGATGGCTACGAGTCAGGCGATGGTGTATGTAAGCCTCTACGACGTTTTCTCACCACCGACTGACATCTGCTAGTCATCCGCTTCCAGCCTTGTCTCGCTCCAGTCCATGATCTTTGCGTACCACGAGGAAAATGGGCGAACCTACCATGCGATGAGCGCCGGGAAATACTTCATGCCCAACGACGCAGTACGTGCCACCCGATCTTGCCCCGGGCCCACACTGATTAATCCGCGTCATTCTAGTCTGAAGTAGAACGTCTCGGTACGTTCTTTATCAGAAGCACGAGGAATTAGCGGCAACTAACCGCCGCAGACTTGCAACACCATATTTTTCGATTGACGTTTGACGACGAGATCTGCCTGTGCCCCAAAAAGGATGGCGCAAAGCGAGTCCTTGACCTTGGGACAGGGACGGGGATTTGGTGCATCGACTATGGTAAGAAATGACTACCCCATGCCGTTCCGGTGCACGCTAACCCGAGGTCAGCGGACGAGCATCCCGAGGCAGAGGTACTTTCATGACATCCTCTCGAGTCTCACCGAACCGGTCGTTAACTTCTCGCGCTTAGGTGATTGGGGTAGATCTCAGTCCAGTCCAACCAGAATTGTACGCGAGCTCAACCCCGCCTCCCTTGATTTTCGCAGCCTCACTGACATTCATCCAGTGTTCCCCCAAATTGCTCATTTGAGGTACAGTCCGCTCTCCTCCAACGCGGAGAACGACAACTAACCCTGCCAGATCGACGATCTAGAAAAGTACTGGACCTGGACGAAACCATTCGACTTCATTTTTAGCCGCTTTATGACTGGGAGCTTTGCCGATAATGCCGCCATCGTGAGGAAGGTGTATGACCAACTCGAGCCCGGCGGATATTTTGAGGCACAGGATATGGCCCTCCCCATCGGTTGCGACGACGGTACCTTTACAGAGAAGTCGGATCTCTGGACCTGGATGACCTGGCTAATGAAGTCCATGGAAACGATGGGTCGCCCCCTCTCGGCAGCCCAGAAATGGAAGCCGCTGATGGAGGAGGCCGGGTTCGAAGATGTCGTCGAATATGTTTACAAATGGCCGACCAACAGTTGGCCACGCGACCCCAAGTATAAACGACTAGGTGCGTGGGCTCTCCATGACATGGACCCCGTTCTAGAGTCGGCCATCTTGGCGCCGATTACTCGAGCCCTTGGCTGGAGTCAGGAGGAGGCGATCGTACTTGCGGCGAACGCGAGGAAGGTTTTGCGGGATACAAAAGTCCATGCCTATTGGCCGATGTCAGTGCCCCCTGAGGTCAAATAGTTGGGGGCCAAATTCGCTAACGAAGCACAGATATGTTGTCTATGGTCGAAAACCGGCGGCAAAACACGCACCAACAGAACCCGGAGGTGCATGAACAAGAAAACTGCGGACTGCCACATACGAGAGCCTCGGCGCGCGGTAGTGAGCTAGCTACAAATCCTTGTGAAATACGAATACCCATTTATGATTCAGTCGTACTCCATCCAGTCATCGTCTGGTCCTTCACCCCCGCCAAGGACCAGTACTTGGAGGTGAACACCATCTTCTCGCGTTGTGCCTCGACCACCCCGAAGACAGACTCAACATGCTTGTTTCTAGCAATAGGAATGGTTGTCTAATTGGCCTAGAAACACCGCGGACGACGGCGCCCGCGCAGGAAGGTTCTGGATTAACGGGAAACACTGTGATTCGCAGATATAAATGGAGGCCCCCGGTGATCATGTATTTTCAGATTGACAAGTATGGCCGCAACCAGGATGTCTCTCAAACTCTCAAACTTCAATGAGTTTTTCATTGTAGGTATTCCAGAACCTATCATCCCCGAAGGGAAGCCTCGACTGGCCACATAAACCCATACCTTTACGCTTGAATGGTTGTCCAACCCAAAGAAAATGGCCCATCCCCAGCATGGAACGACCACCGTGAGCCACAAGGTTTAATGCTAACGCTAGTCCGTTCCGTGCGCTCTCCCACCCTCCGCAGCGTCGCGGCTTCTGTACCTCTCTTGGTTCAGGTCGAATTATCCACCTCAGTAAGAAGAGCACGGCCCCCGTGAGGGCCCTCATGCCGTCTTGCTTTAGCTCTCTGGACGAGGTTGCGCAAGTCCCATTCATGCCACTGCTCTTGAGCCATATACACCCATTCCTGACGCTCGGCGATCCAGCTCCGGCCGGGCAGGAAGACCTCCAGCATGTAGTACAGCTCTCGGCTGTAAGGGTAATCGACTGTGTGAGGGCCTTCTTGGCTCAAAAACGAGTCGGCGCCCGCGCGCATCTCCGCATCCGACATGCGATAATGAGGGCGCCGGTCAGATGTGTTGCGGCTGTGCCGGCGGATGGATCGCATCGTTGAATCAAGATGCGCTTCCAAGATCCGCGCGTATTGTAGTGGACTGGATAAAGATGCGAGAACGATGCGGCGGTTCCGGGCTAGGAGATCCTGGTTCCAGGGCGGAGAGGTCCCGCGAGGTACCGTCGGGATCGGGACGCCGTTATCCAGGTGGTCTTGCCAGTGCGCAAAGTCCACGGCAGCACAGAGAGCCGTCCAGCGGACCATGCAGGTCACACACGTGCAGTGAAGGGTGTTGTCCGAAAGGGGAATATTTTGTAGGACGCTCCGGGGCGATACAACGACGTCGGAGCGGTCCGGGCTTTGAAGCAAGAGCCGAACCTCCGGATCCACCTCATTTATCGGAACCGGTGGGATCAGGCATCGTTCGAGAATTGGATACCGCAACTGGACAATCCGCCCTACGATGTCGGATTCGTTGGCGAGGAGGAATGCACGGAGCGAGCGGTTGACCCCTGACAAAGCCAAGATATCGCTCGGGCGGAGCAAGTACAAGATTCCCGTGAACAGCTCGAGAGGAAGGTCAAGAAATTCGCGATGCTCATTTTGCGTACTTGATATCGCGGCTTGCGCCCTCTTCTCTCGCCTTCTCCTCTGTCGTTCCGTCCGTTTCGATCTCAAAGCCAGCGGTTGGGTCAGGTCCTCTACAGGTTCTAAGTCTGAATCGCCTTCTCCCACGATGGTTTCCCTTTTGGTCGGCATTTTGTGTTTTGATTGAGCTTGAGCCAAGGATCCACAGAGTCGAGCGCTGCAGCTTGGCATGATTGTATGTACCATCACGTGACCGTGTATTTAGTTTCTCCCATTGCCACAATGTATAGTTAACACTATATCTAACTGTAATATAACCGGATACATGTTCCTGAGGTGAAATTGTCAAAGATCATAGCTAAAATTTGGGAATCTAAACCTGCTTTACGTCGTACACCTGCCGTTAAGCCCAACCAACGTCTGGGAGGTTAATTGCGTCGGTACGCAAGCTTTCTGTTGTGAACTTCAGTATTAAGAGACCGCTTCAAATGGCTGGATGAAAATTCGGGGTCCTCTCTACAGAATTTACTCGATAATTATTAGCACTAAGTCCACGTTCCCTACGTGGATCCTCTTGACCTGGACAATGGTTCACTCGAAGCGTATTCACAACCCTAGTGGGGCGTAGCTGTCTGTCTGGCTGTCCGTTTCACCCTTGTCCACCCGTGATGACAGGATTCTATGAAACCTCAAACTCCCCTAACCTACGTGAAGCACAATGGGCCAATGAGACAAAAGCCAACCGATCCACGCTGCGCCACGCTCCTTCGTCTCCCCAGCGTCATGATTTGCCCATGCGTGTGACCTATCACGGCAGTGCTGACGGGCGAGTGAAAGTAGACGAGACCATCGATAAGACCAATTCCGTGACAAGGATCTTATTTGAGGCGGTCGGGAGGATGAGGGGAAGCCTCTTAAGCTTGAATCCTGCAGCCCGAGGAAGGGACGGAGCAGGTCTTTTCTTTTACTGCAACGAGTTGAGTGTCTGGGCACCGGTCGATGATATGCTGGCCGCGCCGGTTCCCGTGGCTGGTTGTCAAACGCTGAGTTCATCCGTTGATTCTGTTGCGGGAGACGATCACGGAGTATTATGCATGGTGGTTTGACCGCGTGGAGTCACGCTGGAGGAGGCGATATTCGGGCCGTTAGAGGTAGGTAAAACCTTGATGTAGATAATTAAGGAATCTTGTATAAGGTTAGAATGCTTGGCCCGTTATTCTGTGTTACTCGAGAAGCCGAACATCACCAGCATCCTCCGTCCTCAGTAATTCGCCTCCGAGCTGGCACTCGGTATATTCTGATTTATTCCGGTCTATAATACCTCCCAGTCCACTTACACGATTCATTGCAACACTCCCTCACAATGTCCGGCTGCAAGTACTACCCCCCGGAGGACTTGGACGAGCTCGAGGAACTGGCCGAGGCCGCCACCGGCCCGCAGCAAGAGGCTGCGCTCCAAATCATCGCCGCACACTTCCATGATGCGCATCTAGCCTATGGAGTTATGGGGGGCTTGAACTTCTGCGTGCGTGGCTCCGGTCGAGCAACCCAGGATGTGGATGTGGCTGTTAGCAAGAATAGGAGCTTGGAAGCAACACTCGGGCTCCTGTCGGGTGACAACCGGTAAGCGGCTGGAAACCCTGGACTATTACGAATGCTTCTACCCCAAAGTAATCAACCTAGCTGACGGATTTGGTAATGAAATAGCATCACTCGTCCCAAGAGCAAGACGGCCTGGGTCAGCGGCGTAGCGCGTATTTTTGTCCTCGTCGGGCGCCAGCAGGTACAGATTGACCTCAAATGGCAGCGCGCGGAGGGTCACGGTATGCCAGAAGACCTAATGGCTGCTACCGAACTCATCGAAATCGGTGGGCGCACCAAAATGCCCGTCCGTTTCTTCTCGGTTGGGCCGCTCGTAAAGGCCAAATTCCGGTCGTACGGGCGAGACTTTGACGGCGATTACACCGACTTGCGGTTTGTGTGCACCGACAAGCGCTACAGAAACGCCGTCCGGGAAATGGCCGATGCGATCCCGCGAGCTCAACGGATGGAACTTCTCGAGGAAGTTGAGGAGCATAATCCCAAAAGCGTCGCAACCGTTGCGTACGCATTGAAGCTCGACGACACGCCTGCTCCAGAGCCAGCTCGCCCAGCTGCTCAAACTGACAACAACAGGCAGAACCCGAACGGCGAGGGTTCCGGGACCCGGGGGAATGCTGCGAGTGGCCGAGCTGGCCCGAGGATCAGAAACCCCTCCTCCATCAGCTTCGCCCCAACGACCGCGGGCGCGTCGACATCGACCCCAAGGGCGACGACAAACACAACAACGACGACGACAACCAGGAGCAACAACACCGAGGCTAGTGGAAGCGGCGTAAGGCGGGAAAGAGCACCGCCCAACCCACCCTCCAACGCCCCAAAGTCGGAAGGGACTGCGGATAAGCCCAGGTCTCTAACCTCGAAACTTCGCACCTTGACCTTTTCCGACACACCCCAAGGTCCCTCCCCGCAATCGCCGACAACCAAAAACGCGGCGCCGCGGAAGCCAGCGAGACGAATTGCCACGGCGTCGAGTTCCAACCAACAACGTGACCGACCTCCCCCTGTCCCTCCAGTCGTCAACCTGCGTGGTGGGAAGAAACGGGAAGAGGACTAGAACAGAAGCTGGGATGTATGGAATATCGGCTGGACCGGATTGCTTGGGAGATGATAGGAGTGGGATGGTTCTTTGATGGGTGATCGTGAGGTGTATATGGACTGATCAGGCTTGTACATATCAGTATCTCAATAAATTCCGTACAAATTCTACCATGGCTCGGCCAAGACTGCACACATACGTACTCTAGAACCAAACATGATAGATCGTATATGCCGAGTTGTTTTGCAGTCTCCCAGCGCTTGTTTGTCCTTGGCCTCAAGGTTTATGTTATTAGGTACTTTGCATTCGGAAAAGATCTTAGTGGAACGGGAAAGACATGATAGCTCCGGTATCTTCACTTTATCGTCAAACCTAGGTATTCTTGTAAGCGTCACTCGTGGGTATCTACCAGTATGGTTTCCGGAGTAGCTCAGCACTGTTCCATCTACTTGACCTATTCATCAAGGACGATAAGTTGGGGGAAAAGTCAAACTGTGATCAACTAAAAAACACAATAGGAGAGCAAAAAATAAACTGACGTGATGTTTCAACACGCAGCAGTCCTTCGCCTGGGCTGGAACAGAGTTTCAGGGGTTGGGCGGGCCACGTTTCGCGTGCTGAGAGAGGCAAAGATCCACTGCAAGCACCATCCAAGTGGGGCGGTCGCCCGTTGCAAACTGTTGCTCACCCACCTTTTCAACATTGGCGAACCGGTTTCCGACAGCGCCCTGCAGGGCAATCTGCATCAGCTTCAGCGGGGATAACGACCCACACAAGCCACACTTCCGTCCCATCGCGACTTGGAATGGCCATGGCTAACGAGCTTGGACGACCTGCGACGCCGTTTTCCATGCCACCCATGCCGCGCACGCCCTCGTCGCAACCCGGATAAGATGTCGGCCTACGGCAGAAACTGGCCGTTCTGCTTCGTGCCCGGAAGGATACGCCGCACCATGGCCCTCGACCGACGCCTCGGGCGAGTAATCGCCATCGCCGCGGTCTTCACAGCCTTGATGCTACTGCTGCGACCGGCCCGACCACACTTCGGCTTCGACTCGAACGGGCGCGACCACGCAGACGGCAACACCCCTTCAGGCTCCGACCGGCCACAGGTCCGCTTCAAAGCTAGCGGCTTCGACTGGACCACCGTGGCCCAGCGGTACCCCGTCTCACTGACACACACGCTGCCCACGGGCTCTCCAAAGCAGCTGCCCCCCGTGCAACATGCCTTCACGGGTTATATCCACGATACCACGACCCACGCACGACAGCAAGCTGTGCGAGCGGCATTTGTCAAGAGCTGGAAGAGCTACAAGAAGGAGGCATGGCTGCGGGATGAGTTAGCCCCTGTGAGTGGTGGAGGGAAGACTACATTTGGTGGCTGGGCGGCGACTCTCGTGGATGCCCTCGACACACTCTGGATAATGGAACTCAAAGACGAATTCTACGAGGCTGCCGCTGCCGCTGCCCAGCTGGACTGGGCCCATACGTCCGACACTGCGGCGAATATGTTTGAGACCACCATTCGCCATCTTGCCGGCTTGCTGAGCGCCTACGATCTCAGCCATGAGCCTGCGCTCCTTGAAAAGGCGACCGAGCTAGGCAACATGCTGTACATGGGCTTTGACACGCCCAACCGCATGCCGGGATTCTGGTTCAACTTCCAGGACGCCCGAGACGGCCGCCAAGTCGCGGGCACGAACGACCCTTCAGCCAGCCCGTGCTCGCTCTCGCTCGAGTTCACCCGTCTGTCCCTGCTCACGGGCGACCCCAAGTTCTATGACGCCATTGCCCGGATTACCGATTTCCTTGAACGCACGCAGAGCGAATCCCAGCTGCCGGGCATCTGGCCGAAACTGATCAATTTCCGTGAACAGAGCGTCGACCGCGAGGGCGGCTTCACCCTCGGCGCGCTTGCTGACTCGCTGTACGAATACCTGCCGAAGATGACGGCGTTGTTGGGTGGACAGCTACCGGGCTACGAGAAAATGTACCGTGCGGCCATGAAGACAGCCAAACAGCACATGCTCTTTCGGCCCATGGTCCCCGATAATGATGCCGAGGGCCAGGGCGTTTTGTTCGCTGGTGACGCGGTTGTCCACGAGAATGGTATCGATCATATTGCCGAGGGTCAACACTTGTCATGCTTTGCAGGCGGCATGTTTGGGCTCGGAGGCAAATTGTACGATATCCCAGACTACGTCGACCTCGGCGAGCGGCTTGCGCGCGGTTGTTCGTGGGCCTACAGTGTCTTCCCCACCGGCCTGATGCCTGAGATTTTCACCATGATCGAATGTGAATCCATTGATGGACCATGCCCCTGGAATGAGAAGCGGTGGAAGAAAGAAGGCAACACCAAACTCCCCAAGGGCTTCAAGACAGCCCGTGACACGCGTTACATTCTCCGCCCGGAAGCTATCGAGAGCATCTTCCTGATGTATCGCATGACCGGGAAGGAGGAATACCGCGACTTTGCCTGGCGCATGTTCCAGGCCATTATGAAAGCCACCGAGACCCCTCTGGCCAACTCGGCGATTGCCGACGTCACGACACATGGAGCACCGGCGAAGTCTGATTCCATGGAGGTAAGCCAAGCTCCCTCCTCCATTCTACTTCTTCCCAGTGTCACAGTGATATGAACCCCTGCTCACTCCCCTCTTGCAGAGCTTCTGGCTCGCCGAAACGCTCAAATACTTTTACCTCATCTTCTCGCCACCGGATCTCATCAGCCTCGATGACTACGTCCTAAACACCGAGGCCCACCCCTTGCGACGAGCTAAGCCTGCCTAAACCTGCCGCAGTTTGATGTAATCTTGTAAACCCAACAGACACCGGGCCTTTTGGCACAAAAGTCATGACACGAGGGGCGAGGCCCCGCTCATGAATCACTTGAAATGTATATAAACTGCTTATACCCATGATTAGCAGCCTTTTTGAAGGGTTGTGCGAGGATGGGGAGAAAAATTACCAGAACGGAGGGAGATACTTTTTTTAGCGGCAGGTATGCCAGCACGGCGCCTGAAACTTGAATCACAGTTGGAGTTTCTCCCTATCCACCTACCTTCGGTACCTTATTCTGTCGGTCCAAGTCCCCCTATTGCCCACCTGGTTTACTTTGGGGCCCGACCCTTCCGGTCGAACATAGAACAGCCACAATTAACAAATGGAGTGTCGTCGATTGTCCAGCCACCACCCATCGCAACATCACATAGACCTCATAGAACACTAGTAAAAGCTTGTTTAGCCATAAGATTGGTATTTGTCTCCGGCTAAAGGAGAAATAAAGTAGTAGTCGTCTCAGCAACTAATATGCCACCCTACGGTCAAACTCCAAGCCAAGTGCAGCCAGACTCAAGCCCCAGCACAAACTCCAGTTCACAAAAGAAAAGCTGGAAGAATAAAAGCAAGCCACCGCGCCATCTTGACACCCCAACGTGAACTCCGGGCATCCCAAGTCACACCCAAACAAACACCACGCCACCCAGTTCATAATTTTGTTTGTCACCGCCAGAGTCACGCCAGCCAAACATGTAATTACATAAAAATTGACAAACGCGCAGCCCCAAACATGCCTTTTCCACGCCTTGATACGAGAAGGAAAGAAAGTGAGAAGAAGAAGGAAATTAAAGAAATAACAGAGTTCGAGAAAAGAGCAGTAGAAAAGAACCCGGCCAGCCAAGCTACTACTTTGCCGAAAACAGCCTCCGCCGGACGTTCTACGCCCCGCCGCGGTTCCGCAAACTGCTCACTCGTCCCAGGCCGAGCCACTTCCTCTTACCACCACCACCACCGCCGCTGCTGGTGCTGCTGTTCGCAAGCGAAGCACCCCCCATTTCAGGGTTCTCAATCCCCGGAGGCAAGACGCTGCCGTTACTTCCACCCCATGATCGGCGGGATGTCGATTTCTTCGCGGGGGGTGTGGCCACAGGAGCACCACCACTGCCGTTGTTCACACCCGTGCTCGGCACCTCGGTGCTGAGTCCATAATGCGTGCCGGCGCCGTTCTCCAGGGCAACACCACCATCTAAATCTTCCTCCTCTGTCGCCCCAGTGCCCCGATGTCCGTACCCGGGCGAGTCCTCCATAACACCGCCAGCTTTGCTCCTCAAAATCGGTGGCGGTGTTGCACCGGTCCGCTCTTCATCGCCCACCGAACCGCGCCGCACCCACGACGGCATGCCGATGCTCATGGATGTCGAACCAGAGCCGTTCCTCGCGGCCTGTCCCTGCGGCGGGGGAGGTCGGAAAGCCGTTTCCGTCGGCGGGGCACTAGCAGGGGGAGCAGGGAGATCACCAGCCGAGGCGGGCCCGCCTGAGCCTGAAATCGAGCGACGGAAAAAACTGTTGAGGCCGCGGGAGCGGGGCCGAGAAGACTGCGCCGGGGGCGGATAGTGCCGCTGCTGTTTGCCAGGAAGAGGCTGAGACGATGGGGAGTCCTGCGAGTTGTGCTGCCGAGGGGGCATCGGGGCCGCAGGAGGGGGGGCCTGGAGCTGCTTTGGCGGGACGGTCATGGCTCGGTCTTGTTTCAGGCCAAGCTCGGTCGAATGATGGCGAGGCGCGGGCGACGAACGGGCATCGGTGCTGTTACTCCGCGACCTACTGCTGCGTCCTGCCGTGGCGGGTGTGTTGCTGCCATTCGTATACGGTGTGTATGGCGAGCTGGATGGGCCAGCACGCGACGACGACGACGGCTGCGAGATGCCTTCCGTTCCAGGCGAGACATCTGCAGCGGCCACACCAGTCCGGGCGAATAAGCTGGAGCGCCGGTTGGGCGGGGGAACCGGTGGAGCGACCGTTCCGCGTACCGGGGTCATCCTTCCACCATTGGGAACTCCCGAACGAGGAAGTGGGGGGGTATAGATCTCAACGGTCTCCGTGTCCGCCGGGATGGACGCTGTTGTCGGGGAATACCCTTTGTAACCCTTCCCTGCAAGGGCTCCAAACATGGCATCCGCAGCCCAGCCAGCCTTGGAGGACGGTGGGAAAGAAAAGAGATCGGGCGAGAGACGCTCGTCAACAGGGTCTGTATCCGCTTGGGATGCCGAGCTCATGGGATCCAAGCCGTCCGTATCCTCTGGCTTCATGCTTTCGCGGAGCCAGGTATCCACGCTTGACGTTGTCGATACCCTTCGATGATGGGCCCGGAACTTTAAGCCATCTCCACCCGGCGTACTGTCGTCGCGAACGCGCCCACCAACCAGAGCCAAAGTGGGATGCAGAGTGGGCGTATCGGTCTGGCCAGCGCGGGAAGGCGGCTTGGGCTCGTGTTGACCCGAGGCCCTTGACGTGTTGGTTCCAGTCAAAGACAAAAAGCTGCGGCCGTTCTCGGCGTACTGACGATCCCTTGGTGGGCTGTCGTTCTGAGGCAGCGTGCTGGTGGACAATGTGTCGGGCGTTGGCGGCAATGTCTGGGGGCTACTGAACTGCACTTGCGTGAGGACCTTCTCAAGTGCCTCTCGTTTCTCCTTTTTCGACTTCGGCCTGTTGTGGGAAGACTGCGGACGAACGGACGGCGAATGCTGTTTCGCTCCAGTGGGTGTTCCCGATGAAGCTCTCATGGGCGTTGGCGTTGAACCCAGTCTCTCCACTCGCTGGAGCGGAGAAGACACCGGTTCGAGCATCCCAACAATGCTGTGGTACGGGCCACTCGCGGTTCGTGAACTATTGGCGCGCTGTTGGTTGGATGGTGTGGATGTTCTCACTTTCGTCGGCGAATCAATCGGGGCCGGGGTTCTGGATGAATCGCCTTCCCAAGGCCAAGGGCTGTAACCTCTCGGTGGCGAGGAAACGTCCACGGTATGAGTCCGGCCATATACGCTGACGAAGGAGCTCTCGCTGAGGTCACTCAGCGCGGGGCTAGCTAGCCTGGGGTCGACACGGGTGGTCTCTGGCGTGTCTTCGGCGAGTCGTGGCAGGTGCAACGCGCTCTCACCTGCAATGGCACCCAAGTAGACTTCTCTCAGGTTATCAGCGTTCTCGCTGCGCTCCGAAACGAAACTCGGCATCCGGACGGGTGTCTTGGCGTCACCGGGGTCCAATCGCATCTGCTTCGGAGTCGGGGTATTGACGGGCGAAGCGATCCGGGGGTATGCGGTGTCATCTGTTTCCACTTGCTGCACCATCTTCCGCTCTAGCAGGAGCTGCTCAACCCTCTTCTCTAACGTGACAATCATGTCGATGGCCTCCTCGACGGCCTTGTCCCGTTTCTCGAGCTCATGTACCAGGGAATCGTTCAATTGGTCCCTTTCTTTGAGCTCACGCTCCAAAGTTTCCATCCTCTCCTCGAGGGCGGCCTGCTTCTCCCGTCGGTGGTAAAGCTCCAGCTTCAGGTCGAAGTTCTGCTTGTGCAATGTAGACAGGGTCTGTTCCATCTCCTTGACGCCCAGACCCTTCTTTGCCTCGCCGGAACTCGGACGGTAGCTGTTGCTCGGGGACGGGCTTCGCACATGTCGTGAGCCAGCCGAGGAAGATAGCTTGTCAGCGCTCGATTGGGAGGACATTCTATCGCTCTCGATCTTCCGTGATCGCTGGAGTCGCTCGAGGAGGAGGGGAGATATTGCGGAGGCTGGTGACGATGATGGGTCATGTTCTGTGTTGATTCGGTGAGGTTTGTTGGATGCGCTGCTGCTCCTCAGCTGAGGAGGCCCGTAGCTCTCCATTTTGTGAGTCCCGGACTCCCAGGATGTGGTCTGCGGGGAGAATATAGGAGATTGGTCGGACAAAGGCTGGTCGTGCAAAGTCGGAAAATGTGATGAGGGCTCCGACCCAGAGAATTGGAAAAGGAAAAGGGTCGGGAAAAAAATGATGGTGAATATTTAGGGTCTGACCGCTCTCTGCAATGGAAGGGAGGGCCAAAAAGTCGTTACGAATAGAGGCTGGCATCCCGTCGCGTGGTTTGGTTTGAGTTTAGGGCGTGCCCGGCATGAGGTGGGAAGCAGGAGCCAAAGTGCTTGCAGGAACATCCAGGAACTCCTGCTGAGCTTCAGTGGAACAGTGGGCCTGTGCACCCGATCAGGCTAGTGCCCGCGGGAGGCAGCAGGAAGTGTGAGTGGGGCAGCATCTTCGCTGGGTCCAGCCTCTGCAGCAAGGTACAAGACCAGAACAACCACCAGAACCACATAACCTTAACAGTGGGGGATTCTAGAACCAAGTTGAGTCTTTTCCATGGAATGCAAACTACCTCCTACTCTTGTGAAGTGCCATATTGGGTGGTCTTTACCATTTTTTAAAAAAAATCTAAGCTTTGACCTCTTATCGACTTCGACCGTAATGGTTTCTTTCCTTCTTCCGACTGCACCCCCAAATCCAATTCTTCTCTGCTTTTTTTGTCATCCCAGCCTCTCACAAGGCCGCGCCTCACAAGGAATGGAGTGACTGCCAATCAACAGCCCCGTCACCCGCACCCATCGTCCCGGGATTGGCTTGGATGCAACCAAGCTCACCCAACATTTCAGGGACCATCAACCGTGGAGCATGCAAAAACAAGGGGTATTCAACACACTTGTTTGCCTTTTTGGTTCCAACCCGAGTGAGTCTCCCGCCAGGCGGAAATCTTCACCTCACATTCTCAACAGCAAAAGGCGATCCATAAAGACAAAGGAGTGGGCATTCCAAACAGTTCCTAAAGTACGTTATAAAGGCAGATTTCGGCAATTCTGTCTGCGCCGTTTTTACCCCGCAGGTGGTCCATTCACTGACCCCTTGGCCTTTTGTCAATTGCTGACAATCCCACCATTTCCTGAAAGGGACGCAACACGCCGGGACGCTGGGACCATGGAACATCGAGTTGGCCCACTGGGTCGTTGCGGCTTCTTTTGCAGCGTTCTCTCAATCTGGCAGAATTGGAACTCGTACAAGCATGCTTTGTCTCTGGAACTCTCACGCTAGTGCATCTGGTTGGCAAATACTGGCCCTGAGCTCCTGAGCTCACCGCGCCATGCAGGCAAACCACACGGGACTCCACATCATGAGGCGGTCAAGCTAACCAGCCAGTCGGCGTTGCAGCTTGTCAATAGAAAAAGCGTGAGAGTGAAACGAGGGACGGAGGGAGAGGAACAGAGGAACAGAGAAACGCCACGAAAGTAACGGGGAGCTCCAAACTCAACCGCGCTCGACGGTGATGTGCTTACTTTCTGCAACGCTTCCGATTCACTTTGACTACCACACAAGATCCCCAACCTGACTCCCCATCTTTTCCCTGACAACATTGCTCGTCAATTCCATCAAACGGTCGGCCAGTTCCTCGCTCTGTGATAAGGCCGTCCCTGGCTCCGGTATGGTCGGGGCGCAAATGTACTGGCCAGAACGGTCCGCCATGGTAATGGCGAAGACCGTGGGCACGGCGCCCTCAAATTGGTCCTTCTTGAACGGCTCCAAGCCGTAGGACATGGCGTACCCCCCGAGCGGGAACCTGCCTCTCCCAATCATCAATCAGCAGAAGAACAGCCAGCAACATTCACTACAAGGTGATGGGCATAGTACGTACGCCTCGAAGATATCCGCCCGGCTCTGCTTCGAGCTCACAAATCCCGGGTGTGTGGCATTCATCAACACCCTCGGCCATCCATTCCGCGTCACCTTCCGGTCGAACCACCGCGCGGACAAGATTCCGGCCAACTTGCTCCGCCCATACTGTCCATTAGCACCCATATCTGCGTTGATCTCATCCAAGCTCGCAAATCGTGTCCCTTTCGGTGCTGCGTTGTGTGCGTTGCTGGCTTGGTTGCTGATGCGCACTACGGTATCATACGCTTGTGCCGTCTGCTTCATGAGCGGGAGTAACTGGCTAGTCAGAATGGTGGGGCCGAAGTGGTTGACGGCCATGTGCCGGTCGACGCCATACGAGGTGAGCTGAGGTGTCATAATGCCGCGCCCAGCATTGTTCACGAGGATGTCGAGCCGGTCAGTATCCTGTCGGATGCTCTCCGCGACCGCCTTGACTCGTGGCCAGTCGGAGAGGTCACATTGTTTCCAGAACGTGCGGTCGGCTTTGTCGCGGCCGAGCTCCTGGGCAATGGCGTTTTTGGCGCCGTCGACAACTTCTTGAGAGACAGAAAGAATGTACAGTTTGGCGATGTTGTGTTTCAGCAACGTGTAAGTGACGCCAAACCCGATGCCCTCGCTCCCTCCGGTGACGAGCGCTACTTTCCCGGAAAGGTCCGGGCAGTCGTCCAGTTTAAACTGGTGTGAGCCAAGGGCCGTGGCTGGTCCACCGAGGTTCTCCGCTATGGTATTCTAGATGCGCCAGTTAGTTAATATCAACCGCGCTGCGAATTATGAGTTGGACAGTAATATACCTTGATACCTTGCATTGTCGTTTCCGAAGTAACCCCTAAAGACACACAACCTGTTGAGATTCCTCTCCTTGTGTTTAATTTATCTTCCTGTATAAACCTGCGGGGCGCCGTCCCGAGTGCCTGTGACGATGGCTTTGGGGAAAGATTAAGACAAGCCTTCAAATGTTGAACAGATAGCTGAGGGGGCATATTCGCCACAAATTAAGCAGTCTTCTCGTCTTGGTTGGTTGAACAACAATCCTTTGGGTAGTTTTGGGACTTACATGATTGATGTGGAATGTACATGGCCGGTCACATACAATTTAAGATGACGTCTGTATTTCCGGTTCACCATCACCTGCCCGAGTCAGGTCTGTATTACCATAATTACACTGCACCACAGGTTTACGTCTGAGTCGTAAATATTTTACCGAATTTTTAACACGGGGTAGTGTCTTCTATCAGGCTCTAAATGACACCATTTCTCTTCCCAATTGATGCCCATTACCCAACTTGCCCGCGATAAATCCAAGACCTCAAACCCACTATTACCTCCCCGTCAACTCCGCGATAATTCCCTCAAAGGCGTTCAGGGAATCCAAGTCCTCGTTCTCCTTCTTCAGCTCCAATGCCTTCGCCTTAAACTTGGGCCCTTCTTCTTCACTAAGCACCTTCTCCACAGCCGCGCGGATCGCCTCCTCCGTCGCTTTCTGCGTCCGCAGGTTGACCCCAACGCCGATCCACTCGGCGCGCGCGCTCACCTCGGCCTTGTCAGCGACTGTGCCGGCCAGGACCATGGGTACGCCGTTCATGATGCCGTGCATGAAGCCGCCGTAGCCGGCGTTGGTGACAAAGACATCGGCGTAGGGCAGCAACGCATCGTAGGCAAGGTAGTCGATGACCAAGGTGTTGGCGGGGATGGGTGCAGGAGCGCCGTCGCTCGTCTTGAGGGTGGCTCCGCGGACTCCGAGGGTGGCAACCACGATGAGGTCGGAGCGGTCGCCAAGAGTCTTGATGGTTGGGAGGAGGAGATCATCGTAGTCCAGATGGGCAGTTCCCTGGGTGACGAAGACGACCTTCTTCTTGTCTGGAGAGCCGGCGGGAAGGGCTGCATTGGCTGTGATGGTTGGCCACCAAGTGGGATAGACAAACTTTGCGTCCGGGCGCTGCAGGGGGAGGCCACCGATGAACCGCATCCTGGGGGATGGGTTGCTCATGGGGTAGTCTAAGCTAGGGCTAGCAGCGAAGACAGTAACATCGCCCAGGTCGAAGATGAAGTCGAACAATCCGCCTGTGATCGGTCGAGTGGTACCAAGAGTCTTGTGGATGCCCTCCCAATGGGTAACAACAGATCCGGTTACGGCTTTGAACCCCCCTGCCATCTGCTTCCAGAGAGCCAAGTTCTCGGGTGTTGGGTCGTAGGGGATGCCGGGACCAAACGGAGGGACGCTACCGTCCTCCGTGATGTTGATACTGGTATGAAAGTTGATCACTTTGGGGAATGAGGTGTATCCTTCGGGCAAGGGCGCGCCATATGCAAAAGGAGAGAGGCTGCAGGAAAGGCTCTCATGGAGCAGGAGAACCTCGCGGTCGGGATATTCTCGACGGACACGCTCCAGCGTGTCCTTGAGCACACGGTGGGAATCGTGAGTCGAATCGGCGAAAAGATGCCGCAAATCCCACATCACATCGGCATCGGCCGGCCGCGAGGCGTGCACCTTCTCCCAGTCCCATGGGTTTTCGATGAACTGAGCGCCCGTCTTCTCGATGCCGGGCTTCAGTTCAGAGCCGGTAATAAAATAGACAGTGTACCCGTTCTGGACTAGATAAGCGGAGATTTTGGTCAACCCGGCGGCGTGGCCGGCGGCAGGAAACGCTGTGGCCACTACAATCGGCTTGGACTTTGTTGACGCCATGGTGAGCTGGTGACAGTGTTCGGCTTCTACACGTGAAGTAAATGGAAGAAATGGGTGACAATGCTTAGGAGTCGGTTGATGAGGAGTTACTCTCGAGGAGCATGCCGAGTAGTGCTCAACATGAGGAGGAGAGATCTCCTTTTATCTGTTTGGGGTCGACTTGATCATGGAATTTAGGCAGGAGTAGTAACCCACCCAACCACCGCATCAGATATCTCTCGAAAGGCTGAGCCACAGCTGAGCTGTTAAAAAATCCTTCGGTTCCTAGGCGAAGCCATCAACACCTCAAAAATGGGCGGGTCCCAGTACGACGGTAGGCTAACGTGATCCCAGAAATGGGCCCTCGGACTCGAAACAATACACATCTGAAAAGTCTCCGAGGCCGTCGTTCCCCACCTACAAAATAACGCCATTTCCTAGAGAAGGTCGGCCTAGCTCTGCCCCGACAAAATCCCAATAAGAGCCCGTGAGACGCCGGGATGGCATGGTGCACGGAGATGCTCGGTCATCTTGGTGACCCTGGCAACCCGGCGCTGACGCCAGGAGGCCGGTCGCTGTTGACTGCGTTCCGAGCGCCGGCATGGATAGGCAGGGCAAAAAATAGAAGCGCCGCGCCGTAACCCGGCCAATGTGAACGAGTTTCCCCTATGCTTTTTAGGCGCGGGCGAGTCGATTCGTTCCTCCAGGATCTCCGACTAGTGTATTTCGTCAGACGAAAGTCTTGGTGAGGTGTTGCGATGTGGAATCATGAAGGATGAGTTGCTCGAGGTAAAGGCCAATTGTGCGGGCACATGCCCCTAACGTTCGTTAAGACATCCCTAGATTGACCAAAGGCCAGGGGTTCCTGTGGCTGACAGTGGCTGCCCACAGCTTGAGCCGCTCAGCCAAGGCCGCTGCGGGGTGCACGGTCCGGAGTTATGGCGGATGGAAGTTTAATTGGTTGTAGCATGGTCGACACAAAGACGCGTCAAGCGCGTTCGTTGCAGATTCCACATCTCATCCCGGTCCGCCAAATGCACCCACCACTGCCTGCTTCTCCAGCTAGGTGTGCCCCATTCAACAACTCAGCAACAACACATTTCAAAGGCACCAACCCATAACAGGTCAACAAAAATGTCGGACTTCGAAGATGAAATGGACATTGATGTCCAACCCTCAAAGGATGTCAAATTCTCGTCGGAGAACACCGCCAAGGGCAAACGTAGCGCTGCAAACCTGCCTGTCGAGGCGGAAGATAGCTTGCCATGGTCCGTTACCACATGATAAAAGTAGAAGCTAAGGACGATAACTGATGTGAAGGGGTTTTCCACAGGGTTGAGAAATATCGCCCAGTATCGCTGTCCGATGTATCCGGTCACCAAGACATCCTCGCGACCATCAACAAATTCGTCGACTCGAACCGACTTCCCCACCTTCTTCTCTACGGCCCACCAGGGACAGGAAAGACGTCCACCATCCTCGCTCTCGCCCGTCGCATCTATGGCACCGAAAACATGCGCCAGATGGTTCTCGAGCTCAACGCCTCAGATGACCGTGGCATTGACGTTGTGCGAGAACAAATCAAGACCTTCGCGTCGACGAAACAAATCTTTACTATGGGCGCATCGGCCTCGCGATCAGGCATTGCTGGGTTCAAGCTCATCATCCTCGACGAGGCCGATGCCATGACAAACACGGCGCAAATGGCACTCCGCCGTATTATGGAAAAATACACGGCCAACACGCGCTTCTGCATCATTGCCAACTACTCCCACAAACTCAGTCCAGCCCTGCTTTCCCGGTGCACACGCTTCCGCTTCAGCCCGTTGAAGGAGCAAGATATCCGAGTGCTGGTGGACAAGGTTATTGAAGAGGAGAACGTCAAGATCATGCCAGAGGCAACCGAGTCGTTAGTGCGCCTCAGCAAGGGCGATATGCGTCGGGCCTTGAACGTCTTGCAGGCGTGCCATGCGTCAAGTATGCAGCCCCCGCCCGGCAACGTAGTGGACAAATCACGTACTAACACAAACGCACAGGTACACCACTGCAACCCCGGGACGGCCCCAAGGTCTCCGAGAAAGACGTCGTTCGCGAAACCATCACTACCCAAACCATCTACAACTGCGTCGCCGCACCACAACCTGACGCTATCAAGAAGATTCTCAACATATTGCTGAGCACAAGTGACGTCACGTCATGTCTATCCACAATCAATACACTAAAAGTCTCACAAGGCCTCGCACTTGCCGACATCATTACCGCGCTATCGGAGGAGCTGGTAAAACTGGAGGTAAAGCCACAAGCCATGATTACTTGGCTGGACGCTCTTGCAGATGTGGAACACAGGGTGTCAAGTGGTGCGAACGAGGCGATACAAACATCTGCCGTTGTAGGCGCTATACGGAATGGGGCAGAATTGATGGGCTGAGCCGGAGCTCGCCGCGTTCCACTGATGGACAAAACCAAGCTCACCGCTATGACCGATACCGAGAACCACAGATTCTGGGGGGTGTCATTAATCCTGCTTATTGAAGACGGAATGCCATTTCGCGCGCTACGGCGAGTGGTGGTTGGCTATCACGGCTCTAAACCACTAAGACTGCCACATGGATCCGGAGGGTGCCTGTTGAAGTACCGCAAGGCACAGTCCAAATTTAAACCCTAAGCGACCCATCGTTTCGGTCGGTTCACTCACACCTCAGATGATAGGACGCGTCTTGTTGCGCTAGACAATTCGATAGTTGATATCATACCAGCTAAACTCAAATCCGGCTTCATATAACCTCGCCCAACAGGGTCATACGAAACAGTGCGCCACAACTAAGTCCAATACCGGTAACTTGGGTGCGTGTTCCCAAGCTTCTCCTGTTCTTCCTCTGTCAAGCCTTGGAGCCGGTGGTCGCGCTTGCCAGCTGCTCTGGCCTTGTTCTCATACATGCAGTAGAAGATTCCGAAAAGAGACAGGAGCACCGTGGCGAGCTGGCCGCACAAGTTGATGGTGTGGCCGGTGTGGTATTTGGGGGCGTCTCCCTTGGTGTAAGTCCATCTAACGAAACGATTAGCCGGTGGTAATCCAAAGCGCAAGAGTAGTTTAGACGACGAAGGGGTGCTTACGTTGCCACGATTCCACCAATCGTACCAAGTGTAACGACGTATCCGGAGCTCACAGCACGAACCGAAGGACCAGCCGAATCTTGATACGTGTCAGTTAGTAAAAGATCAGGTGGAACAAGCACAGATACAAGAATTCGGTCAGGCTTACTGTTCATCGCCCAGCTCAGGAAGCCTGGGCCACCGGGGAAGGCCCCCACGGTCACAAAGTAGAGAGCCATGTAACGAATTTCAGGTTGTTCCACCCACCGAAGGATGGCAAACCCAACGGCCGCAAGACAGGAAAATGCGGCAAGCCATGCACCACGCTGGTGTGTCTTGTCACTCCCGTACGCCACGGCAATAGCCACCAGACACGCAGCCACGTATGGTGGGACCGAGTACAATTGCGCTTTGGTGTCAGTCCACCCGAGGTCCTTCAGAATCGTGGGCATGAACACGGAAAGCCCCTGGACGGTGATGTTGATGAGGAAGAAGCCCAGCGCGCAGGTGTAGTTGTGGATGGACAGAACGGCCTGTCGGATGTCCTTCCAGGTGACCTTAGCGTTAGGATCTGCCTTGTGCTCGCGGATGAGGCGCTCAGCAGCAATGCGGCGCTCGCGCGGCGTCAGGAAGTGGGCCTCGCTCGGGTTCGTGGGCATCCAGATGGGGGCCACCGCGCCGATAATCATGGTGACGAGGCCCTCGAAGAAGAAGATGTTGCGCCAGCGCGCGATGCGCATTGAGGCCACGCCCCATTCCGGAATCCGCGAAAGGCCCGTTGCCAATAGGCCGCCGAAAGCACCAGCAATGGAAGCCGCCGAGACGTAAATACCCACGCGGAAGAGCAGCTCGTTGCGCTTATAGAAGCAGCTGAGGAAGAAGGCGAGCCCCGGGAACGCGCCGCCCTCAAAGATGCCCAGCAACACGCGGACTCCCATGAGGCCGCCAAAATCACGGACGAACGCGGTGCATAGCGAGACCAGGCCGAAGCCGCAGACGAGGAAGGGCAGGAAATACTGGGGACCGACATGCTTGAGGAGGATGTTACTAGGTACCTCGACGAGCAGGTAGATGATGTAGAAGATGGACAGCGCCCAGTTGAACCGCACGCCCTCGTTGAGGTTCAGGTCGTCGGACAGGCCCTGAATGCTCGCATTGCCGATGTTGATGCGGTCGAGGAAGCAGAGCATGTACAGCACCGTGACCAGAGGCACCGTGTGCCAATCAATCTTGCGCCGGAGCGCCGTTTCTTCCTCCTCGGTCCACTCGAGCTCGGAGTCGGGAGCACTGAGGTCAGACGAGTCGCCCTCCTTCGGCGAACGGGCGCGGGACTCCTCAACCTGCTGAGCTACGACGCGATGTTAGTCGGCCAAGACTCCCCAAAAACGCGAGAGGGGTGAGCACGGAGTATTGTTTCGATTCTCGGCGTGGAAGCGAAAGTTTCGACGTACCGATCTCCTTCTCTGTCTCCATCCTGGCGGGTATTCACGAACTGTCTCGTAATAAAGAGAGATACTCCGTTGACTCCACGACACAGCAATGGAATGGGGACGAGACACCACAGTGACGATCAATCAGGACAAGAACACCAGAACCATCGCCTGTTGCCCAGCAGTGGGGGGGCAGCACATTTTGACTTTTTGACTGGGAACTTAACACGTGGGGGACAAGGCTCTTCTTTCTTGACGGTTGCATCGCGGACCGCCCAAGCACACATCTTGCCCTGGAGCTTCCCCTTAGTTTGACCCCTGTGAACTCGGGTTGGTGGAAGTGCCATTCACAGACAGAGTTTGAGGAGGAACCAATTACAGCCCTGTCGGTTGAGTACAACCGGGGCGGGAATGGAAAAGGAAATGGACTCGCAGACTCGGTAAGCTTAGTTCAAAACGCGGCTTGACGGACGCCGGTTGTTGAACTTGTTCAAGGGTGGACAAATCACAGAATCCATGCAGCGGTTCGGGAGGTCAACCGGCGAGGCCGGTCAGGCGAGCTGGATGACTAGGATGTGTGCTGAGGCCTGCGGATAGAAGATTCGGCAATTCGATTTGGGCCCGCTTGCCGTCTCAAAACAGCCTAGAAAGCTACCTGCCAAGCTATGCCGAGAAACGTGAGAATGCGGGGGAGGCAAGGTCAAGGGCAAGACGAGGAGGAGGAAAATTGGAGGAGATTGATCAACAGAGTGTGCTCCCCACAGATCTCAAGTTGAGAACTTTCTATTTGGAGATTTGGAGGAAAGAGTCGAGATGAATCGATGATGGGAACTATTTTCTTGGCCGCGATGAGAGTTTCCGGGTTCTTCACCCCACTTTCATGATCGCCTTGCTCAGAGTGGTACTCCGAAGAAACGGCAGTTCGCTCAAGCTTCCTAGCCTGCCCCTCTCCCATAACCGAGCGTTCAGGGGGTGTTGGTGGTGTTGGAGTGCAACCACCCTGTACCACTGTGGTCGGCGAGAGATAGCCCCGAAAGGGCCCGGATCCCGCTTGACGAGCAGCTTCAGTCGTGTTTTCTCGATCATCCAACTGGTCGGCTCGGCTTCCTGCATGATGTTGGTGCGAAGGTTGCAATCAGCCTGTTGTGGTGGCCAAATTGGGGAGCTCCCAAACCGAACGTCTCCCTCGGGAGAGCATAATTTATTTTGGGGTAGCACTAACGTGATCCTCGGACCAGGAAACATCTTACGGCCGTTCACTACAGCCAGACATTCGAAACCGTTAATTACAACCTTAGTTGAACCCCTTTTCCTTCGTTCCATTTTACGATCATAGATGAATTATTTAATGGGAATAACACACACTGAATGGCTAGTATTATCTCGGCAGTGAAGAATCATTATGCCCAAGAAGCGGCAAATGTAGTTTGTGATGCTTTCTGTTCCTGAACTCTAGCAAACATCAAACGATAATCTGTCAGATGACTGAATCTCCCCTTACGCTGGGATTCAGAGTCCCATTTTTCGAAACCTACCTAGGTAGCAATAAACAAGCTACATGGTGCAGATACCTGGTTCCTCCTTCTACACCCATAATTCATGATTACAGCTAATTAATTATTTCCTAAACCTAACACTAGGATGGAAGGGGCGGGCCGTTGTGGTGATTGACTCGCAAGCTGGCTCCACGTCAACGACTGATCATGCCCCTCAAGGTGGCCATGTACAAAAGTTAGAACAATAACAGCAGTTGAGCGTGATCCAGCTTTCTCACTACCTACTTCTTTCTGCAACTTCTCTTCTTCCTCTCTCCGCACAACTAAAGCCCCTTACCTAGTTTGCCTGCTGCTCTTTCTACGACTGAATTCATAAACTATTACGCGAAATGAACTGCAAGGCGATAATAGACTCTAGTTATATATCGAAAGGAACAGTTCAACCGAGCAGTGATAAGGGAAGAACTTCAATGCCTGGGCTGCTATTATTATCGCCTCCTATATACTCGGGCCATACTATCATCTGAACACCAAGCTATGGTGACTTGGGGATCTTGGTTAAAGTATGATGGTTTCAGCACCGTAAGTTCCCTATCCCGATCATCGAGACTGGAACTATTGGTGCATCACAGGAAAGCTAGAAATTTCAAGACCCCTCGCAGAACGTGTGGCTAATGATATCTAAGGATGAGTGGCAAAGCTCAGAGCCCTATGTTGAGCCGTTTCTCCGGACACTTAGAACACATCCCGAGATCCTACCACAAGGTTTCCCCAAGCTTCCTATTTTTGTATTTGGCCGGGTAGGATTGTTGGGCAAGGTGCGCAACATTGAAACCAGAGGTTTAGATGGTGAGTATAGACTCTGGATTGTAATCCGACTAGGAAAACGAGCATTTAGGCGAGATGGGTTGGTGCTGACTTATACATCAACTTCTCCAGAAGAAATACTAGCTCGCAGGATGGCCATCGCAAACAATGTGCCACTGCAAGGTGAAGATAAAACCGTACGCTTTCTTGCATCAACGCTCGCTATCTCTATCATTTATATGAAGGCGGCTGCGGAGCACGATGAAGATGTGAGGAAGGGGGTGACCCTCACTGCCCACGGCATCGGAATGAGCCCAACCAGTGTGAAAGAGACCTCCCATGTGCCGGAACTCACCAGCATTTCGGGCATTGAGGCGTTTGTCCGGAACCCGTCCAACAAAACAACTGTGAGCTTGGCAGCGGTCCTAACCCGGATCAGGAGGGCTTAGATCTGCCATCCACCAGGCACAGCGGGATTCTTGGAAGATCTACAAGGCACGGTACTCCGACGGCCTAGCAAGAGCGGATATCAGCCGGGGGCCCTCTCTGCCCTTTCTCCCTTAAGGCATGCCGAGTTCAACGCCGGTGGGGTCCTTGTTGCGCCCGACTTTTGCTATTTTGGGAGGTTACAGATGATCTTCGCCGCAAGGCGCAGCGAATACCTGAAGTGGAAAGCTGACCCAGACTTTGTAAGGCAAATGCATCAGGTTATCCGTGATCTGTATGCTACCGGTCGCGCCGGCTTGGCTAGGGAACTCGTCACACGAAAATATGAGGTTGAGAACTGGTCCCCAAACGCCTTTAGACCCGATGCCACCGGCATGATTGCCGGAGCAGACTATCCGAGACTGGGACCACCGCCAAACAAGGTCGGTGTGGTGGGTGAGGACGGGGTTAGCCCACGAGTAAGCTTTCCTCGGCCCAATCCCAAGCCTACTGTTTACCCTCACCCCTTTCTTGCTAGCAGCAGGAAGACGCGGAAGGTAGACGGTAGCTAGCTCAAGGGCATGTTTTAGGTCAAGAAACGGCGAATGGATACTGGTTCTTGTGGAAACCGGCACAAACGCCTTCGACGATTTCCGATGAAGAACCAAACCAGCCATCATCTCGACCACATTATTCTAAAGCAGACCATGTCGCTGAGAAGTTTGTGGACGATTATAGCAACAATACCAACCGCCTAGTGCAGCTACATCACAAGGGCTTAGCAGGAGATCCCACAGAAGACGGGGAAAGCCCTTATTCTCAGGCCCGTGTCCCGCCCAGAGCACTAGAAAGCACCGGCCCTGACTTGGTGGCTAAAGATCAGCAGAACGCGGACGAAGCGGCGCGAAAAGCAAAGATCCAGCAAAGAAAAGAGCGTCAACGCCTGGAGATAGAAGAGAGCGCCAAGCAAGAACGTGAAAGGGGCGGAGGTGAAGGCGAAAAGACAGATGGAACAGCAACGCGGACAGGAGGAGCGCCCGTAACAGCAGCAGGACGCGGTGTTCCGGAAATTCAAGCAGCAGTGGGACGAGCAACGCTGGGATGAGCAGCGGCTAGGCAACCAAGACCGTGAACTACAAAGCTCGATGGAAAACAAATCACGCGGGGAACGGGAGAAGCCCCTCGCTGCACATTTCAGTGCGACCGAGGTAATATCTCAGGGTTTACAGACTGAAAAGCCATGTGCTTTTGACCCAACACGAACTCGGACCTCTCACACAGAGACAAAGAGGCCGCAGCATACCGCAGATCTTACGCCTGCGGTTCCTATCATCCCCATCGTCTCCGCTGTGGGAGTTAAGGCCCATGGCGAGGCAGGATTCCACACTAGGGAGGACTCGGCTCTTGTCGAGAACAAACTTTCTGTTGAGAAAAGGGATGGTGTAGATGACCGGCCGGCCAGCGTCGGCCTCTCCTAAGTCCCTAAGACAAAGGAAAGCAGCCTGAATACCCAAGGTGTCGATGTCAGTCACCAGGGTCGTAACACGGTTGCCAAACAATTTAAGCAAGATGAACAAGTCGACCACCAGCCATCTCCCGTTCAACCAGCATATCCTAACAGAACCAAGGATGATGCTGGCGAGTGGAAACGCCTCTGGAGCAACGTCGTCGACCAAGCCAGGGCACAAGAACTTCAATATAAAGCCGTTACCGAAGCCCTCAACCGGTGGGACGAGGCGGCCGAGCAAGCAAAAGCGGCATACGAACGAGTGACGGCTCGTGGTGGTCGCCTCCTCGCCGCTTATCAGACCGCTTGCGACTTCAACCTTGCTAGGCCGTGGTTTGGAGACGCCCCGGCGTGGGGCGGTCCTCGAGTGTTCCCACCTTCTCAGCCTTATGGGTATGCCCCCGCTTCGCAGGACGGTGGCCATTTCCACCATCCACTTCCATATCCCTACGGTGGAGGCAACTTGGTCGGGGTCAGTAACAGCTACCAACACGTTAATCCTGTTGGGCCTAGGACACACCGCCCCGGCAGCCGCAGGAGCCCCCGTCCGCACCGCTCGTCGGGACGGGACGGAAACACTAGCACAAGCACGGGGTCGGGGGCCGCGCCCGGTTGGTATTTCGCAGTCGCAACATGTCCGAAGGTGTGGCCAACTACATCGTTCAAGACCCAGAGTCGTTCTATAACCGGGTTCCTAAAAACTTGGCCCATTCGAGGGCTCGTTCAACTGATCGCGGAGTCTTGCCTCGTCCGTTTGGCGCGTGGCAATTCGCGGATCGATCGTCTGGGGAGTTCCAGTGCCTCGAAGAACTGAAGTTGGAGGAGCCCTTATTTGATACTGCGGCGGTGGAAGGAGTACGTGAGTGGCTCATCGGTAACATTGTGTCGACATTCGATAGTTGGGCGAGGGTGTTGATTTGGAAAGCATTCGGAAATAACGAGAGTTAGGAAGGGACTCATCGGCATTCCCATCTTGAGACATTGTTTGTCTCTCTTCTCTTTTCGGATGCGAAGCGTAGGTAGGCTTAGACAGGTAGTGTAGTCTCACAAATCGGGGCGAAACATGCGGCTCAAGACCGGTTTCGTCGTCTTGCATGGAGGTGCATCATCGTGGCTTGGTTGTTGCTTTTGTGAACCGACTTCCGCGGTCGAAGCAGCGTCTAGACCGTCTATGGTCTCGCTTCCATGCAGCTCATTGAGGAGGCGTTCAGCTGGGGCTGTTGATGCGGGGAAGAGTTACGTATCAGGCCATTCAACGGCGGCACTGCCTGTTTCAGTTCTCAAGACTGCCCAGCCGACTTTGGTTGAGTGAGGGGCCGACGAACCGAAACAAGCAGCAAGAACCGCAAGAACCCCGAGCCTTCCGCTCTTCCCAAGCTGGCTGGCCACACAACAACTGTTGCCCAAGTCGCGATATCAATCACTTACAAGGACCAGCCGCGGAAAAACGACAACGTACTAGTTATGTACCGAGGCGTTGGATGTTGCGCAGATTCTTGGTCGATGATGCAAAAGACTTCCCGGAGCTGTGCCGCAGGCTTGCCTTGGGCCTATCGCGGACGACAGCCGGCCGAATCCACGCTCCTCTGAGCCTGCCGGAAGCATGTGTGATTCAGCCAATCTGACCGCTTTGCGACCCTCCCAAGACACCGTCAAGCATGCGAGAGCCCGACCACGGTTGCACGAGGAGCTTCATCGTGGGGGAACACTCGATTGTCTTCCAAGTGGCCTGATGATCGTGAAGTATCCGAAAGGCGAAACTGAGGTAAGATGCCGTGGAAAAGAGACCGGAGTGGTGAGTTTAAGAAGCGCAATGAAACAGCGGCGTTCTGAGAACTTCGACCACCCGCCCAGGGTTATCTTGGTAGAACCGTACCGCGACGATCTGAATGCGACTCGGGTTTTGCGTCTGAATGGAAAGAAGTGGATCCATCGCTCCAAGACGGACGCGGGAACGACAACATTGGGCCGGTTGCTCTCAGACAGAAATACACAAGTTTACTGCGAGTCGAGGATGCGCTCTTCCGCGTGAAACTCGAAAACACTTGGGGAACCCCAAAGCAGCGAGATAATTCGCCTGAGAAGCCCGTTGCATCGATCGCCGTTCAGGCCACGAACGAGTGCACAACGTTCGGCTTCAGCAGGGTTGGGGGCGGTCCAATCCCACAACGGCGCGGCCAGGGCGCCCGTGAGATTCACGGATGCAGGTGGAGCCCCCACCGGAGAGATTCGCCAAACAGAAGGCGCGGAGTGGATGGCCGCTTGAGCCCCGAGGCCCCGAGAGGCCAACGCTTTCCTGCTTCGGGCCATTCAAGATGCCAGGGCCCACCACAAATTTCGCGCCGTTCCTGCTCTGGCCCGCTGAGTGGGGGGAGCCCGGGCGTTCCCTCCCACCCAAGCCTCCCCAGCTTCGGCCATTGTGAGTGCTTGGAGCATCTTATCCTGAGCAACAAACCGTCCTGAGGAAGTTCGTGTGACACGACAAACAACTCCTGTTCCGTTCGAGAGACAGTCAACAAAATCAGAGTGGCTGTTGCGAATTTCCCAACCCACGCTTTGCGACCTCAACGATAACGACATTGCGGCCTTGTTATTTCGACTCTCTTTCAGCAAACGCGGCTAGCTCCTTTAAATCCGCGCTCCACGAGGCCATTCGACCTTAACACATTTGCCATGTGTCGACTCATCGTATTTAAGGGGACCTGTCCACATTGTTGCCAGGAATTCACCTGGGATGAGCTAAGCCAGGAGCTCAGCTGCCTGGAAGCCAAAAACAACGGCACGTTCGCCCTTTGCCAAGACGGTGCGTCGGTGGACGAGAAGCCGCACGACCAAGAGTGTGACGCCTGCACGGCCGAGCTGGAGGAGGATGAGGGCTACGATGACGGCGTGGACGAGGAGACCATCGAGGTGGACACCTGGTACGGGAGCAAGAAGGAAGCTGTTGATGACGACCAAGAGAGCGACAAGCATCGGAACAAGAAGCAGAGGGTGACATGAGCTCACTTGGATTTTATTTCAAGTGACGTTCCCTTTTCGCGTGCACCCAGCCCTCATCGGTTGGCTGCGCGCGCTCTGCAGTCCGGCAGCTTTCCTCGAGCGACATACGTCGGGTGAGGCATGCGGATAACACGACACACGATGATGCGCTCTCGCGGTACCGTGCCGCGGCACACCCTGAAACCGACCCCGTGTACGCGGGCGGAGGGCGCCCGTTGCACACAATGTTTTCCCGTGGAGCTTGTCCTCCAAGTCGCGCAGGGGCAAAGATTGATGAGGAAACGATCACACAACGTTCTCCACTATAACATCTGTCAGCAACCAAGGGGCGTCTCCACCCATCATCACACACGCGCACGGGGAAAACAGGTTTCAGCCTGGGAGGGGACCGTTGGAAGATATCGCCCGACGGCATTCAAAGGCCTGGGGCAAACATAACGAAGTCATGACCGAGACGAGCGACGAGGTTGATGAACGCGACATCTAAATGACATTTTGACGAGGCGGGCGCGGGCGCAAGGCGGGCCAGCCAGGAGCTTGGAAATACCCATTCGCTTTTTAGTTGAGCTAAGGTTAGGAGGAATTTGTATGTAGGATGATTATGGGTTGTTGTATATTGTATGTACGACTTATTAAGTTGCTTGCTGTATCACGCATTTCCGTTGATTCGGGCTTCATTCTGGTCTCTCGCCCCCATTCTCCTATTCTACCCCCTCCCACGTCTCCGTCACCACCCGCCAATATCTGTCCGCATCTACCCTGACGTGTGCCACATGCGCACTCCCCTCAAACTTCTCCCTCCTAACCATAAACCCTTTCCTCTCAGCTTCGGCCGCATGCGCTTCCACATCCCGCCAGTCCACCAACTTGTCTCCTTCTCCATACACATAGGTCCTCCTCAACTCGGCCTGTGCGACGCCCTTGCCCTTACCATTACCATCATTATCACCACCACCATTCCAGTTCAGCGCGGCTCCCACCACAGCCAGCGGACCCGTCTTGCCACGCCCGATCACCACATGGATCAGCCAGTACCATGCGCATAGGGCATGGAACACAGGCGCGAGGAGGAAACGGGTTGTTCTGCCGGTCAGACCGGCCGTGAACGCGAGATAGGCGGGGCCGTAGCGGAAGGTGCCTGGGCTGGAATCTAAGAGGAGGGTGTAAGGTGGGAGAGTGTTGGTGTTGGTGTTGGAAGTGGAGGTGGTGCCCGAGGCTGGGAGACAGAGACCGGCACGGAGGTGATGAAGAGAGGCCGCGCCGCCGTTAGACCAAGCATGGAGGTGCAGCTCGGGCTGCACTGTATTGGACGAGGCCGTAGTAGAAGTGCCAATCTCAGGGAAGATACTCCGCACAAACGGTACAGCTGCCACAAACTCGCGGTCGTTGCCGCCTGGGCGAAGAAAGTGGCGCGCTTCGGAGCGCAGCAGCAGAATCGGAGCAGTTGGGAACAGGGCTTGGTACTGGACGAGGTATTTGGCGATGTGCGGGTCGCGGGCTCCCATCCAAGTTGCCAAGATGATCAACTTGGGGGTTCGCTTGGAGGAGGCCGGTGTAAGGTCCTCGGAAGTTGCGACGGCGGGTGACTCGGGACGATAAATGTACACGCAAGGTGCGAGTCTGGTCATCGACCCCAGCGGTCTTGACGGCGGTGTTGCGGGCGAGTTTGATGCCATTTTTGATGAGGGTGTTTGTTTCAAAAACTTGGTTCTCACAGGAAGATTTTGGGTAAGAATGTGCAAGAAGCCTTGTTGCTTATATCTTCACGTTGCTGCGCCTCTTCATTTGTTGTTGTCCTGCGCGATTCCGTTCACTAATCTGGTAAGCAAGTAAGCCGGGAAATGCGCCCATAGCAAAATTCGCGACTGCCTAAAGAGCCACGATCTGACAGAGGTGAGTTTGAGCTAGGAAACGACAAGTTGATGTGAGTAAACACCCGAGTGTGGCTAGAACGATTATTTCGCCATGCCCATGCGAGTCATGACTTGAAAGCCTGTGGCCGGGACGGATTCGGGGGGACGTTTCGCATCGCCGGCCGTCGGCAACGGGTCCCGCTACAAAACATGTTCGTCCGACCTCCGCACCCCACTCCGGGGTTGGCTCCACAAACCGAGGCAACTAGGTCGGATTACCCGCCGAGACGGAGTGGAAACTCATCAACTCCGGGAACATGATTCACGACTCCGTTGTTTGTGTTTTGCTCGGAAGTCCGAGAAGAGGGGTGGTTGTGCAGCATTGCGACAATCCACAGTACAAGTCCTTTGACACTTCGAGATTATGACATAACCTAACATTCAGAAATAATGCTTTTTAGCTTTCCTAATTTACACAATTGCCTGGCCACGATTATCCCCCATTACGCCGGGCCTCATTCAAATCCGAAGTATCCCACCACGCCTAAGTGATAAAAGCGCAAGAGGAAATGACGAGAAAAAAAGAAATGAGCTGATGAAGGTCGTAACGAAAATCGTCATCAATCATCACCCGGCCGTGATGAGGGCAACCAAAGCCGAAGAAAGAGAGGGGCAGAAGCCCTTTCGTGTTAGCGTCAATGATGGCCTTTCTCAAGCAATCTCGGGATTCGAGTCTTGTGTGCCTGGGCAGCGTCCCATGGCAGGCATGCATGCCTCTGTATCAGCATGCAAGATGAGCAAAGGCGGGCTGAAGCAAGAACGTAAGTTTGTCGATGGCAGCAGCGGCGTTATCATCTTCAGAAGACACTTCAGCAGAGCGAATAGTGCTGGGCTCATCAACGGGGATCCAAAGCTCAAGCAGGATTCGCAAGAGCAGCCATGCGGTTAGGCCAAGTTGTCAAGTGCATCCCATGGTCAGAGCAAGACACGGCCCACCTTCGAATCATCCAGTGACGAGAGGCGAGCTGTCTTTTTGCAAGCGATTTCAAGCAACCAATTGCACTGCGTCTCCATAGTTCGCCGCGGGTGACACAATCGCGAGAATGGCCGCTAAAGCTGCCCGGGCTTCGGGGGTTAAACCAACGGGGGGGGCAAGCCATCCCCATGACGCGAGATGAATCAAGGCGAGCATGTCAAGTTCTGAGATAATTGTCGCGGAAGTCGCGCAGTCGCGCATAGAGGGCCGCGAAATAGAGAAAAAGAGGCCGAAGTAAAGAGATAGAGAAAGGCGAGCATCAAGGCGGGTACTGGTACAGTCATGTAACAAGTCCTGTTGAGGTTGGACGGGGGGCGCGAAGGGCCGGACACAAATGTCAGGTTCCTATCCGTCAAGCAGTGATCGGGCGTGGCTTCAAAGGCCACTATCGAAGAGTGGGTGACGGCAGAGTCAAGACGTAGCAGACGCATCAACGAGTTGCATGGGCGGGTCAGCATGCAAGAGCAGCGGGTCCGGATGAGCTGTTCATGGTGATGTTACGAGGTCCCAGGCGCCGGGGGACCGCCCTGGCCCTGAGCCTGTTGGGCAGCAAGTTGCGATTGCCACCAGAGGGCAATGTAGTTCTCATATCCGCCATCTATGGCCACACGTTAGTTGGTTGGTTGGAGAACAATGAGGAAGAAACTGGGCTTCGGTCAAACTCACATATGGCATAAGGGTCAGCTTGCCCACCACTTCCGGCGGCAGCAGCAGCAGGGGCTGAGCCACCAGGTGGGGCGTTAACGGGAGCGCTGTTGGCGTTAGAGTGCTGGGTACCATAGTTAGGGTTATCGTAATCACGCGGCGGGCCACGGTTGCGTCCACCGCCGCCGCCAGACTTTTGTTTCTACAAGTGGGTTAGTAACGGTCCTCGCGGAAGGGGGGGGGGTTAGCGGGAGATGGGAACATACGGCTGCGTCAACCTTGTCCTCAATGGCACGCTTGGCTTGGTCAATGGCGTCGCGAGTGCCGACTAGGCCAATCTCACGTTCAACCTCGCCAGGGCCAGATGATTGCGAAACATTAATCTTGCAGCCGGTCACATTCTGCATCTCGCGGATTGTCTCGCCACCTTTACCGATAATCATGCCGACGGCGTCGGAAGGGACGTAAATAGAGTCATTCGTCTTCTCGAACGCGCCACCACCACCACCGCCTCCACCAAAGTTGTCGCTCCGGCCACCGCGGGCGTTGTTGGGGTTGCTCCCGTTCCGGCTGTCACTATCCACAATTTCGAGAATGAGCTCCTTGGCATGGCGAGCCGCAGCAGGCGCGCCGATCAAGTTGACAGGGCGGAGGCCGTTAACACTCTTGTTCTCGCTCACGATGTTAATGTGGCAGCCGCTGCGCTCTTGGAGGTCCCGAATAGTCTCTCCACCACGGCCAATGATCAAGCCCACCGTCCTATCGGGGACCATGATCTGCAGGCTGTCCTCGCCTTCCTTCGGGACGGGGGGAGGAGCAGGTCCACGACCACCACCTTCACGGCCGGACGGGGGACCGCCACCACCACCACCACCACCACCACCACCACCACTACGCATGCCACTGTCTCGGATGATATGGTTGATCATTTCCTTGGCCTCCTCGCGTTGCGCACGAGGGCCAGTGATCCTGCAGAGTCGGAACTGATCGTTCTGACCAGTAGGAGGGATAAACTGAACTCGGCAGCGGCTCTCGCTCTCGACGCGACGTAGGTTTTCTCCTTGGCGGCCGATAATCAATCCAACCAAGCTCGCCTCGATCTCAATCGTCTCGACGTTGTCCTCTTTGCCACGCAACGGCGATCGGTCACGGCCACCGCCATGTCCAGCGCGCGGGGAGAAACCTTGGCGACCACGGCCGGGGGAGTAAGAGCGATCACGGCCATAGGCACCACGATCTTGTCCACCATGCTCGGCGCGCCTCTCGTCTCGGTAAGGGTTAAAGTTATCGCGGAATGCGTCGCGGCCACGGGGGCTTTTGGACCGTTGGCGCTGGTAGTGACGGGAATCGGACTGGCGGGGGTCGGGGTAGGGGTCATTTTGTCGTTCATACGGGGTGACGCCCTTCTCGGTGGCGTAGGCCTTGGCCTTTGCGATCGCGTCGGCGAGCTGCACAGTGCCCGAATTGACTGGGCGAATCGCACTGAGATCGATACTTCCACTCGAAGCCGGTTGAGGGTAGGGGTACGCCGGTGCGGCTTGGTATGGTGCCGACTGAGGCGGGTATGGGTTTTGGCCCAGGGCCGCATAAGGGGCTGGGGCGGGCGCCGGAATGCCGGGATGGCTCTGCGTGGGCGTTGAAGCCGCGGGTCGCTGGGTCGCATCTATATCACAAGGGGAATCATCAGTTTCACAACTTGCGAATGCAACCATGGGGATAACATTCATACCACCAAGCATCTTCAGGATGGAGTTGATATCGGGTGTTGAGCCAGCCATGTTGCCAGTGAGTGCTCGTCACGAGCCACGTCAAACCCAATGTTCGTTTCCGCCCAAGACCAAGGCCAAAAGAGATAACTGCAAACGTCTCGGGTAGCGCAACGCAGCGCGTGAGAATAAGGAGGAAAACTAAATCTCAAACTCGATTGTAACTCTATTTTCTACGCGATACAAGAGGTTAGCAAGATTCCTTGCAAAGCACAGCTCGGTTGGGTTGCGTGGCGCAAAATCAAGGGCGCTGAAGGACAAGCGGCAAAAGTGCTGCCCGGCGTGAATGACGAAGAGGATTAATGTATTACTAACCTCACTGAGGGCGGCGCAGCTCGTCGCACGACCGGACCGTGAAAGGGGACAAACGAGCAAATGGCAAAACTTGCCCACTGGGTTGAAGATGCGATGCGAAATGGAAAAGAAATCGGTCACCAGCCCTTGCCAATTTCATGCAGATCTTGGTGATGAATGGAGCAAGGAAAAGTGGCTGGTTGTGGAGCGGGAAACTGGTTGGTTGACTTCGCCTCAAAGTCCAAGGGCTTGTGAGAGTGAGGCCCGTGCGCTGTATTCACGTGATATTCTCTCCCTCAACCTTTGAACTGCACCTCTGCACCTCCCTCCTAACATTGTCCTGCACACCTGCTCTACCTTGGTAAGTGGGGCATACTCGCTATGGCCAAAAAACCGGCAGGCCAAGTCCCTGGATAGGTAACTTACTTTACTACAAAGGTAAAAAGGGACCGAAAAGAATAAACGAAAAAAAGTGAAAGAAGATAAAAAAGGAGTAAATCGATCAAACTTACCAAGATTTGATAGATTGTTAATGGATTGGACTTGAGCTATCTGTTTGAGTGTGCCGCTTTTTTTGGCCACAGCGAGCGAGGCATACTACCTTGTTAACATCAACTCGCAACGCGAACAAACAACAAAGAAAAATCACGGCGACAACACCCGCCAACGTTCCGCATATCAGCTGGGCTCCGAGGTTCTACTCAAGTGTTTTTCAAATTATATAAAACAATCCCAAAACGACCGGCAGTTACTGCCCTCTGGATCCTAGTTTCTGAATCACAACCCTAGGAATCAGGCCAATCATCAAAAGTAAGAAGTGAAATTGGCACGGATTATTACGATGTGAATTATACCGTCAGGCACACTCGATTCCATGGATGAATTTAAAGTCCCTTGCCAAGACGAATTAATCCACCTTCACAAGCACCTAAGTATGTGCTGGTCGTTTCAATCCATGAGACAGCATTTGAAGTTGTCTAACCCCGAAACAGAATGATACAATTATTGGTGAGGCGGAAGTCGAAGCGCCAACCCTGGGTTTGTGTGGCATAAGGTCCCATACAACCTAACTCAAAGCCAACAATTCATTCTCCCAGGGGTTATAAAAACGAGAGTCAGGTAAAAGATATCATGTTCGACGAGGGCAGGGACTTCATATGGGACTTAATTTGTACGAGATATCCAACGAGCTAGAGTAGCCGATGTCGGGCCACACTTTTTAAATCACGTATACACAATTACGGTCTTAGTACCACTGCCAACGGGTTCCTGCATGGGAAACATCCAGGGCGCTGTTAGTGTTCTACACTTTTGTCAAGGCCCCCCTGCCCCGTTTGCTCTGAAGGGATTTTGCGGTGTGATGGCCAACTGAACTTGTATCGCGCCCTGACTTTTCACAACGGAGAATAGCGGACAATTCAAGCTATTACACTTGAGGCTGTATGTCGCTGCAGCCGAGGTAACCTATCTAGTCTGTTGGGCAACGAAAGTCGGACAAACCGTGCGAATATTTGTAGCAGTAATCTCATAAAACGGAGGTAAAGCATGCAGGTCTTGCCTGAAGACTTGTAATACCCGGAGGATTCTCAAGTTGGATCAACATAGTAATAAGTGGTCCTATGCTATGTGAAACAGTTCAAAGTTCAGGTTCGACGATTGTCGTATGGCTGTGCTTCCGTTGACCATTACAATGGCTGTTTGCTGCCCCCCTTGCTCGATTGCGGCCTTTAGCAAATTACCTGGAGCCCCGAAAGTGGCCCTGAGGACAAATACAAAGGCGTCAAGCCAAATTGGTACGATAATCTTCTAGCGGCCGTGAGAAACTGACTTGATGAGGGTGGGAGTAGGCCCGGGAGGTATGCCATGCGTGTTTGCCCCGCGAGTCACTCACTTAACCCGAGACTATATCCCAGTGTTGTACGCTTATGTTTAATAAGTTCCGGGCGAGTACGACAGGAGCCGCCTGCAGCACCCAGCTTTACGGCTGATACCCTGGTATGTACTTTCCCCTGTCAGGTTGTACGGCCAAGTAAGGTGGTTGATGTCAGTTCGAAAACTCTCAGGGAAATATCTCGGCAGGAGCATCAAGCAACGTTCCTTCCGCAGCCCCCTGAATCACAGTCATACGTTGGACTCGACGGGAAGGTACACCCGCGTCGACGCGTCACTGGGGGTCCACGTCCTCTCCCCTTGAATTTCCAATAGGTAAGTTCCATTACTTCTCGACACTTTCTCGTTTATCTTCCAACCTCTCCCGACTGTTCTCTGTCATCAGCTCCCCCATTCATTCACGGTCATTCGATCACAAAAACACACTCACTCCCGCTCGAAATTCTCCGGTCGAGCACACCAGACATTCAGAATGGTGAACGCCGTCCAAATCCTCGCCACAGCCCTCGCCGCCGTCGGGGTGGCGGCTGTGGCTACCCAGAACCATCTGGAAGCGCTCAAGGATGCCCCGCCGGGTATCACCTACAAACTCGCCAAAGGGATGCAGTCTTCGTCGAAGTGGTCATATCTACCAGCCAAAGCTACGAAGGCCGCCCCGCATGTTCAGCAGTTACGCGCTATTCGTGCTGATCGCGCGACTAGCTTCAATCCGAGGTCCGCTGCGGCCGTCCTGGGTGCTCACCAGCGTCACGTTGGGGGCTTTGGTTACGAGAATATCACTTCAACTTCGGCCTACGGCACTCAGTACGCCGTTGATGCTTCGTTCAGCGGTCATCAACTTTCACTCATCATCGACACTGGTAGCTCCGATACTTGGGCTGTGCAGAAGAACTTCCACTGCGTCGACTATTCGGGCGAGCTCCTCCCCCAAGAGACCTGCGGTTTTGGCGAGGCATACCCGGAGAACTTCCAATACGGCGTGACTAACCCGGCGACTCACATGTACATCCAATACGGCGACGGTGAGGTTGTTACCGGCCCCATGGGATTCTCTGATGTTTCCGTGGGCAATCTCACGGCCGAGAAGCAGCAGGTCTGTTTGGCCAACACCACATACTGGTACGGCAACAACAAAACCAGCGGTTTGTTGGGCCTTGCGTTCCCATCCCTGACGAACTCTTACCTTGGTACCGGGGCACAACACGATTTCGGTAACCAGGTGCAATACAGTCCGCTATTCACCAGTCTAGTAGGACAAGGCCTGGTCGATCCTCTTTTCAGCATCGCCATTGATCGCAACGCGTCGAGCGGTGTGCTTGCGCTCGGCGGTATTCCTCCGGTCACTGGTCTTGACAAGTCTCGCACCGCGGTCCTGGACATGATCATCGTAAGTACACCTCTCTCTTCTTTTCCTCGTTAGATATTTTCCTAACACCGATACCGCACAGACGAGCGTCATTTCGCTCCCCGAAACCGCATACGAATACTCGTTTTATACGGTCATTCCGGACGGCTGGAGCTGGGACCAAACCACCACCACCAAGAAGATCCCATATATCGTGGATAGCGGCACCACCCTCAATTACCTTCCTACCAGTCAGTTCGCCCCCCGTCTTCCCTCACAACCAGGGCCAACTTGTATGCTAACAATAATATGTATGTCAGGTGTGGCCGACGCCATCAATGCTGCCTTCGACCCCCCGGCCGTTTTCTTGTGGATGTACGGCGCTTATTTCACCTCGTGTGACGCCTTCATCCCCCAGGTTTCCGTGGTACTGGACGGAATTAACTTCAACATCAGCCCCGTAGACCTCCTTTACCGCGGCTTAGTTGACCCTCTGACTGGGTTGTGCATGACTGCCATTGCGGACGGCGGTTCTGGACCTTACATTCTCGGCGATGCGTTCATGCAGAATGCCTTAGTTGTCTTTGACATTGGCGAGGCTAAGATGCGGTTCATCCCCCGTCAGCGTTACTAATGGTGTGATATTCGCCGGAACTTTGTTTTCGGGTCTTTGTTTTCGGGTCGCCGGGCTTTGCGCTGGGGGTAGGATTTGATAGCTGTGGAAACATGTCTCAATATTCGTCGATGCTGAACGGAGAACAGGGCAGATTAGCTTGACATTTAAATGTAACAACACTGTCGAAGTGCTTTTCACGAGATGCCTTATTGGTTGATATTGCAACACCTACAAAACTGCTATCAGGGTAGAATCCTTGGGAATCGCTTTGCAGGGTTCTCTCGCCGGACAGTTCCTCTCCTCCATTTGTAAAATGGTGACGAGATTGCATACACCCTCCCAGATGCCAGCCTAAGCCCCCAACCTGCCAGAAGCCAACGCTACACAATGTGACCTAACCGTCAACGCCATCCCGGAAAGTCGGTACCCAACTTGAAACCCGGGCACTTTTCCCATCCCCCGTGTCGTGACGTTCGAAAATACCATTGATGTTCACCGATATAAGCAATTCCGCTCATTCGCCCTCCACAGTGGCGAGGCCGGCAGGACTTGACAGTAGACGCAAACAAGAGAAATACACAAGGAACAAAAAGGAAAAACAGTACGTTTAACAATGTCCGAGAAATGAAGTATTGGTCGGCAACGCGAGTGGTGGCAGCCAGGCCATTCAGATTGCCCCTTCTTTTTACTGCCCCTTCATCAAATGCCGCCTTCCGGTGACGGATCCTCATGTTTCGCGGTACTTCCCTTACCGCGCCAGGTGCTGACGGCCTTGATGTTGGCCTTGTAGGTTTGCAGCTCGGTACCGTAGGCGCGCGGGGTGAGCTTCATGAGGGTGTGCAGGGGCACGGGCACCCAGGGGCTGTCCTCCTGCGTCTTCTGCATGAAGTAGGCGTAGATGCACCGGATGACGGCTTGGTGAGAGATGATGAGAATGTCTTCGCTGCGCTCGAGCTCCATGATGATAGGCTCTAGTCGGATGACGACGTCACGGTAGCTTTCCCCGCCCCTGTAACGGTAGTTGTACTTGTCTTCGTCACGAGCCGCAAAGTCTTCCGGGTACTGGTCAGCGATTTCCTGATATGTCAGGCCGTCGCAGACCCCCGCATCGAGCTCGTCCAAGGCTTTCCATTGCAGCTGGTTGTAATGTTTTGGGAGGTGGCGCGCCGTGGCAATGGTTCGCTTCAAGGTTGAGGTCCAAACGGTCAATGGTCGGTCGCTCTGTACGCGGGGATGTCAGCAGGGGTGCCACGCAGCAGTGGGATGGTGAACCGAGAACCAGGGGGGTGGGTGGTGGAGGGGAGCCGCTTGGGCTTGGCGCATGCAACCGAAAGACATGTTCGGCACTTACACCAACAGACTCGCGGACCAATTCAGGAAGCTTCCGGGCATACTCCTCGCCACGATGGGAAAGTTTCGCGTCGCCACCGATCCGACCATCTAGATTGAACATGGACTCTCCATGCTGGTCGGTTTGTTAGTCTCTTGATAAGAGTTACGGCAGCCACTTTTAGATGTTACTTACTCGAGACAGCCAGACAGAACGCGGACGGATATGTAGGTTCATAAGAAAGTACACAACGCGGCTTTGGAGGTAGTCTTGGATGCGGTTGATGAAGACCTGCTTGCCAACGTTCATGATCTTGAGATAGGTCAAGTGGTCTTCGTCCTTGTCTTCGTTGATGGACTTGTAGACCTTCTCATAGTTGCGAATCCGCTCGCGGAAGTCTAGCGTCGCCTGCTCTGGATCCTGGCCCACGTAATCCGGCGAGCTGGTTTTGACGTCGCGAATGTTGGCCATGACGAGCTCCTCATCATCACATCTCGACTCAACAAAGATGACTTCGATTCCCTCGCTGGTGATGCGCTCGAGGACCCACTTCCGTCGCTCCTTGGTGCTGTTGGTGGCATCTAGGATCCCCACGACTCCGCCGCTCTTGAACCATTTCAGCATGTCTGTAATAGCAGCATCGGCGGCGGCCCGGCGCTGGCGTTCGCCCTCGGCATTATTGGTGTCGAAGAAGTTAGCCGGCGGGTGGGGGGCGTTGGTTCGGCGGTAGTTACCGACATTGAAAGTCGCGGCGGGCACCGACAGCCATTTGAGGTATCGCTGAGCTAGAAAGACAAATCGCCCCATCAGTCAGCGTCTCTCTTTTTTTTTTTCTTGCTTAGAGGCGGCGAATCGCCATTCCCTCGGAACAAACACACCTCTCTGGGCAATATAGCTTTTTCCTCGGGCCGGGAGCCCAACCATCACCACGCAGATGCGTGTGTCCTCGGGCATAATGCCGAGGCCGTTAATCTTTAGAGCCATCTTTGCTGTGTGGTAGCCGATGAAGCAGTGGTCGAGAGGTAGAGGAGAGTGGAAGAGACGGTCGAGACATGTAGCAGCAGCTGGATTGACCTTCCGGGGGTGCAAAGAGTCAGCGCAGTGGGCGTGGAGCGTGCGTAGTAGTTGATCGCGTGAGCACTCCCGTGGGGCGGTCTTTGGCTGCAGGTCGAGTTCCAATGTTGGTGAGCGGGTGACGATGGTGGGCTGCTGTGAGGGGCACCTTCCCGGCTGCGACGTCACTTTGCGCTGCTGTCGTGGTCGCCGCGGCGATGGGCACAGGCGGATAAAGGCCACACGGGCTCGAGTGTGAAAAGGGGGGGAAGGGGGCGTGCCTTGGGATAATATGGCAAAAGTTCCACACAAGGGGGCGAGATTCAATGGCAGAGGGAAATAAAACAAAGGGGAAAACGACGAGCACACATGCAAAATAGGTCACACAAGACGTGGTCGCAGAGCTTCATCAATCGCAATCGGGATTACCAGGGCGGCATCCATCTTGGGTGTGCCAGCGGGTAACACCCCTGGCGTGGAAGCTCCCGGGTTCCGCCTTTTTCCCCATGGCCGGGCCAACAGTCCCCTAGCCACTTCGCCGAACAGACCTGAGTCGGAGCCCCCAAAAGTGGGGGTTCCCCAGCCGTGATGCAGTTGTCTGTGATGCGATCGATGGGTTTTACCCTGGAGAGCGTCGTGCAGAACCTGCGCACCTCCTGCAGACCGCCTTCTTTTTCATCCGGGGATTTCAACCGACGAGCTTTTCTCCCGCTCGCCCTTGATTTTTTTTGACACCCGAGTTTGACAGCTCTTTTGCCCTCGGCTTGTCGCCCAATGGCGTGTTCAGCTCGCGCAGAATCTGACGAGATTTGGTTGCTCACCTGGGCCGTGCGCTGTCCCGGTTGAAACCGGAAGAAAATGGCATGGATTGGAAAGCGCGAGTCTGTGTTGAGGAAGCTGCAGCTGGCCCTCGTCGCTTCAAGTCTCGGCAGTCGCGCCTGCGCAACGCCTTCAGGACATCCATATTTGGTGCGAGCGCGAGGCAATGGAGGTTCTTTCGACAAATGCCAAGCTGGTTCGGAGGCTCATGTGACCAACAGGAGTCTCTGCCCCCTGAGCGAAAGTGGGGGTTTGTGGTTTTGCTTACTTGTATCCTTCCTGCCAAGTTCAAAACACCGAATTCGAGTGAATCGCGAAACCATCACCATTGTCTCTGTTTGTACTGATTGCCCGGTGTGGTCACCCTGGTGACTTGTAGGAACATGCAACAAGGCCAAGGAATCCCTGGAATTAGAAGTCCCCCACCACTACGACCACCCTTCTAAGCAGTAACGGTTATAGTACGACAAAGTCTCGTTCTCATGACCGCAGAATCTCAGTCAGGGCTCTGGTGGGGTTGTCCTTTTTGGGCAACCGAAAACGGGACAAGTGATCGAACTGTCAGGGATAAAACTTTACTTTGCAAGTTGATTTTGAAGGATTGGTCCGGAAGTTTCTCGGTAGGAATATCTGTGCTCAAACCTAAGTGTTCCGCCAAAGGACAGGACTCAATCGAACCAAGCGCGCCCACAGCAAGTGGTATCAAGCCGGATTGGGATGTTGTTCCTGGGACTGACTAATAAGTGACTGTAACGCGGGATTACCTCGCACAGTGATGTGAAACCTCGTCGGCAACAAGAACGGGTAGACCGTAGTACCAATGCCTCGAAAGATAGTCGGGCCGGGTCATATCAACGATGACCTTCCGTTCTTGGCATGATAGAAAAACGGAGGTGCCAGACACCGGCCATCTGCAGATACGCGGGAGATATGAACAAGCAAACAAGGAAGCTAACTGCATGGATGGTGGTATTGGGGACATTTGCCGAAAGGGGGTGAGGAGATGCAGAGATGCAATAACTGAAATGCCGCAAAAAGGCAGCGTTCAACAACGGTATAGTAAGACATCGGCTCTTGGTCGTCGCCGGAGAAGCCACTGGTACATGTGGAAGCTGAGACTAGATACCGCTCGGGTGTTACTGGTTCAAGCCCTAATTGTCGGCACGCCTTACGTTGTTGCTACCGATTAGCAAGGCCAGCGGGATCTGTCAAGAGGTCTGGGAGTAGGCTAGCACGGGATCGTGAGTTTTTCTTCCTGTCACTGTCCCCCTCGCCCCTAATCCGCTTGCCCACCACCCAAATAGCAATGCCAATGGCAACATCCCCGAAGTTATCACTCACAATGTGGCCACCGTGTACCCGGGGGGATCACGCCGTTGTATCTTGCCTGAGAGACCATTGCTTCGATGTCATGACTCTACTTCTTAATCTGGTCAAATTGAGCAATGCAGATTATTTAAGCTTTCCGTGCAGCTTAGGAGGGGCCCTAATAAGAACCTAGCCTTCGGCCACTTCCACATCCGGACCCTTCCCCATGTCTCTCAAGCCCTTTGTGATAACGTTGATAGTTAGGTACACTTCAACATACACAAAATCCCGGTTCTCCGCCCCCCAATTTACCACCCCGAGTCTCCGAGATTCCGACAATTTTGCGCTTACGAGAACTATCTGTCACAAAAGGTATGCTGATATACTAGGAGCATGGCTGCCCGGATCGGGTTAGAGAAAGAGTACTCCTGAACCTATCCTCGATTTATAGCGGGTGAGCAGGCATAACTTCCGGTACAACTAGACCATTGAGACAGTTGAGACAGTTTGGAGACATAACGCTTCCTTAAGGATCTCGTGTCCTAAAGGAAGTGTCTTGCAGGCATTTACTACTGGGGTGTTCCACACCGGAGGACAACAGGCAGTAGTAACTCGCTGTACGTGTGATTGTTTCATAGTGAAGCGCTGCTCTCAATTTGTGTAAAATCTTCGCTTCTACTGTTGAAAAAACCTTTGAGCGTTAGCGAGACACAAGCAGGGCGAGACCTAATCATACCATTACATGTTGGGGTGGCAAATCATCGTCAACGCAACGTTGTACCTCAACGATGAAATAATAATCAGTGCCATTTTCGGCCGCAGTAAGTGGTTTTTGTACCGTAATTAACAACCAGGATATCCAGCCATGGTGACTCAATAGCCTCGGAGGGGCGGTCCGCCATCATAGCTTACTCCACAATCGAGTTCATAATTAATGTCTAAGCGAGCTACACAGGAAACAATCCGAGATTGCAGAAGAGTGATATAATTAGTCTGTGCAATCCCCCCTGAGCCTACCTACCTAACAAGGAGGGATTTAGGTGGAGGGGCTATAATTTAACAGCAGGAGATCACTCAGCTACACGTAGACAGCATACTTATCCAACAAAAAGAGGGTTCTTTCTACCACCTTGGGGGGCGACGAGCCTTTTGTGTAGTACCAGTAATTAATCAAAAATGATGAATAGTTTTTCCCCTGAAGAGAAACCAATAACCCGAACTTTACCTCTATTCCTGGGTATCTTATAACTTAACCTACCTATCTGAACCTTCAACCTACCTATACTCAACGGGTTACGGGTTGTAGTTGGGTTTGACCTACGGATACATGGGTATCCCTGCGGGCCTAGCTGTTGCATCGCATGTATTCCGTGGCGGTGAGTCTCCCATTTCGATTTTACCAGTTTACCTGATACCTCTGCTGGAATTGGGTCGCACCGTCCTCTGCGAGCGCTTAACATCCGCCTCAGGTAGTCGGGTAACTCAAGAATCACCTCTCGTTGACCGGACTAAGCGATTTGCGGGGATCAATCTCACGATTTTCGACAGCTTGAGACCATCTCGCTTACAGGTGCGTTAACATGCCACCCAACACGGAACCCATCAGCGCTGGGCCTCTCATTCGACTTCTTGTCCTCTTCCTTGTCGCAGCAAACTATCACAAGTATTTACGGTGGATAACGAAACCGTCTCCTGGGTTGATGTTCATATTCAACATGTGCATCAAGGTAAAACTAGTTGCGACTTTGGCTGAAGCGCACGCAATGCGATTTGTTGCAGAACACACCTCCGTTCCCGTGCCGAAGATATACTGCGCCTTATTCGTAAGGGTAGTACCTACACCGTGATGAGCAAGATGAATGGCAAAATGGTGTGTCAGGGTTGGCGATCCCGTTCGGAAGAGTCGAAGTCGAGAATTTACACCCAGCTACGTCGGATGATCACCGAAATCCGGTCTATACCTGCTCCCGAAGGAACAAGCGTCGGCAGTGTTGACGGCGGCCCGTTCTGCGACTGTCGCTTGCCGTCAAGTCTACTCTGGGGACCATTTTGTACCACCCGCGACTTCCACCAGGCTCTTGCGAACGGTATAGACCTGGATATCACGATTACAAATTTGCCAAGCGATATGCAGGACCTCTTTGAGTTCTATAGAGTCAAACTCCCGGCCCGTCCTAACGCATGGCGATCTCAGTTGCCTGAACATTCTAATCGAAGGAGATGATGTGGTTGGCATTGTGGACTGGGAGATAGCAGGATGGCTGCCACCGTACTGGGAGTACACATGTGCCAAGAATGTCAACCCCATGATGGAATTTCGGGCTGAAGAGGTAGACAAGATTTTGGAGCCCATGCCACATGAGTTGGAGATGGAGAGAATCAAGCGGAAGTATTTCGGCGATACCTGAATTTGTACATAGATGCGGGGTGACAACCGTAGGCGGCGTAATTACGGAGTAGTTATGGTAGGGGCTATGGGTTTTTGTTTTCCGTTGAGGTAAGCTCGCCACGACCACTGAGAACTAGTTACTGAGGTCACAGCACCGGCTTTACCTCAATAAAACCGGTCAGCCCAATGGCCTTACATTGCTAGCTCCCAACACTGCCTCGGCGGTCGATTTATCGAGAATGTTGGGCAAGCGCAGTCAAGCAACTTAGCAGTCGACTAATTCATGAAAAAAAAAGAAAAAAAAAGGAAAAGTTCAATGCTAATCGTTTGTTTTCCAAAATGTGTGTTCAAAAGTCTTTGATGCCAACTTCCCGGTTTCTAGAACTTGAAAACAAAAGGGATATAAGTTCCACACAAAGTAGTCGGCGCTAATTGTTTTATTGTTCGGTTTCGAGAACCTCAGGCGCGTTGAAGGAACAGAGGCCCTGGGAAGTTGGCCCTGGCCCGGGCGTCGCCCCGCCGGAACATGGGGCAACGTTTGACCGAAGTTTTTTTTTTGGGCAGTTGCCAAGACTTGACCTGCCCATCGCTGGTTTCCGATAAGCTACCATCAAGAGAAAAAAAATTCCGGCAAGTTTCGCCAACAGCAGCACCACACAGTCGCGCGCAACACCGTCGTGCGCAACACCTAAAATGGGTTCCGATCTTGGCAAAAAGAGGAAGTTCAAGGATGGAAAGAGCGTCAAGGCCGACCCAATTGGCACTGCGTCCCAGGGTAAAAGGCTGAAGAGGGACCCGACGCCCGACGAGAGCGACAGCGAGACCAACGATGCCACAAGCGATCTTGAAGCTGGAGATGCTAGCCTTAGCGGCAGTGGATCTCAGGCTGGAGATACAGAATCACTTCACGGCGCATCCGGGGCCCAGGATTCGTCTGTTGAACTTGACAGCGCTGCGAACGGAGAGGGGTCGTTATTGGGTCCCTCAGTATCGACCGATGCGCAGTCGTTCGCAGAGCTGAAGCTCTCCGACAAGACAATGGCGGCAATTGCTGATATGGGGTTCACCACAATGACGGAGATCCAGCGGAGAGGCATCCCTCCTCTATTAGCTGGGAAGGACGTTTTAGGGGCAGCCAAGACGGGTTCCGGCAAGACCCTCGCATTCCTTATTCCCGCCATTGAGATGCTCAGCTCTTTACGATTCAAGCCCAGGAACGGCACCGGCGCGATCGTTGTCACACCTACACGGGAGTTGGCACTGCAGATTTTCGGTGTTGCGCGGGAGTTGATGAAGAACCACTCCCAAACATGTGAGTAAACTCGACGTGGAGAAGCATACCTGGGGGCCATTGGTAGGGAGCCGTTGCTAACCTGACCCTGTAGACGGTGTGGTCATAGGAGGTGCGAACATTGGGGCGGAACGGGCCAAGCTAGGGAAGGGAGTCAATCTTTTGATCGCAACCCCAGGACGGCTACTCGACCGTAAGTTGTTTATTCCTTCATGTCCCACACTCGAGCCCCCATCATGCTGAATGCAGTGTCTATAGATCTCCGGAATACGCCTTTCGTTTTCAAGAACCTCAAGACCCTAGTCATCGACGAAGCGGACCGAATATTGGAGACTGGTTTCGAGGACGAGATGCGTCAGATCGTCAATATTTTGCCCAAGGATAACCGCCAAACCATGCTTTTCTCGGCCACACAGACAACCAAGGTCGAGGACCTCGCTAGGATATCGCTCCGCCCCGGGCCTCTCTATATCAACGTCGATGAGCAAAAACAGTTCAGCACCGTTGAAGGACTTGACCAGGGTTATGTGGTGGTGGACGCTGACAAGCGCTTCCTATTGCTATTTTCTTTCCTTAAGAAGATGGCCAAGAAGAAGATCATTGTCTTCTTGTCCTCTTGCAACTCCGTCAAGTACTACAGCGAGCTGCTGCAGTACATCGACCTCCAGGTCCTTGATCTCCACGGGAAGCAGAAACAGCAAAAACGTACCAATACCTTCTTTGAGTTCTGCAACGCTAAGCAGGGAACCTTGGTCTGTACCGACGTCGCCGCCCGTGGCCTTGACATTCCTCAGGTCGACTGGATTGTCCAGTTCGACCCGCCTGATGACCCCCGCGATTACATCCATCGCGTCGGCCGGACTGCCAGAGGCAGCAATACCAAGGGCCGCTCATTGCTCTTCCTTCAGCCTTGCGAGTTGGGGTTCCTCGCCCACCTCAAGGCTGCCAAGGTGCCGGTTGTTGAATATGACTTCCCCAAGAACAAGATTCTCAACGTCCAGTCGCAGTTAGAGAAACTCATCGGGAGCAACTATTATTTGAACCAGAGCGCGAAGGAAGGATACCGTTCCTACCTCCACGCATATGCGTCTCATAGCCTTCGGAGTGTCTTTGATGTCCACAAACTCGACCTGGTCAAGGTTGCCAAGGTGAGAAAGTCTTCCCCGGGCCATACTGATCAGCTTTGTTAACATGAATGCATAGGGTTTTGGATTCTCTACACCGCCCAGAGTCGACATCACCCTCGCAGCAGGAATGAGCAGGGACAAGAAACCTCAAGCTAGGAGGGCATACGGCAGCCAGCCACGGCAAAATGGCCACCAGCGCAGGTAACGAAGGCAAGGAGTTGCTCGGCATTATAACCATTCGGGGGCACGGGCCGTGGAGCTAGGCCCACCATAATCTGTGATGGAGTTCCGGCGTTGAGGGAGGGAGAGGGAAAAGTTCCTGCACTGAATCTGTTCCTGGGGATCTCGGTCTTAATTCCTTGTTCATTGACTCTTGTGAAACATTAGAGTAGCTCGGAATACCACATGAATTCTCGAAGGCCTGAAACGATTCAATACATCCTCCCCGACCCATATTTTCCTCTAATGGAAAGCCAACGGAACGATTCGCAAAATGTCAACGTGGCCCGAGGCCCGCAACGCTTCTTTGACGTGTGTTCGTCTCGCCTGTGGGCGGCTTATTTGGCAAACATGCAGGTGGGGTGCGCTAACTCTAGCCGCCGAGCCGCCTTCTTGTTGTTCTTCGCGGCAGTGCCTGAGCGCCAATCATTTCAACAATGGACCTGCGTCCTGCGACATGCAGCCGCTGCGTTCCGGTGCGCTAAGGGAGGAATTTGCGCCTTTGGCTTTTTCTTTGCAGTGTGACGGTCCTGTCAAATTGTGAACGGTCGATGCAATCGGTCAATTGTGGGAATGGCTTGAATGGCAAGAATGACTAGGCATGCCATGCGACTCGAACAAGTCGGGCTGTCCCTCGAAAAGAACCTCGAATCGTAAATCATTTCCTAATTTATTTTGTTTCCGTTTTCGCCACTCGAATTAAAAACTTGGAACATATGGTAATATGACCAGGCCAACCACCCAAAACCCCGTACCGCCACGATCTCCGCGAAGAAGAACAGGTTAAAGAGCCCTAAAATTCCTAGCAAAGGTGTAATGCCGTTCATGCTTGTCGGCATTCTCCCGGCAACGCCACTGACGAAGTGCCCGATTTGGGCAGTGAGCTTCGGACAGGGGTGGGGCTAAGCGGTTTGGGTTGCCGCTTCACGGCCTGGGGCCAGAGAAACGAGTGGTTGTGGTAAGCCAGGCGCTTCTTAGCGGAGCCAGCCCAGCGCTTCGTTGAGGAACGCGAAGGCAGCATGACTGGTTTTGAGTGCTGGATAGATGAAAGAGACCACCAGGGGAGCAATCTATCTTTGTCTCATTGTTTTCTCCATTGACAGCGGTCCCAAGTTATGCGGCCTTGTTTCGCGGCCGCGGGTGACTTCTTATTGTGCCCGCCGGCCCCCTCACACAATGGCGGGTCTTTATGGGTATCGCTATTGTTCCCAACCCACGTTTATTGTTCGGCCACCTCACATCCCACCTCTCTCCCTATTCCTGCTACACCAGGAGCCATGACCCAATAGGTGTTGTGGTCATCTCCAGGAACAGTTAATATTTTCCCTTTGCATCGTTTTTCTTTCTTTCCTTTAGAGTTTCAACGTTCCCATCGGCATGAGGTAGCAGGTCTCCTTCCTTACAGCAAACACCACCACACACGGATCTCCAGTTTCCTAATCCGGTAACCGCCCAAGCTTAATCAACAACCGTTTCAACGACACCACGCTTCCGCGATATACTAGTTCTACGACTTTCATTATTTTCTCACGATACGAACCGCCACGACCGATACCATGACCTATAACGAAAAGACGGGGGCGGTGCCTCCGGTGCCGGCGTTGCCATCGAATCTCAACGCCAACGCCTGGCATACGGTCGATCTCCACAATCGCGATGAGCCTCAAAGCAAGTTAGAGCCATACGCCCATACGGCGCCGACCGTTACACCATACCTGGGCCTCCGAGCGCGCCTCTCACAGCTTTGGTTCAACCGTTGGACCATCCTCCTCATCCTCGTGCTTGTGCGGGTGCTCATCATGACGGCGGGTCTGCATGATAACATCGGTGATGCCAAGACCAAGGCGCTTTCCGCTTGCACCAAGGTGGAGGATATTGGCAGCGCCATGGCGTCCATGCCGCACTACCTCTCCGTCGGTGTCAACTCGTTGGCGGCGGATGGCATCACCAAGGCTGTTTCGGGCATGGTGAAGACGCTCATGTTGATCTTGACGGGTGTCGAAAACCTCATCTTGTTCATCATCAACATGTACGTGGGAACTTACGCTTGCCTGATCGCGGCCCTGATCCACGGGGGTCTCGATGTCTCCGTCAAGGTTGTCGAAGGCGCGACCCAGGTCATGAACAAGGCGATCGGCACTATCACCGGTCAAATTTCCCATACCGTTGAAGACGTCCAAAATGCCATCAACGAGATCCCGGACAAGATTTCTGGCTTCCTTGGCGGCGTCGACTTTAACCTGCCCAAAATCGATATCACCAAAAATCTCGACGACCTCAATGACATCAAGGTTAATAGCAAGGACCTGGTCAAGGACCTAGTTGCGCTCAACACGACGATTCCGACATTTGACCAAGTTGAGAACTTCACCAAGAATGCCATCGCCATTCCCTTTAACTTCCTGAAGCAGCAGGTCAACGAGAGCCTGGGCTCGTACCAGTTTGACGACTCTGTCTTTCCCGTCGCAAAGAAACAGGCGCTGTCGTTCTGCTCCGACAACTCATTCCTCAACGACTTCTTCGAGACGCTCTTCAACATCGTGCAGACGGCCAAGATTGCTTTCGCCGTGGTGATTCCCATCCTAGCTGTGCTCGCCATGGTCGTCATGGGCTTCCTCGAGATCCGGCGCTTCCGGAGGGAGAAGCAGCGGGCGCGCGAATTCACCGAGCGCGGATTTGACACGCTTGACGTGGTGTACCTTTCGTCGCGGCCCTACACGGGGGGTTTTGGATTGTGGTTGTCGGCCAAATTTAAGGCATTCAAGAACCAGCTGCTGGTGCGGTGGACTATTGCGTATGGGACTTCGCTGCCTGCGTTGTTCGTGCTCTCGCTGGCCATGGCCGGGTTGTTCTCTTGTCTTTGTCAGTTCATCATCCTGCGGTCGATCCAGAAGGAGGCCCCGGCCCTCGCGAACCAGGTTGGCGACTTTGCTGGCGACGTGGTCGGTACACTTAAGAAGGTGTCAACAGACTGGTCTGATGACGCCAACGGGGTGATCATCAAGCTCCAGGACGACATCAACGACGACGTGTTTGGCTGGGTCAGCAACGCAACGACGGCTGTCAACAACACGCTCACCACGTTTGACGACGAAATTGATAAGGCCATCACGGCCGTCTTCAAGGACACCATCTTGCTTAACACAGCGCGGAACCTGGTCGGGTGCATCATCACCCGCAAAGTCGAGACAGTGCAAAAGGGTCTCACCTGGGTGCACGACAACGCCCACGTCACACTGCCCCTCTTCTCCAACGACATCTTCTCGCAAGGCGCCAATGCTAGTGTCACCGGCGACAACGATTTGACGAGTTTCCTCGCGTCCCCATCGACCGTCACCACTGACGAGATCACATCGGCGGTCAACGACGTCATCACCAAGCTTGAGCACAGCATCGTGCAAGAGGCGCTGATCTCGACGGCCCTCCTACTCGTTTACGCTCTGATTGTCATGTCAGGCGCCACGAGCGCGCTGGTCGCCGCGGCCAAGACGGAGAAAACGCGGGCTGAAGGCGGCGAGCGGTTTGGTGTCAAGGCGCCGGGAAGCAGCGGGAGCGACGGTAGCGGTGGCAGTTTTAGCAGCACCATGCGAGGCGCTCGCGGTGGGTTTGAAGATGGGAGCAACAGCACCACACGACACGCTGATCCCCCGCCGCCGGCATTTGATGATGTTGTTTACAGCGGCCAGGTCAAGCGAGGGAGGCCCGGGCCGGAGCGGTGGCCGTCGCACGCGAGGAAGAGCAGTTACCCGGAGGTGGATGATGGTTACGACCGCTAGAGGCCGTCGGACAACGCTCGCCGGGGTCATCGCTCAACTGAGTCGGAGGTGGAGGATCCGGCAATGGGCGCGCGGACGCCGTCGATATACTCGCCGGTATAATAATGGATGAGGAGTGGGCGGTTGGCGTTGCGTTGTCGCGTTTGGCCTTTTGATATGGGGAGCTTGGCGTTTCTGCGATGCGATGTGGATGTTTGAAGGGAGCGAACTGCCAGCTTGAAGCCTGGTTTCTTTTGTTTTTCCGGTAGAAGAAGATATACCCGTTCAATACATTGGCTTTGGTCCATGACATTCATACTTTTTGCTGTTGACGTGACCAATATTTCCGTTTTCGACATGCGAGATGGTGCAGTTGTTGAAATTCTGAGGTGCCTGTGATCGGCCGGATAAGTGTTTACCAGCCCCTGTCCTGCTGTGGGTAAGCCAACACCCCTCCCACGGAAGAATCAGCCCGCTTTTCGAGACTGTTTGGACACCGCTTGGACACAATCTCGCGGGCTCGCGACGCGGGCAGAGGGTGCCGCAGCCACACTCTGTGACCCAATCTGAACACGCCTTCAGGAATCTAGTGTAGTGCTGTTTCCCCATTCTATCCTTGCCCAACCAAAGAAGTTTCATGGTCAATGGATGTCTTCATCCTTCGTTACCGCCCCGCTTACCTAATGCGGCGCTGCCCCGCCGAGCATCTCCATGAAAGAGTCAGCTCGTCTTGGCTGGGCTGCTACTACATAGTAATTATTACTGTACATGTAGAATCATCCTTGTCCGGGGCTCAATTGTTGTTCGGTGCCTCGGGAGGTCCGGACCTGGATGTTTGCTCGTTTGGTAACGGTCGGGTACAGATTAACCCGCGGAGTCTCCAAAAAGAATACGGAACATGTTCGCATTGCATGGCCCGACTGCGGTTCGGGAGTCCTTTGGAAAGGCCCTGCAACATATACTGTACGTATCCACAGGCCTGGGAACTCGCTGGTGGCGGCGCGGGGTCCAACCGAAACAAAAAATAAAGTGGGGTCGCTCAAACTGTGCCCCTCCACTCGCCTCCTCTGGTTCACAGTATTTGAACATTCAACGCCGCTCCCGGGGCAACGTCGTTCTCCTACTTGGTAACCTCACCCTCTTGCGCTCCCATCCCCTGTGCGCAATCCCAAGTCCTCCCGACCCCAGCCGACCCAATTGACCGCAGCTGCCCACCATGGAGGCGATCAAGAAGACGTTCCAGCGTTGCAAGGCCGAGAAGCGGGTATGTGAAATTTGGCAGCGCTATTGTTGCTCTCAATAACAACATTTGCGCCCTTTTCAATGTTTATGAGAGGCATGTGAACAGCCGCTAACACCAAACTCTCGTTAGGCTGCCCTCGTCACCTATGTGACCGCCGGTTTCCCCACGGCAGAGGCCACTCCCAACGTGATTCTGTCTATGGAGAAGGGCGGCGCCGACGTCATCGAGCTGGGCGTCCCGTTTACCGATCCCATTGCCGACGGCCCGACCATTCAGACTGCCAACACCGTCGCTCTCCAGAATGGCGTGACGATCGAGTCGACTCTACAGATGGTGCGCGATGCCCGCAAGCTCGGCGTGCGCGCTCCCATCTTGCTGATGGGTTATTACAACCCGCTGCTCAGCTACGGCGAGGAGCGCCTCATGAAGGACTGCAACGAGGCCGGTGTTAACGGCTTCATCGTGGTGGACCTCCCCCCCGAGGAGGCCATTACTTTCCGCAAGTGGTGCACTCACGGCGGGTCAGTTGCCCTTCCATTGTTCCGTTCTGTTTTTATTTATATTTCTGGCTGACATGGTCTTCTCTCAGGTTGTCCTACGTCCCCTTGATCGCTCCCGCAACATCCGATGCCCGCATGCGGATCCTTTGCCAACTGGCCGACTCGTTTATCTACGTCGTTTCCCGCCAGGGCGTCACCGGAGCTCTCGGCACCATCAACGCTAACCTTCCCGAGCTCCTATCCCGGGTCAAGAAGTACAGTGGCGACAAGCCCGCAGCTGTGGGCTTCGGCGTCAGTACCCGGGAGCATTTCACGTCCATTGCCCAGCTGGCCGACGGTGTGGTCGTTGGTAGCATGATTGTCACCACTCTCCAGAAGGCGGCCAAGGGCGAAGAATGCAAGGGCGTGGAGGATTTCTGCGCCTACCTTTGTGGCCGAGGGTCGAACGAAACCACCCGCGAGGTTGGCATTGTCGAGGCTGTTTCGGGCGCCAGGGAGTCACAGGGGGAGGTTCATGTGGACGACGTTGTGCGCAACACCGATGACCTCGTGGCGCAGCTGGCCGCCATGCACGGCAAGATTCCCGAGCGCTTTGGAGAATTCGGTGGCCAGTATGTCCCCGAATCCCTGATGGACTGCCTTTCCGAGCTGGAGGAGGGGTTCAACAAGATCAAGGACGACCCGGCTTTCTGGGAGGAGTACCGCTCCTACTACCCCTGGATGGGCCGCCCAGGGCAATTGCACAAGGCAGAGCGCCTGACGGAGTACGCCGGTGGTGCCAACATCTGGCTGAAGCGTGAGGATCTTAACCACACCGGGTCACACAAGATCAACAACGCTCTCGGTCAGCTCCTTCTGGCTCGCCGCCTCGGGAAGACCAAGATCATTGCCGAGACCGGCGCCGGTCAGCACGGTGTCGCCACAGCCACCGTGTGCGCCAAGTTTGGCATGGAGTGCACCGTCTACATGGGTGCGGAGGATGTTCGTCGCCAGGCGCTCAACGTGTTCCGTATGAAGCTCCTGGGCGCCAAGGTCGTCGCTGTCGAAGCCGGCAGCCGCACGCTCCGCGATGCCGTTAACGAGGCCCTTCGTGCCTGGGTGGTCCACCTCGAGGACACCCACTACATCATTGGCTCTGCTATCGGCCCCCATCCCTTCCCCACCATTGTCCGTACTTTCCAGTCTGTCATTGGCAACGAGACCAAGGCGCAGATGCTCGAGAAGCGCGGCAAGCTTCCCGACGCCGTGGTCGCCTGCGTGGGCGGTGGCAGCAACGCGGTCGGCATGTTTTACCCTTTCAGCAACGACCCGAGCGTGAAGCTTCTCGGTGTTGAAGCCGGCGGTGACGGTGTTGACACCCTGCGTCACAGCGCCACCCTCGCGGCTGGCACAAAAGGCGTGCTCCATGGTGTGCGCACGTACATCCTGCAAAACGAGCACGGCCAGATCAGCGACACCCACTCCGTTTCCGCCGGTCTGGATTACCCCGGTGTCGGCCCGGAGTTGGCGAACTGGAAGGACTCGGAGCGCGCCAAGTTCATTGCCGCTACTGATGCCGACGCCTTTGTTGGGTTCCGTCTCATGAGCCAGTTGGAAGGTATCATTCCCGCGTTGGAGTCGTCCCACGGCATCTTTGGTGCCATCGAGCTGGCCAAGACCATGAAGAAGGACGAGGACCTTGTCATCTGCCTGAGTGGCCGTGGTGATAAGGACGTCCAGAGTGTCGCGGACGAGCTTCCCAAGCTTGGCCCCAAGATTGGCTGGGACTTGCGTTTCTAAGCTACTTGGTCAAGGATCGCGTCGGAAATCTTGTGAGAATCTTTACACCATTTGAGCAATATGTAGCATAGACCAATAGAGGTTGGGAACTTCAAGAATATGACCCATAACCCCCATAAAGTTCTTCGTGATCTCGCTTCCATCCCGTTTGTCATTATGCAATCGTTTCTAAGCGTCTCCCGTTAACGACATGATGGCCTTGTTGCCAAAACCCTCGTCATTCGTGGTCCAGGGCAAAATGTCGGTACATATTTACCCATTGATACAATATGGTACAATTCGACGCCTATCTGCCGCTCTATCCGCCCTCTTTTATCCCTCCTCACTGTTGCGGCTTCTTCTCGCTCATGAACCCTGGCTGTGCCGTCCCCGAAGCCTCTTCCGTGCCCAGCTCGAACTCAGTTTCTTTTGCCAGCATCTGATCCGTCTCTGCCAACAAAGCCTCCCTAGCGGCCACCCCACCCGGCAACGTCTGTAAAGACTCAAGAGCAATCTCCGCCTCTTCCTTGGGTGGCAGACCCAACGCCTCCCGCTCCGCCGCCAAACGGGCACGCACAACCGGCGTCTGCATGATGCGCCAACGCAGTTTCCACCCCCACGGCCCCAGGTCCTTGACCCGCTGCGGTTTCCGGCCGAGAAGGTACTCGTCCAGCCCGCCGACCTTGTCGATGGTGCGCAGCACACGTGTGGTCACGCGCGTCCGCACAAACATGCCGAGCGACTTGGACCAGATACGCTTTTGTTGAACGTTGGGCCGCCAATTGCGCCGTGTCTTGATCTCGTTCTTCTCGGACACATTGTTGCCGAAGCGGATCGAGGCGGAGCCGTATAGGCCTGTGTTGGACTGGTGGTAGGTCTGTCGCGGGCCGTAGGGGTAAGGGGGGATCTCGGGGTGGGCGCCGGAGGCCGTTGGGATGCGCAGATCGGACCCGGGAACTGATGTTTGTTTGTAGAAGGATGGAGCTGCCGTAGAGAAGGCCCTCGTGGGGTTTAGAGAGGCGGGAAGTTGGATTTGGCGGCTTTGGAGCGATGTCGTCGTGGACCTCGTCGCTGCCCGGAGGCAGGTTTGCGCTGGGGGAATTGGCGGCATTATTGCCGCTTATGCTGGAGGAATCCGAGGGATCAATGTACCGGTGTTATTGACGTCGCATTTGTGAGAGGAAACGTCGAGAAAGAATGGCGGGTGGTCAAATTTGGCGAATTCGACTTCCAAGACCCAAGAACACCCGCAGTGGGCTGCGGTTTCCAGGGTCGAAATTTTGGGGGAGCTGGGCAGCGTGGAAGTGGGGCATAATCTGCCAGCTGGCAGCGGCCCGGAGCTCACTTACAGCACTTCAAACAGGTCCACTCCTTATGGCCCCACGGTGTGCTGGACGCGATGCCTCAAGCAGCAAACCCCGGCGTCGCATCTTAAACCATCTTCCGCCATGTTGCCCCCGGTTGACAGCAGCGTCTTGCAGAATAATCCCGAGTTTGCAACACTCTACTCTAGAATCACAACGTCGGTTTTGAATTCAGACGGCTCAACTAAAAATGGCCCCGCCAACAAGGAGCGCAGGGCGGTGACAGAGGTGAGTTGGCGGGCCTTGCTTGACCAGTTTGAACCATCTATTAATCATGAGTTTCAGGAATTGAACGAATACCGGCTACGGGCCGCAAAACACCATATTTTGACAGACGCGCTGTGCAATGTAGCTCCACAGTCACAGCTAACCCAGCACGCACCAGCACCGTCCCTAACAAGACGGCTACGGCCACCACAAGGGGATGCAGGAACCCCAAGTGATGTTTCTCCAGCACTGCTAGACTTGCTGCTCCTTCTCCCACCCCTACTAGGGGGACCATCGGATCTGTCTCCTGATGATGCTGCCATCTTACTATCCAACCCACCATTCTCCGACTTCCCGACGCACCTACCACAACTTGCCCGGCTCATCTCCACGACTCTGCATTCCTCAGCAGTGCACCTTGCACGACTTGCTAATCCCTCTACCAACCCGTCCTACGTGCACCGCTCCATACCGGCTCTCCCAGCTCACGCTGCCTCGCTCGCCGCCACGGTTACTCACCATAAACAAAAACTGACACTCGCCCGGCTGGCCGCGGCGAGAGAACTGACAGCCCTGCTCCAAGATCAAACCAACGTGATCTCACAACTTCTGCGGGTACTAGAAGCCAAGCACGGGCCCATAGCCCGCTCACTCGAGTTCCGTGCTACAGAAACGGCGCTCACGGCACAACGACAGGAAGCCGAGGCCGAGGTTGCATTGTGGCAGGCACGTCGAGACACGTACACGCCCGAGGCGGCACAGGCGTTGGCCAACTATGCAGCGCACTTGCGGGACGCGAAAGGGAGGTTGAATGAGTCGATCCGTACGCTCGAGGCCGAGCTCACTGCTTATGGGGTCACGAGGGATTCTGGTCCTGGGCAGGACGGTGGGACGGGTTCGGCTGGCAAGCAAAAGACGATGAGGGAGATGGCGCGGGTGTATCATGACATGGGGCGGCAGGTGGAGGAAGTAAGAGGTGACCTGGAGCGATTTGGACGAGGTTGATACGGGATGGGTTGCATCGATCAGGAGATCCCCAAGGGATTTCGACATGTGAGACCAGGCTGCGAGGGGTGAATAACTTGATACAGGAGGGGCACAACGCACGAGACACGGCATCGCATCGGAGTTTGTACAACGAGAGTAATTAGATCTGCCACCGAAGGCAACACGTCCATTTCTTGCTTCTCCCCGTTCTATCGTTCTGTGTGTCCGTGGACTTAGCCGATGTGTTATTTTGCGCCTTTTTTTTCTTATATCGTCGCCTCCTTGTCGTACACGCAAACACCCGACCCTATGTGTCATGGTCCCAAAAACTAGAATGGTACAGTACAGTCTAACGACAACGAAAGACGAGAGACGCAGGACACCTCAACACGAAACACTCCGAGGGGGGATCGATCAAGTCATACAGCAACAAACCCGTGCAGCCAATCTTTTGTTTCTTTCATTTTAACCCTTGACCTTGAAAATGGCCTCGGCCAGGCGACCGACGTTGTCAGAGGTGATACCGGCGACCGAGATGCGGCCGTCGCGGGTGGCGTACACGCTGTGCTCCTTGGCCAGCTTGTCCATCTGGTCAGGGTTCAAGCCAGTGTAGGCGAACATGCCGATCTGGCTGGTGATGTGGCTCCAGTCGTGCTTGGAGCCAAGCTTCTCGAGGTTGTCCTTGAGCAGAGCGCGCATGGTGATGATGCGGTCGGCCATCGCCTTGACTTCGACCAGCCACTGGTCGTACAGGGCCGGGGTGTTGAGAATCTCGGCGGCGATACGCGCACCGTGGATGGGCGGGTTCGAGTACAGGGGGCGGACGAGAATCTTGATCTGCGAGTCAACGCGCTTGCGCTCCTCGGCGTCGGCGCACACCGCGGAAAACGCGCCGATGCGCTCGCCGTACAGGCCCATGTTCTTGGCGAAAGACTGGGAGAGGACGATGTTGTGGCCCTGCTCCACGAAGTAGCGCACCGCAAAGGCATCCTTGTGGATGTCACCGCTGGCAAAACCCTGGTAGGCCATGTCGAAGAAGGAAAAGTGGCCCTTCGCCTTCACGGCCGCTTCGATCTGCTTCCACTGCTCGGGGGTGGGGTCAACACCGGTGGGGTTGTGCGCGCAGGCGTGGAAGAGGAACACGCTTCCGTTAGGGGCCTTGTTGACATCGGCGAGAAGGCCCTCAAAGTCCAGGCCAATGGTGTCCTTGTTGTAGTAAGCGTACTTCTCGACTTGAAGACCGGCGTCCTTGAAGACGGCAGCGTGGTTGGCCCACGACGGCGTGGGGATGTAGATGGTCTTGGCGCCGGGATAGAAGCGCTCGATGAAAGCCGCGCCGATCCGGAGGGCACCGGTTCCGGAGATGGACTGGGTAATGGCCAGGCGGTCGAGGGCCGAGCTGTCCTTGCCATAGGCGAGCACGGCAGCCGCCTTGGTGAATTCGGGTACACCGGTGATGCCGGCGTATTCCTTGTTGAGGCGCGACGAGATCACGTTCTCCTCAGCCTTGCGCACCGACGGCAGCACATAGGGCTTTCCCTTGTCATCGCGGTAAGCGCCAACACCTGCCCCAAGGAACATCACATGTTAGCAGTCGAGCTGCGGCGCGCTTGGAGAAATAGCCCTGTTCCACTGTCGGCAGGGGGGGTTGGAAGGGAAGGGGAGTTGAAGATCGCACGCACCGAGGTTGATCTTCTTCTCGAACGAGTCGGCCTTGAATGCTTCCGTGATACCTACGCAACCACTCTTGTCAGTTTGCTGTGACCAATCCCTCGCTTCAGCCAGAGGTAAGTGCTGGTGCTGACGGGGCGCATACCGAGAATGGCCTAAAATGGCGCAAAAAGGAAAAGGACAGGCTGTTTAGCAATGCGTGGAAATGAATGCCAGGCCGGTGAGCTCAAGAAAACACCTACATCCTGTGGCAGGTTTTGGTCAGCGATCGCATTGCACAACACTCCATTTCCAACCATCGGCCGTATTCCAACGTACAGGAGGACCTTGGGGCACGTTAGCCCATGTGGAGGCAGCACGGATGGCCGTGAAATTCCGGGGGGCCACCCGCCGCGACGCAATTCTCAACGAGGAAAGCATGTTGTATGAGTTTGTGAGTAAGGAGTCGACGAAGGGACGAAACTCTCAAAAGTTTACGGGAAGGAATAAAAGGCGTCAAAATAGCACTTCGAGATTCAACGTGGTCTCCCGCTGACAGTCAGCAGCCGCCGTGCAGTCACAGTGGATCCGGTGTTTTTTCCACCACAGCCTTGGTTGGCCAATTGGCAAAATGGTCGGGAACAAACGCTGCGGGGGGTTTTGGTGGGGAGAGGGGTCGTCCCGCACTTGCCCGACCTCGGCCGTGCCAGCCCCGAATTAGCACGATACCGTGGGGGAGCTCGAGAATTCGGAGGGGCTCTCAACCCTAACCCGCCCCAAGTTTGCAGATGCTCTTGCGCCGTGGAATCTGAATGTTATTTTTTCCCAGCAGCAAGCGAATCGCCCGCAAGCCGCCAAGTTTAAGAAAAAATCATCGTCGCACCCCCACCGACGATGTGAAGCCGCAAGCAAACGTCGGTGAGGGATTTACTCCTTCCTTCAGTCTCCCACGCCTCCTCCTCGATGGCGAGCTGCGACTGGCGCCGCCCCCCAAGTTTTGGTTTTCAGTTCTGTCATGGATTGGTGCGGATGCGGCGCGGCTCATGTGGGATGCAACCGCATCCAGCTAACCCCAGCTCGCAACCGGCAAAACATTATTCAGGAGCCCGACACGTCTTTAAACTTTCAGCCACCCCGATCACCCCGAACAGATCCCCAGATTTCAACACGGCCTGATGGAGAACGCCACACCAGAGCACGACGCCTGGAACAAGAGGGCGCAGAAAAAAGACGGGGGTTAGGGTTGAGTTGTCAAGGGTCTGCGAGAACCTGGGGACGGTAGGCCGATGGTACTGCTTCAACATAAAGGCTGCTGATAACCCTTTACCTGTAAGACCGTTATTTACCCCGGCAGGGGGCGTGATATTCAACCTTGAAAGCTGAAACCCTACCTAACTTGGCTGTTGTCGGGGACCATTAGAGTGACCCTTCTAACCTTGTCACTGAGCGGCTAGTTGCCCAAATTCCGCAACACCCTCTGCCATGAAAACCACCGTAGAACCGAACACATTTGTGGTTTCATATGAAACATCTCAGTTACCATCTCTGCTTTTACGTCGAACAAGAGAACCTCACCTTTCACGTGCCGGATAACTCCGAGATCCACCTTTCACTAATCAATTAGTGTTATCCGAAACTCCTGTTCTTGGAGTTTCACCGTGTATCAGACGTTAATACAAAGTGCTCGGCAGGTGGCTCGAGTTCACACCAACTTTCAGTTGTTGATGACTTGACTAGCGCGGACCATGGATATAACATGATAACTCCATTGCGGCTTTACAAAACCCCTAATACGCCTTTCCCTCGACACTCGAGCATCCCATAACTGCCTATGAGTCCTCGGTTTCCTCGGTTTCCAAGCTCACGCCAGCGAAATTGTGGTTTTCTTCAGTGGAGTTACCGACAATGTTGTTTCTTAATTCCGCCCTGGTCCTTGCGGCCTCCGCTATGGCTCGAGGTATCACCGAAGCAGCATCGGAGATAACGCCCGCACCAATAGTGAACTGCCCCCTGACAAACTCGATCCCTGCCTGTGGTGTAAGTCCAACGACCCAACCGAAAAGAAGAGTCTCTCCTACACGTTGAGAACTTGTCATTAGCCCAAGAACTAACAATATCCCGTCGTTCCACCGCATCAGATCGGCTGCCTTATGTCCGCCGGTAACGCGGCTGGATGCTTTAATCCGCTCGATCTTGCATGTCAATGTAAGGCGGCGACGAAGATACATTCGCTGGCGTCGAGTTGCGTGGCCAAGTCGTGCGGTGCGGCGGGTGCGTCCACGGTTGACTCTTTGGCGGTCGCCATATGCAGTCAATGCGAGGCCTAGATTTCTGGAGTGCAATACGTTGTGCAATGCCGCCCTTCTGCGGAATTACCTCTCTTGAGGCTCTCTCCGTCGAACGATGAGACCTGCGGCCTTGGGTTCGGCTATAGCTCATGCAAGCCGTTACATAAGAGCAAACAATCACCAACTCGCAAGCTGTTTTGGGTAATAGAAAGGAAATATGGGCGGCGGTTTCAGGTAGCCTGGCATTGGGGGAGCGAGAAAAACAAGCACGGTGGAAAGGGTTAAAAGCAAAACCGAAATATTAACTTTGAGGTCTCCTTGATGATATCGCCATTTTGACTGAGTCCCTCTCACTCTATCTTTTTATCAATGGGTTGATCCCGGCTCCTTTTAGAAACGGCGTTGCCTGGGCTCCTAATAACTGGGAATGTGATTCCTGGGTTAAACGAGTGACTCCTTGATTAGTTTGAGGCATAATGCTGTCCGACCAGTCATGACGGAGGTGGGGAGTCCTTTCGCGGTGAGGAAGTCATGAACAAGTTCTAGAAGACCAACGTCAAGTCCTAATTTTTGCGCGCGGCGTTAGTACATAGTGTGTTCCTAATTACCTATCGTCCTGTGAGGGAAGAGAACATACCTTTTGGTCCAACAATGGATAAGAAGACCGGAAAGTGCTCTATGTTTCCGCTGATGTCTGACATATATTCGCACTGGCCCACTAGTAACTTTTGTCAATTTCCATCATTGGAAGTTCGCACCCCGCAAAACCCCGTAGAAACTAAACCATACCTGGAACAATGAGGTTCGGAACTCCTGAAAGGGAAGCGTGGAAATTTGAGTCGAAGCCATCGAAGCCTCGGAGCTCGGGAGCGCTGAGTGTATCGGTTAGCTCATACTCTTTTGTTGGTGAGGATGAACTTACTCAAGGTATTCGTCCCGATAATCCAGTTTGTATCTGGGTGCTATCAGGATGGTTTGCTCGTCGTTGAGGACGTGTTCGAGAAACCATGAATTGTGCAAAGACACCTCAGCCAACGCTTCTTGCCTTCTGTCTCTGGTAAAGAATGTCCTTAGTCCCTATATGAGGACTCGACGCATTAGAACCGGAGGCGAACCTTGACAAACTAATAGGTCGAGACGAACCACAGATATTGGGTAACCTTGCAGACATAAGGATCGGACGAGAACTTCTGCCGATACTCGCTTCGAAAATCGGCAAGGTAGGTCCAGAATTCACTGTAGGTGAGGTCGATGAAGGTCTGCAAGCAGACCTCGTGTTAGCCTTCCTTGGACAGTCTCGAGTCTTTCCAAGTGCTCCACTAACCTTGTCAAAAGTGTTAAAGAATTCTCCACTGATATTTGAAGGTTTTGTGGAGTTCCAGTGATCTTCTAGAGACAAATCGATCCCGTCCGCCTCAAGCCAGCCCGCGAGGGAAGCAACCCAATCTTCGGCAAGACTTTGTATGCCATCATTATCGACCCAATATTCTCTCGGGAACAGTATCCGAGTTGGACGCAGAGACTATCTTCTGGTCAGCTCTTTCAATCTTGAAGCCTTCTCGTACAACATACCCTGGTATTGTTGGGAGAGTGTGGCAGCCAGTGGCGACCAAATTCCAGCATTGTCTGACTGTTTCGTCCCATGAACCCAGGAGTGTGAAAGATGCTGTTACCATTCAGTACGGCAATAATGTTACGCTGAGCAATTAGAACACATAACCGCATGGAATCACAACATCAGGTGTTTCTTTGCCGTCATGGGAAGGCCTAAGACCGTAGATACCGTGGGCGACGGCTGGGTCCCGGGTGCTTCCACCTGCTAAGACACAGAGTATCAAGGTGAATAGCAGTACAACAACAGTGTACTAGCTAGGATTAACTCAAGTCTGTACCTAATTTGATGTCAAGCCATGGGTATGCTGCCAAACTGGATGCCGACCCAGTGCTACTACCAGTGGCTGCGATGTAGCCGTCGCCGCGAACGTTGAGAGGGTAGAAGTAGTCAGACCAGTCACCAATGACTTCCTGGCTTCCGCTGAATTCAACCGTCTTGGTTTTGCCGACAATGATCACTCCAAGATCAATAACGGATTGGACCGTATTAGAAGATATCTCGGAGGGTGTTCTGAGCGAGCGATAGGCGCGGTTGCCGCACCCGGTATGCACTCCCTTTAAATGGAACAAATCTTTGACTGCGACTCTCATCCCTGCGAGGGGCTCCTGTTCCGATTTAGACAATTTGAGCTTTGAGGGAACAGCCACACAGAGTGATGAGGCTCCGAACGCAGCGGCATTCAGGTTTCCATATCTATTCATGCCCCAACGTAATAATCAAAACCTAGGAGAGTGGATCGATCAACTTACGTGTGCCTATCGTACTGGGAAGGGATCGTGCTAAGCACGAAGGCTTCATTTTTGTCAGGGAAGAGTCTTCAGGCACTGAAAAGACCGAGACTCGAGAAGAAGTATGGCCCTGGGGCGATGTTCGCTCCGCTGGCAACGTGGAAGAGAGTGCGACAGCCCCACAATTCCAAGAGCTGTTGAGCTGGCCCACCAAAATTTGTTTCATCCGTAAGGAGAAGTACCTGCCTCAAGAACGCATCACAAAAGACGTCGTCAGCTTGTAGCCACGATATGTATGTTTTTCGGAGGTCCTCCTCCGGATTGACCGAGTCTCGAAGGACAAAGCACGCTAGCGTGCTGAAGCGAGGCGATTCGGTGAGTCGGATATCGTACTAGCTCCGTGTGCCCCAGGTTACTATTATGCACAGATCAAATTGTTCCTTGGTTTTGGCAAGACTACACTCACATCGGGCAGGCTCTGGACGGCAAAAGCTCTGGTTCCGAGCTCAATGACAGTGGTTGTCGAAATTTCTTCCGACCTTGACCCATCACTCAAGAAGTCATAAGTTTGTGTCTTGCGATTGATCCCCAAACATCTTAACAATGACGATAGGGGTAATGGGCTAGCGGACCTTGATGCAGTAGGCGAAGCCGCCAAAGCTGGAATATGGATCTTGCGCACCAACATCTTTTATCGTTGCCGTGATCTGTGAGGCCAGGGAAGTTTGGGGTAGTTGGTCAGTTGGGAGTTTGAAAGTTGGAACAGTCCCTTTATCCTACAGCAGAAGATTTGAATTGTTAGGCATCCATCCGATCAGAACATGTGTTCAACTGAAGGAAAGTGCGGAGTGACAGATACTGCGTCGGGTACAGTGTATCACCAGGCTGCAAGTCACAGTGTGTGTGGTAAAGCCAGGGGGTTTCTAGAATTCTTCCTCTTATTTTCGATTTGGATTAATTACAATACATCACGACAATATGGGGCATACAACCATGAGCAGGTGATGTGCACATAATGCCAGTTCAGAAATTGGCTAATGAGAGCAACCGTCAACACAGCTGTTGTCTTCCCCACGGAAGTTGGCAGAACGCAGCAAGGGCCGGCGGTCCGCGGTCGTGTCCGCCAGACGGGACAGGTCACATATTAATACAGCACGCCCGAGCGGCGTCATGCCCGCAGGGATCTATTTTGTTGTTTTTATTTTCGACTTCGCCAAATTCAAAATTTTCGAACAAAACCACTCTTGGTTGCTCCAGCACCCGGCCAGCCGGATTTCGGAGGCCCGGAGCTTGGAGGTGGACCGTCTAGAGTTCTCGAGACGGAGCCCACCATACAGGGGTAAGCTAGGTAGGTAGTGTGGCGAGACTGAGAGCCGGATTTATCGCGTAGAAACTTCATAGACGAGACGTGGAGAATGAGCGAGTCATACTTTGTGCCACGGAGTTCGACTTGTATTGTTAATCGATGCCAAGATCGGATTTAATACACGCACGGGAATAGCGAAGTATCTCCGTTGTGTGTTTTGCTACAGGGAGTGGGGGCCAAAAGATATCGGATTGTTCGGTTTTTGATGCAGGGACAAGGACTTTGGGAGTCCAACATCGAGGGCGGCGAGTAAGGCAATGATGGAGGTTTTCGACGAGCCATGCTGAGACGATTTGTATATAAACCCGCTCCTCTTCCTCATATCACAGTCCTTCCATAGCATATTATTGTCTTGTTTTTTTACTCTAGATTTCCTCTTGATATTATCTCTACCGATCATCGAGCCATAGTCCACATATTTATCATCCAACTAACAACGTCACGAGTTCGCGATGGGTTCCATCGATTACAAGTTTGAGGGCTGGCTTGGCCTGGACAAGTCAGCTTCCGAGGGAAACATGCAATGGGCTGAATTCGAGCCCAAGCCATGGGAGGAGACGGACGTCGACATCAAGGTTTCACACTGCGGCATCTGTGGGAGTGACATTCACACCCTGCGCAGTGGTTGGGTACGTCGATTCTGGGTTGTGAGGATGAGATTGCGAGCAGTTCAGGCTAACAAAAAGACCTAGGGCCCTACTCTCTACCCTTGCTGCGTCGGCCATGAAATCGTCGGGACAGCCGTCCGGGTTGGTTCCAAGGCCGTGGGTGGAATCAAGGTCGGCGACCGTGTTGGCGTCGGCGCGCAAAGTGACTCTTGCCAGGGACGCAAGGGTGACTGCGAGGCGTGCGCGTCGGGCATGGAGAACTACTGCGCTGTCCATCACGTTGGAACCTACAACGGTACTCACGTCAACGGCGGGAAATCGTACGGCGGTTATGCCCTTTACAACCGCGCCCCTTCGCGCTTCGTGGTCAAGATCCCGGACAGCATCCCCTCTGCCGAGGCTGCGCCCATGTTGTGTGCTGGGATCACAACATACAGCCCGTTGAAAACCCACGGCGTGGGTCCTGGGAAAACCGTCGGAATCATCGGGCTCGGCGGCTTAGGCCACTTCGGCGTTATGTGGGCTAAAGCACTCAAGGCGGACCGGGTGGTTGTCATCTCGCGTACCTCGGCCAAGAAGGACGACGCCATCAAGATGGGGGCCGATGACTTCATCGCCACGGAGGAGGACCCGGCGTGGACCAAAAAGCACGCTTCCACGCTCGACGTGATTGTCTGCACTGTCTCGTCGTCCTCGATGCCCTTGATGCAATATCTGGCGCTGCTGCGTTTTGACGGCACATTTGTGCAGGTCGGCGCCCCGGAGGACGGCCTCCCTACTATCCAGCAGTTCCCGTTCATCTTGAAGCGTCTCAAGCTTACCGGTTCCCTTGTTGGCTCCCCGGGCGAGATTAGGGAGATGTTGCAGCTCGCTGCGGACCAGAAGGTCAGGTCTTGGGTTCAGGAGATTCCGATGAAGGATGCGAACAGGGCCATTGTGGATATGGAGTCAGGGAACCCGAGATACCGCTATGTGCTGGTCAATGAGCCAGATGGCCCGGTGAAGGCGGGGCTTTAAGAGTGGAAGGGCCTGGTTGTGTCGGTAGTCGGGGGCTGGGTTGTACATCTATCCAGGGTTAGGGTTCATGGTGCATCAGGGTGTTCATCATGGACTTTATTCACAGTGTTTACCCGTCAATGTCAACATATACACAATGATTAACTAAAACAAGGGTATCAAAAACTACTGCCTCCCCCCCCAATAAACCTGCGACCCCGGCGTCTGCGGCCCCATCGTCCCGTCCATCTCATACGTATACGCCGACGACCCCCCTCCCGGCCCACTCGTAGCCGACCACGGCGTAGTCGGGTTAGTGCTGTGACTATACCGTGACATGATCACCGACGTCCCGTGTAACTCCGGCGGCGCGTGTTCCCTGCCCGGCGCCTCGTGCAATTCTGGCGGCGGAGGCGGCTTGTAGTATTCCCCTTGTGACCCATGTCCATGCCCCCAAGCACCCGCACCCGCAGCCACACCCGCGGCTGTGAAGCCGGGTGGTGACCCAGCGGTGGATTCGTACCCCTGGTGCCCCTGGTGCCCCTGGTAGCCCTGGTACCCGGGCCCCCCATCGCCCGGGAGCTCCTGGAGGGGTGTGGCGCCGTGGCCGTTGCGTGCGTTTCGCCGGCGGAGGAGGAAGAAGATGAGGACTCCGAGCAGGGCCAGGCCGGCGATGCCACCTACCACAGCGCCTGCAATGGTGCCTGCGGGGGTTCCTTGGCTTTGGTCGGTGTTGGTGCCGCTTCCGGTGTCGCCTTGGCTTCCGCCGGCTGTTCCGCCTGATCCACTGCCGTTTCCATCACCATTGCCATTACCATTTCCATTGTTGTTCCCATTTCCATTTCCATTTCCATTTCCGTTACCACTCCCAGACCCATTCCCATTACCATCACACCCCCCCGTACTCTTCCCCCCCACCGACACCAATTTCGACCGCGTCGTCGGATTCGCCTGCCACATGGTGAACGTCCCGGCATCATGGTCAACCATGAGATAGGCCCCGGTAAAGAAATAACGGCCCAAGGTGGTCGGGTTGTCACTGCCGAGGGCGCCCATGAGGACTTCCCGCTTGGAGGTGTCGATGATGCGGGTGCCGTTGCGGTCGAAGTTGATGGCGGGGGGCATGAGTTGGGAGTTGGGGATGCGGACCGAGAGACCATTAGAGAGTTGGAACGTTGCGTCGCCGTCGAATCTATGCCCGTCAGTCCTAGCTAGTAAGGGGTAAGGAGGAAGAAGAGAGACTCAAACTTACAGCATCGGATCCGAGGCATTGACAACCTGCGCATTCCAGTGCAGCCCAAACGACGTGCTATCAATACTCATCCCCGTAGCATCCACAAACGACCTTACCAAATCCCCTGGCCCTTCCCACACCAACTGCCGCTGCGGGACAATACAGCACGGCACGGCTTCGTTGGGACCCATGACAGCTTCATCCCTTCCATCCCGGAAATTCACCGTCAGCCCCGTCACCGTAACCTTCATCCCCGTCCAACACCCCGTCCGCTCGCTATAATCCAACTTCTGCGTCACATTCTCCCCCGTGACCTTCTCCTCGTCATACCCGCCCAACACCAATGCCCCGTCCATATCATTATCCCCGGCCCCATTGGCAGTCCACATCCGGCCCCAGAAAATCGACCACGCCCGCGACGGGATTTGTTTTGCCTCGACCAGCGCGTTGAGATACGTCGAGTTCGCCCCCAACCCGAGCGCGTGCAGGATGGTATATCCATGATCCCACTGGAGACGCGGTAACCCGACGGGGAATTTCGGTATAACCTTCGCGGGGGCTGTGACGAAGCGGTCTGTGCCGCCGACGGAGGTCGATAGTAACTTGGGCACGCCGAGTTCGACGCCCCGGACGGCACCGAGTTCTTGCCCAGCGCCCCCTGCGGCGGTCAGGTCGGTCGCTTTGTTGAAGCTGGAGGAGGAGGCGTCGGAGAAGAGATGGCCGCGGCGCACGTCGCAGATGGTGTCGCTGTAGATGACGGTTGAGTCGCAGAGGCTGTCCTCGGTCGAGTAGATGTAGGTGTTGTTGAGGTCCCTGGCAATTATTATTAAATAATTATCCAATTAAATAGTCAATTGGTATTTAGGTAAGGACACTTACGCCCACGGCAACACAACAATATCCTGCCCCGGCGTACCGATGCTCGCGCGCACTCCCCGCATCCACGACCCCGGAATCGCCGGGTTGACGATGGTGTCGGCGATGGGCAGCGCCAGCGGAGCCGGTGCATTATCATCACAGGCTGCTCCCAGCGCGCCCACGGCCCAAACGGCCGGAAACAAAACTCGCAACATTGGGGTCGACCATGTGCGGATAAACACAATTAAGGATGGCCGAATTATGGCGTTAGAAATACAAACACCGAGTCACCGACGGGAGAACACACAGTCGGTTGCTCGAGGAATCACCACCAAGGAGGGGGAAAAAGAGAGAAAGAGGGGAGAAAGGACTCCCGACTGCCTGCGTTGTGCCAACTCAGGTCCGATCTGCGCCCTCTCTCAATCAACTTTCTCCGACCTCTCAAATCAGAGGCAAAGGCAAAGCAAGGCTCGGGGCCGAAACACCCGCAAAACCCATTGCCCCTGACAGGATGACACGGGCGCGGATCGCGAATCCTTCGGACCCGAGTCCGCTCCATGGTGGTTGGCCACTCACAGTGGGAGAATGTGTAGACTGCCAAGACGCGACGTGACGCTGTAATTTCAACTCGGTTACGACACGTGGAGAAGGGTTCGCGATAAGGATTATGATCAACCAGGTGAGCTCAAGGTGAGTTACTCATCAATTCAACTCGAGTCAAATCGCGAACCTGAGTTCGTAAACTAGGCAGTTAGCAATAATTAGTCCTCCTCAGCATCATCATCAGAATCAGCTTCAGCAACCTCCTCCAAAACATTCAAATCCACCCCCAACACCTCACCCACCTCCTTAACCCTCCCACCATGCCTCTCCCCAACCTCCCGCAAAAACAACTCCCTCTTCTCCAATCTAATCTCCCCCGCAACCCCCTCCACCTCTGCCCCATACTTCGGATGCGTACAGATAAACAACAAATCCACATAATCCCCCGGTTTCTCGCGTCCGTATGACTGGAACTTGGCTTTGACCAGGGGTGCAACCCTCAAAAAGCGGACACCGGGGGCGGATTTGTCTTTTGTTAGATGGAAGACTTCAGTGGCCGAGTCGAGATCGAGCGGCATGCCGTGGCCTTCGCTTTTTTGCCATTTGAGGTCGATTTGGACTTGTTGCTTGTCGACGCGGACAAAGGTGCGGGCTACTCCGCCAACCCAGGCCATGCGGCTTCTGGGGCGGGTGATTCTGTATAATTGTTAGTAGTAGTAGATGAATACGGGTAAGCAGTATGGATGAGGATGTATGAAAGTAAAGTGATGAATAGGGGATAGTGATGGGCATAGTGAAGAGTAAGCGTGATGTGAGAGTGAGAATGAAAATGAAAAGCCGAGAAACCCAACGTGATATGAGAATGAAGATGAAAGACGAAAACGTTGAAAGACGAGAAAGGGTAAAAAAAAAAAACACACCTCTCCTCTCCCTCCAACAACTCCAGCGTCTTCTCCAAACTCTGCTCCCCCGTCACCGCCAAATCCACATCATCCGTCGTCCGGCCCGTCCCGCGAAAATAAAAGTTCATGCCCCCCATCACCCCATACGGCAGGCCGGCCCGGTTGAAAATGCCCGCCACAATCTGCAGCGCCGCCACTTGTGAGGATACATCTGCTTGTGTGGCTTCTTCTTCTAGCTCGTCTAGGTCTGCCGGGGGGTAGTAGTGGCAGGTCATGTTCTTCCCTAGCTTCTCGGAATTGAATCCGGATCGGATCGGACCGGAGAGACGGCGCTCGGGAATCGGAGATGTGGAGTACGGGGATATGGGGATTGGTGAGTAAGCTGGTTAATTATCGTATTTTGTAATCGTATTCTGTCATAGAACTCTCGAATCTGAGTCCGAGGAAGGACACGTGGGCGATGGTGGGTGTTTTGATGCGACGTGATTGGTGTATTGGATGCGACGCGTTGTTTAGAGCAGGTTCCTGCAACCTGCGATAATTACCTAGACCGGCGGTTGGAATTACCGGAATAGAAGAATAGAGTGAGTGAGAAGTAAGTGACCAAAGGTGATCAGTGGGTGGTTCTACGTTGTCTTTGTTCCCGACTTGATTTGGCTCGCCCGCTCAGAAACACGGAGTTGAGAAATGAGGATGCAATGAACGCGGCACCAATGTTTGAAAGTGAGCGTGGCCGAGCCGTTGGCCGGTCTTACAGTTGGCCGTCATGGTCGGCCTTGGTCTACTAGGTATCTTCGTCTTACACCTCTTTCTCTCAACCTCACCAGTCGTTCATGATCGAAGGCTCTGCATGCTGCTGCACTGATTTCCCGATATCATACCCCGACTTTCTGTCCCACCACCTGCTTGTGTGATTTTTCGGCGATTTGGCAAATTCAAACAAACCCTGGCTCGCCTGGTTCAAAAATGCCAAGACTGCGATCGTGTTTAGCGCCCGGCGGGCCGTTGCGCTAAAATGTTAAAGTCCTCCGGAAAAAATCCTCCCAACACTTTCCCCTTCGAGCCCCCCTCGTTCCATCTTCCCTTCCTACATACTGTGTAAGTTCCTTCCGCAACTCCCGGTGCAGCCGGCGCTGACTGTTTCCCCTTCTGAGCAAGAAACACATTCGCCCCGGAAATTCAAGAATCAAGGCCCCAGGCTCCACCAACATCTGACAGGACCCACCGGCCGTCAGCAGGATCTGCGCGGGGGAGCACAGATTCCGCTGCGTTGCACTGTGCACATTGAAATGCACGCTAAAAACTGCACCACTGAACAGTTTCTGAACTGCATGCTGCAGGCGGCCATCTCATCCATCCAGCAGCAGCCCCTGCGTTCGAGATCGCTGCAGGTCGCTCGCTGAATGGCCGCGTCAAGACCGGGGGGGCAAGAGGGTGCTTGGCCCCAGTTGCAAGAGGCGACTTGGCAGGGCTCGGCGGGGATAACGTTATTTCAACACCCAAGCCGGTGCTTTGGGTGACTCCTCCCCCCGTGTCCTTGGCCCTTTCGACCTACCTATGCAGGTCAGATCGTGATTCTACGACGCAACGACATTTCCGAGGGGACACCGGAACAAGAGCCGCGATCCAGCGGTGAAGGGTGAGGCGGAGCTTTTCGTACGCTGGGCCTACCAGAGGTGCAGGATTGCACTCTACCTGCGGCTGTCGTCATCCTTCTCATCATGGCCGGTTTCAATTTGCCCTGGTGTTTGATTTTTAAGTCTTGAAAGTTGTAATTACTCACCCCCGCACATGATCGAAACCACAACACACCGGTCTGTCTACAGTTTGTCTTGCCATGAATCATATTATTACCGGGTGACTGAGACTCTCTCTCTCATCAGCAGAGCTGCAGATGTCGGTCAAGTCACGGGCAAGAAACGAAAAACTCCCCACGCCACCGTCAGCTAGGCGCTTGCGGCAGAATATCTCGGCCCTTCCTGACGTCGTATTGTGCCCACATGTCTGGATGCCACCATCGGGGCATCGGATCTCGGTTCTGCCTTGCAACAGGGTTCCCGATCCTGCTGAGCACACGAAGTGCTTGTTTCGGCAATGCGAGTGTTTGTGGCGTTCTAACGTTCTCGGGGGCGTTGCGTGGAGAAGAAAAGGACGGGGTTCGATTTGACGGGAGAAGGTCACGGAAGTATTCCTAGGGCCCGTCCGGAATCCTATTTCCCTTTACACTAGTGTCTATTCGTGCTCGTGAACCCCGGTGTCACCACACGGGCCGTTCTTGGTTCTCACCCCGTCGCCTTGGCCACGCAGCCTTACGGCGCAGAGTGACTGGTTCGGAGACTAGCGAGCTGTCGTGCCAATCCGCTTGTTCATGCACCACATGCACCGTCTGCGGCGCCATTGCAAACTACCACCCTCCCGAGCAACCCTCGCAGCAGTGGCGGTCCTTGCGGGCTTGGGACTCGCCTAACAAGTTCTTAGGCCCGATGGACCGTAGCCTGTGAGAAGCAGTCTATCCACCTTCCCGTTCGGGCTCCGGCCGTGTCTGGGGCAGAGCCTCCTGTCCTGTGTACGGGGTACTGACTGAGGAGGTGAGGACGGTGTGCTGGACGGACTCTCGAGTTGGACCGTTTAAGCAAGGGCATCAACACCTTCTCCTCTTGCTACCGATTGCCTACTATCTACTACCTGTCTACTACCTCTCCACTACCTGCCAGCTACTACCTCCTGTCTACCACCTACTGCGTACTACCTGTCACCTGTGTGCATACCTCTAACCCACTACAACCCACAACCCGATAACCGTGACATTCGTTGGTGACACAGCACGATGGCCATGCATACGGCCAACACCAACCTTGCCTACGGCGGGTATGCACGGCTCCCGGATCTCTCAGCGGTCGGCGGCATGGCGGGCGAAGCGACGCGGATCCTACTCCAAGACGTCGAGAAGCGAGAGCGCAAGCGACAGCAAAACCGCATTGCCCAGAGGAATTATCGTACGTACTTTCCAATTTATTGGGCAGGATGTTCTCCCTCCGAGCCCACTGGGTAGCGATGTTCACTGAGCGAGCACCTAGAAAGATGGGAAAAGCTAATAATAAAACAGGCCGCAACCAGAAACAACGAATCCAAGCGCTCGAAGCAGCCCTGGGCCAGCTCGAGCCCCTCGATCCGGCCTGCACGCTCGCTTCGCCGGCTACATCTAGCACCGACACCTTTGAGCTTCCGTCCACAAGTCCGCCCACAGCGTCCACCATGACCCTACAGCCATCAAATCCAACCACCTCGCCCTGTGACGACCATGCTCTCTGGTCCCTCGACAATGCCTGGAAGCCTCAACCGCAACCACAGCTCCAACAACAACCTCAAGCTCAACAACACCCCCAACCCATCACTCCCTTAACCCCAACACCCACAACCACCGACATGCTCCCAACAACAACACCCCCACCACCATCATCACAACCACAAACGCTCACAACCTCCGCTACAACAGGAACAACATCCCCCACAGGACCACCACCCATAGCCGGAGAAACTCCCCGCAGCCCTCTCCAACTAGCCCTTCTACACAACCACACCCCCATAATCCGCCTTCTCCTCGATCGCGGCGCGGACCCATCCAAACCGGACCTTCACCCGTCCAGCCAAGGGTCCGCACCACTCCACATCGCAGCGGAACGGGGATCGGAGAGCTTGACGGCGCTGTTGTTGGAAAAGGGGGCTGATGTTGAAGGCCGAGATGGACGAGGGAGGACGGCGCTTATGAGGGCCGTGATGGGACCTTCGTTATCTATTTCTAACGACGAGGGGAGGTGTCCGTGTGGGGGGTATAGAGGTAACAATGATGACACAGATGGGAGTAGGGAAGAGAACAGAGAAGGCGTGGTGCGGTTGTTGCTGGAGGCGTCGGCGGATGTGAATGCGAGGGATGCACGGGGGAAGATGGCGCTGCATTGGGCGGTGGAGAGCGGGTTGGAGGGTCTGGTGGTGTTGTTGTTGCAGTATGGGGCGGATGTTGATGCATGATATTAATTGATACAGGTCATTTTGTTTGCATAATTAGGGGTTAATTAGTGTATGAGGACACACATAGTAAGGGCACAGGTTAAAACACCCCCCTCTAAATAAGGCGCAGAGTTGTGTGATAGATAAACCTGTGCTTCTTAAAAGCAGTGAGTTGGATTAAAATAAAGATTAGAAGTCAAATTATCTAATTATTTCCTTGTTGACATCTTTACGTGAACTTTGACGTGTTTCTCACACTCCTTTATGCTATATCACAATTGAGTCGCATAATAGACACGCTTACCCTCCTTTTAAAGCAGCGAGTCCAATTAAACAAACTAAAATTCTAAGTCCAATTGTTTATTACCGTGTTAACATCTGACCGAACCCTAACCCTGACGTACTTTTCACCTCCTCCCCTGACATTTAGTGTAAGTACCCCTGACTGTGTACTCTAACCCCAACCCTGACTACCCCTGAATTACAGATTCTGCATCTTGACCAAATCCCAATACACCCCCCTCTTCGCCATCAACGCCTCATGTCTCCCCGACTCCACAATCCTCCCCGCATCCAACACATGAATCACATCAGCCGCCCGGATCGAGCTCAACCGATGGGCCACAGCCACCGTCGTCCGTCCGTGGGCGGCTCCGTCCAGCGCTTCTTGTACCAGACGCTCCGACTCTGGGTCTAGTGCGGACGTGGCCTCGTCGAGGAGCAGGATCTGTGGTTGCCGGATGAGCGCGCGGGCGATGGCTAGACGTTGGCGTTGGCCACCGCTGACGAGCGTGCCGCGCGCGCCGAGGAGTGTGTTGAGGCCGTCCCTGAATGAGTCCGTCAGTCGGTTTACAAACGATAAAGGGATTTTGGAGAGAGAGAGAGAGGAGAAACTTACGGCAAAGAAACCACAAACTCATGAATATTCGCCTGCTTGCACGCCTCAACAATCGCCTCCTCCGTCACAGCAGCAACATCACCCCCAGCACCCAACGCAACATTCTCCCTAATCGTCCCCGAATACAGCGCAGCCCCCTGGCTGACAAGCGACGCCTTCTGCCGGTAAGCCTGCACATCCACTCCCGGAAGCGGCACACCGTCCGCTCGCACCTCGCCCTTGTCCGGATCATAAAACCGCTCGAGCAGCGCCAGAATGGTGCTCTTGCCGCATCCGCTGGGTCCGACAAGGGCGACATACTGACCCTTGGCGATGTCCAACCCGAAATCCTGCAGCACGCGGTGGTTCGGCCGGGAGGGGTAGCGGAAGTCGATGTGATCCAGTTCAAGGTGGACACCGTCCGCGGCCGCTTTTTCGTCGACCGTCGTAACAGCACCACTGCTGCTATCTGTGTCGCTGTTCACCATCTTGGCCTTCCCCGCCAACAGCCCCTCCAGTTCCCGACTAGCATGCATCGCCTTACTCGCATCAGGCGCATACGAGAAGATCGACCCGGCCGTCTGCGCCCCCGAGATGAGCGCCACAAAACAGATATAAAACTGAAACACATTGTACTCCCCCGTCGACACCAGCTGGCCGCCATACCAAAACGCCAGCGCAGCACACAGGAACACCACCGACTGCGACGCTGCGTACAGCGCTGACGCTAAGAGCATCGACCGCAGGGACGCCGCGGCGCGTTGGGAGAGGATTTCATCGTATTGGGTTAGGGCGTACTCTTCCATACCTAGCGCGGCCACGGTGCGCACGAGCCGGACGGTCTCGCTTGCGTAGGCGGCTGCGTCCTGACCGCTGGCTTTGACTTGGCCGTCGAAGACAGCCAGCATGCGCAGGCGCAGCCAGCCACAGGCGACGACGATGGGGATAGTGGCGGTGCAGACCAGGGCGAGTTTCCAGCCGATGGCGAGGGAGATGATGATGCCCGTGACGATGGTAGAGAGGAAGGTTAGCACGCTGCCGATGACGGGCCCGCTGAGGCTGGCGAGTTGCTCGGTGCTGCCTGTCACGGTGTCCAGCAGGGCTCCCGTGGCGTGTTCCTTGCGATCGAAGAAGGCGATGTCCTGAGATAGGATGGCTGAAAGAGTCCATTGTTTTGCTCGGCGTGAGAGGGCCTCGGTGGAGCGGGCAAAGGCTAGGCCCACGGCGGTCCAAGTGATGAAGGCTACGCCGGCCATCATGACGTACAGACCGGCCCAGAGGTTGACGCTTTCTCGGAGAGGGCCGGGTTCGAGAGCGAGGCTGTCGAGCAGCTTGGCGAAGAAGATGGATTGCCTGGCTTTTGTTAGCTCCCCGAGAATTCCCAGAGTTTAACAAGATAACGGAGTCACTTACACGGGAATGCCAAACCCAGCAATGATGGCGCTGACAGTCCCCAAAGCCAGCAGCCCCCTTTCCTGCGCGTTCACACGGTAGATAAACCGGAGTGTGCTCCACAAACCCAGCTTCGGCTTTGCTTCTGCGTTGTCCGTCCCAGCTGTTTCTTCCACAGCTGCTTCATGCACGCTCTGGCTCTGGCTTTTCTCATCCACTGCCGTAGACACATCCTTAGGACCAACCTCCAGCCCCTCATCCTCTCCCAACGACCCTCCCAAACCATTATCCACCTGCTGATTCCTCACCATCCCCGCATACACCCCCTCTTTCTCCATCAACTCCCCATGCGTGCCCACCTCCACCACCCGTCCGCTCTCCATAACCACAATCTGGTCCGCATCCCGTACCGTCGACAACCGATGCGCAATTACAATCGTTGTGCGGTCCTTGGCCGCCGCGTCGAGTGCAGCCTGCACCACAGCTTCGGATTTGGAGTCCAGTGCCGACGTGGCTTCGTCCAACAACAAAATAGACGGTTGTCGGATCAGGGCCCGGGCGAGTGCAATGCGCTGGCGCTGGCCGCCCGAGAGCTGTAGGCCGGCTTGGCCAACGTTGGTTTCGTAGCCTTGGGCCAGGTGCGTGATGAAGTCGTGCGCGTTGGCGTCTTGGGCGGCTGTGATCACCGCTTGGCGGACGGCGTCGTCGTCGTTTTGAGTCTGGTCATGAGTACCGAGGAGGCCGTAGCGGATGTTCTCGAAGATGGTGGTGTCGAAGAGGGCCACGTCTTGGTCGACGAGGGCCATGTGGCTGCGCAGACTGCCGAGATGTAACGACTGCAGGTTGCGCCCGTCGAGTTCTACTGTCTGTCAGCATATTGTTTTCTTCCTCATTTTGGTTTGTCAAGCTTCACATACCGATGACACCCCCCGTAGGCTCATAATACCGCTCCAACAAACTGACAATACTGCTTTTCCCGCTCCCCGACGGCCCAACAATCGCCGTCGTCTTGCCCGCCGGACACCGGATATTGACCCGGTCTAACACCGCCACATCCTCCCGCGACGGATACACCAAGTCAACATCCCGAAACACAATATCCCCCGTCCCGGCCCCCTTCAACAGCCGTTCCCCGTCCTCCGAGAACGGATCCTGCGCCGACCGGCGGTTGATAGTCCCCAGAATCTTGCTCGACCCAGCAATCGTCGACGTCAGCGCCTGGAACGACGGCGCAATCCGGATAATCGCAAACGCACTGATAATAATCGCCAGCGTGGTCGTCGCGATAGCCGACACCGACGTCTGGCCGCGTACCAAAAAGATCGACCCGGCCCAGAACGACAGCGCATACACCAGACACGGCATGGCATTCGACCACGCGATCATATACGCCACGCTATCCCGCGATTTCACATCCTCCCTCCCCGCCGTCTGCAGGAAACCATGATACTTCTCGACCAAAAACCCCTGAATCCCAAACGCCGTCACCTCCCTCACCGACCCAATACTCTCCTCCGCCAAACCCGCCGCCTGCGCCCGCGGCCCCATCGCCGCTTTATGATGCTTCACCGCATACCGCCCGCACACCATCACCACAGCCAACATCACCACAAACGTCGGACTCAACACCAACGCCGTCCGCCACGACACCACATACATGATCACAAACGCCGACGCAAAATTCGCCAGCGCCGTCACCGCCACGGAAATCTTGCTGGTGATCGCCTCCTGGATGGTGCCCATGTCGGACATGATGCTGAGGGTGATCTCGCCAGTGCCCGAGCGGCCGTCGAAGAAGGCCATGTTCTGGCGGAGGACGGCGCGCAGGTAGGCGCGCCGCAGGGCGCGGGCGATGCGCTCGCCGACATAATAGAAGCCGACGGTGGCAATGTAGATGAAGATGAAGATGCCGATGGCGCAGTAGACGTAGTAGAGGGTGAATTGGGCGATGGTAGTGCGCAGGTCGGAACCGGGTGTTGTGCCGGCTGCGAAGCTGTTGAAGGCGTTGATGAGTTGGCCGTAGACGACCTGTTTGAGTTAGGTGAGTTAGGTGAGTTAAGATGATTGAGGGTTGAGTGAGGTTGAGTGAGGGTGAGTGAGAGAGTGAGAAGGGGGAGTGAGTAACATACCGTCAACAGAGGGTTGAGAGCCCCCGCAATGACAGCCAAAGCCGTGCTCAACAGCAAGATCAACTGGTCACTGGAAGTGGCATACGAAAACAAGCTCCGGCTGCCCTTCTTCGCCTCGGCCCCGGTGCTCGGCAAGCCATCTCGCTGTCTCCTCAAGATCTCGGCCGCATTTACGCTTCCACTTCCAGTTCCGCTCGCGCTTCCGTTTCCGCTTGCGCTTGCATTTACGCTTGCGTTTACGCTTGGCTTTTCCATAGCGGCGGCCGGGGATAACGGGAAGAGAGAAGAGAAGGGAAATGCAACACCATCGGGAAGACGTGATCAAGGTCGGAACGAATTGGACGTCGGGGGACCGGCAATTCACGGCCAAGGGGGGGCTTTCGTCTCACTGTTACGCACCTGCAGCGGGCATGGCCTGCAGGCATTGCAGCTGAGGGCAGGAGGGGGAAATTGCAGCGTGCACCGTACGAATCCTACCGGACAGGCCTCAGGGACTGTGAGACTGCAAGGGGTCTCATCTGACGGGAGTTTTGCTGAGTTCTAGGAATAAGCCGATAACTATGGATCCGTGTGCACATGTATGTACAGTACCCAGAGTCGCACTGGTCAATTACTGACTCAAATCCTGACATCAAGTCATACCCTGCAGCGCTAGCGAGATGCGAGATGCGAGCCGTGGTGGGTGTCCTGATGCGGGGGAAGCCCATTGGGAGGGAACTGAAAGTTGGTTCAGTCTCCGAACTCGCGATGTCCTACAGCAGGCAGTGCGTACTGTAGCGGTCGAGATGGGCCGTGAAACTCGAGCGTGCATGGCAATGTGGTTACAAAAGGGTGTTTGACCCCGTTGATGGCGATTGGGTGTCTGGGAAATATTGGTAAAATCTGGGAACCGAAGGAAAATGGCTGCAACAAAACCGAGAACGCTCTACGACAAGCTGTTTGAGGAGCACGTCGCGGCGGAGCAGGACAATGGCGCCGTCCTGTTGTATATCGGTCTGTCAATATTCGCGTCCAACACGAGAAACTAGAAACCCGCAAGTATTGACTCGACGTTTAGACCGACATCTCGTCCATGAAGTTTCATCTCCGGTGTGTTGAATTTTGGAAATTCAGAGACACGATGTGGTGGGCTAATCGCCTGTAGCAAGCATTTGCGGGGCTCAAAGCACAGGACCGCCCCGTGCGGCGCCCCGAACTGACCCTAGCCACCTGTGACCATGTAAGTTCAAGGCTCAACCCCCTAAAACAAACCGCTAAACTCAGGGCCTGGCGGTAACAATCTAATCCCACCTCAGAACGTCCCCACAACCCCGCGCCCGCGGGTCATGAAAGTCGCCCAAGCCAAACTCCAAGTCGAAACCCTCGCCCGCAACGTCAAGATCCACAACATCCCGTACCTGGGCCTCAACTCGACCTCCCAGGGAATCGTGCACGTTATCGGCCCGGAACTCGGGTTCACGCTGCCCGGGACGACGGTGGTCTGTGGTGACAGCCACACGTCGACGCACGGCGCGTTCGGGTGTCTGGCGTTTGGTATTGGCACGAGCGAGGTTGAACATGTGTTGGCCACGCAGACGGTGGTTACGACGCGATGGAAGAGTATGCGGGTGTGGGTGACGGGGGAATTGGCACATGGAGTTGGGTCGAAGGATTTGATGTTGTATATTATTGGGCAAATTGGTGGGCTTCCTTCATTTTCACGTTTTCTCGTTTTGTTGTTTCTGCTTGATGGCCGAGGGATGTGATGCTAATATTCAACAGGCACGGCTGCCGGGACGGGGGCTGCGATCGAGTTTGCGGGCCCGACCATTGAGTCTCTCACCATGGAGGCCCGCATGTCCTTGTGCAACATGGTTGGTGTTCCATCTTGGAATCGTGAGATCTCAGAAACAACAAAAACTAACAAATATCAGGCCATCGAAGCCGGTGCTCGTGCCGGGCTGATCGCCCCCGACGAGACCACATTCGCCTACCTCCAGGGCCGCCCGTTGGTCCCCGAAAACGAAGGCTGGGAGCAGGCTACAGCATACTGGCGCACGCTCCAGTCCGACCCTGACGCCGTGTTCGATCGACAGTGGAACATCGACGCCACCAATGTAGCCCCCATCGTGTCCTGGGGAACCTCCCCCGAGCAGGTCACCCCCATCACCGGCATCGTTCCCAGCCCGGAGGACTTCCAGGACCCGTCCAAGGCCGACAGCTGCCGCCAGGCCCTGAAATACATGGGTCTCGAGCCGGGCACCAAGATGACCGACATCACCATCGACAAGATCTTCATCGGCTCGTGCACCAACTCGCGGCTGTCTGACCTGCGCGCCGCAGCGAGCATCCTCCTGGGCCGGCACATCGCCCCCACCATCAAGGCCGCCTACGTCGTGCCGGGATCTGGCGTGGTCAAGAAACAGGCCGAGGCTGAAGGGCTCGATAAGATCTTTACGGCGGCCGGATTTGAGTGGCGCGAGGCCGGATGCAGCATGTGTGTGGGCCTCAACGAGGACCAATTGGACGCATACGAGCGGTCGGCGAGCACGAGTAACCGCAACTTTGAGAACCGGCAGGGCACTGCGGGACGGACACATTTGATGTCGCCTGTTATGGCGGCCGCTGCGGCCATCGATGGAAGACTTAGTGATGCGCGCAAGTACCTTGGTGGTGCTGCCGTAGCCCCTGAGACGGGGATACTACAGGAACTACCGACCTACCCTCAAAACGTCGAGCCAGAAGACACAAACACCAGCGAGCAACAAGGTACTGCAGACAACACCAACGACGACGACGACACCATCGCAGCAGGCCCCTTCACATCCGTCTCCGGCCTCGTAGCCCCACTCGACCGCGCCAACGTCGACACTGACTGCATTCTCCCCAAGCAATTTTGCACCACTATCGTGCGCCGCGGTCTCCGCGACGGCCTCTTCCACAACCTCCGTTGGCGGCCCGACGGCAGCGTCGACGACACCTTTGTACTCAACCGTGCACCCTACGCCCCCAACCCTGGTCAAGACGTCGGCCGCGCCAGCATTTTGTTATGTACCGGCCCCAACTTTGGCTGTGGCAGTTCCCGTGAGCACGCCGTGTGGGCGCTGCTGGACTACGGCATCCGCGTGGTGCTGGCGACCTCCTTCGGGGATATCTTCTACGGCAACTCCTTCAAAAACGGCCTGTTACCCGCTCTCGTATCCGCGGAGGACATCCCCTTGCTGCAAGCGGAAGCCGAAGCAGGACACGAACTGGAAGTGGTGCTCGCCACGCAGCAAATCCGACGGGTCGCGACGGGGGAGGAAATCGCCCGGTTTGAGGTAGACAAAGGGCTCAAGGAGATGCTGCTCGCTGGGGTGGACGAGATTGGACTGAGCCTGCGGCGTGCAGAGGATATTGCGCGTTACGAGGCCGCTAGGGGGGAAGCTAGGCCGTGGCTGACGGCGGCTGTTCAGACCGGATGGGACCGGCTTAAGTTGCGGAGTGGCCGGATTACGCGCCCGTCACGGGTAGCAGCAGCGGGGAAGGGGAAGTTGGGGGGTGGTGTGAGTGGGAGTGGGAGTGGGGATGGGTTGGCGTGGTAGTGACTCGGTAGGAGTAGGAGGGCACAGTAAAGAAAGCCTCCCACGTCAGATTCTTCTCTTCTTCTTCAGTACGAACTCGAGTACCTACACAGCATGAGTGAATGACTGCGCTTGACTGATGTCTGCCGTGACAGTCGTGTGGCTCAGTGGCTGAACGCCGGCGGAACGGGCCGATAAGAACTTTACCACAGACGTGCTAGCAAAATCCGGGGGGCAAGCCTCTCAGCCATGAATGCCACAACACACAATCCGATGCCTCCGCCCCCCTGTCCTGTCATCGGCAAAACTTGAACGGCTGAAAGATCGGTGTCCAAATCGGGCAGAAAAACCGTTGACTTGGACGATGGGATAGGTGCGCGCTGGCGCCCGAGACAAACAACAAAAGTGTCCGATTCCTTCTGGAACAACAGTCAAAGCCAAGTCGTTAGTTAGTTTAAGCCAAGCCGTGGCGCTAACAAAAAATAGCTGACAAACAGCAGCGTTCGGATGACGACAGTAATCCGGACAATGAGGCGAGTGGACGGGTGTTTGCTGCGAATGGAACCTGGTTGGTTGGTCCTCGGAGACTCCGGCTTCGTTTTGGGCTTTGGCCACTGATGAACCCGGAGTCCCGCCTGTGATCATCAACAGGACGCAATTCGTAATTCGGGGTTTACTGATCAGTGATGAGCACTGTAGCACTGTGGCGCTGTGCTAACTATAGCAGGCAGAACTCTTGGAAGTGTGAGAAACCCCAGGGAAGAAGGGAAAAAAAAGAGGAGAAACACCGCAGAGATATCCGGCTGGGCATCGCGACGAATGGTCCGCGCCGCAGTTGCTGATGGGTCTCATCGGGAAAGCTGAGCAAACGGGTGATGACTTCCGATGGCAAAGCCCCTGAAACGGGGCTCTCGCACCGCAGTTCAGCCCTCTCGCCCTGTGTGCCATGCTGCCATGCTGCAAGATAATTACATGGGCCCTGGTATCCATCGCCTGTTCGTTCCGATGTTAGTGGGTCGAGACGTCCAGGGGATAATAGTTAACGAGAGGGGATCGGAGAAAAAAAAAACTGGTCGACAAGTTCTGTGCAAGCAACCCTTTTTATGATACTTCGACCTTGAAGGACGGCAGAGATCATGACGACGGAAAAGTCAGCCCATGGCCTGGAGGCCCAGGACCAGGGCGCCGCGGCCCTGGTAGTATCGCTGTCGTCGAGCCCACATGAATCCAACGAGTCCCTAAACGCAAAACCGCCTCCGCCCAAGGACAGGGGGCGAGATGCGTACATGTTTTTAGCTTCCTGCTGCGTGCTGGAAGCGGTAGTTTGGGGTGCGTATCCCGTATTCCCGTTGACCTCGCATGAGAATAAACGTCCAAACCCGCTAACCAATACGCCCTGTGTCAGGCCTCCCGTTCACCTACGGCGTATTCAACGACTACTACAGCACCCATGGACCGTTCGACGGGTCCTCCAACCTCGCCATCGTCGGCACATGCTCCCTCGGGATGCTGTACCTCGACCTGCCCATCGTCTTCGCCGTCGTCCAGGCCTACAAGCGGTACATCCGTGCAGCATGCGCCCTCGGCATCTTCATCATGGGCATCTCCCTGGCCGCCAGCTCGTTCGCGACCAACGTGACCCACCTCATCATCACGCAGGGAATCCTCTACGGCCTGGGCGGCAGCATCTCCTACTCAACCTGCCTGATCCTGCTGTCGGACTGGTACGACAAGCGCAAAGGCATCGCTTTCGGCATCATGTTAGGTGGGACCGGCGTGGGCGGAACCATCCTCCCCATCGTAACAGAACGCCTGCTGCAGTCCTATGACTTCCGCACCACGCTGCGCGCCCTAGCCATCGCCATCGTCGTGCTCTCCAGCGCGTTCGTCTACTACATGAAGCCCCGCGTGGCCCCGCCCGCGAACCCCCCGCCCATCCGCAGCCAGGTACGCGTGCGGTTCATGAAGACGGGAGCCTTCGTCGCGTTGCAACTGGCCAATACCCTCCAGGGCCTGGGTTTTTTTCTACCCTCGCTGTATCTGCCCATGTACGCGCGGTCGATCGGCGCGTCGCAGAGTGTCGGGGCGTTGACCGTCGTGGCGTATAACATTGCCTCGGTGCTGGGGTGCGTGCTGATGGGAATCGTCATCGACCGGTGGCATGTCACAACGTGCTGTCTGGCGTGCGCCGTCGGGTCGAGCATCAGCATCTTTTTGCTGTGGGGCTTCTCCAACACGCTGCCGCCGGTGTTTATTTTTGCCGTGCTGTACGGTGTGTTTGCGGGCGCCTGGGTGGCGACGTGGTCGGGGATGGTGAAGGCGGTGCAGCGGTCTGAGACAACGGCGGATGCGAGCACCATCTTGGCGTGGATCTCGACCGGCCGGGGGCTCGGGAATGTCATCTCGGGCCCGCTGAGCGAGGCGCTGCTGCGCGAGGACCACTGGAAGGGTGTTCTTGCGTATGGCTATGGCAGTGGCTACGGTGTGCTGATTGTGTTTACGGGTATTACTGCTGCGTTGAGTGGCAGTTGTGTCCTAGGACGCCAGCTGGGCTACTTCAAATGATGGGGCTTAAATGGCGGAGGCTGTTTGTTTGCTCAGCTCAGGGGGATGTTTTGGCTGGGGGGCTGATTGGGCCTGTAAAAACGTTGTGATTTCATGAGTTTTTTTTTTTTTTTTTTTTTTTTTTTTTTTTTTTTTTTTTTTTTTTTTTT